CTAAAATCAAAGAGCATTCTGAACTCCACCAATGATGGAATCGAACCAAATATGGCACACAGATCTCCCATGACGAACAGAAAATATATATCAATGATTGGTTGGGGGGGGGGGGGGCAAACTATTATTATTATTATTATTATTATTATTATTATTATTATTATTATCTAGCATCTCCCGAAGGACTCGATGCGGCTTACAGAGGCCAAGGCCACAATAAAACAACAATATAACAATTACATATAAACCAAAGCAAATCAAAAACATTAAAGCAATAACAGTAAACAATTAACAACACACCATGATACAATAAAAACTAGGCTGGGCAAATGCAAAAAATACTGTTTGCTTACCATTGAAAATTACCTAGGGCCGCCTCTGTGACTACAATTCCATGGGAAATGAGACCCAATTAACCTCCAGGGCGTTTTATCAATGGCTCCACCTGCTGGGACCAGACTTAGAAGACAGGGTTCCTATGGAGTTGGACACGGATCCCAGAGCGCGGCTTCCTAGGAGGAAGCCTCATTAGCCGAGTATTTCATTCTCCTTTGAAATCCTGGAGCATGAAGATCATTTTGATGTGGATTTGGTTTAGTTCTCTGGGCTAATTTAAGTGGGGTTCTTTACCATTTGGGTCAATACTATGTTGCAAACCATCCTATAAAAGTAATGGTTTAAATGATAATATCCTTTGATTGGCTCCCGATCTTTAATAGTCCCATAAATGGGTTTCAGAGGTCGCCAAGCGACCTCATTCCGCTTGGTTTTAAAATGTATGATAGTGTTATAGTGCAGGAATTTAGGGGTCTTTGCCAGGAGGCAAAGATCAATCAGACTCATTAAAGAGTTAGTTGCCCTGGCGAGACAGAAGCATCCAATATTTTCCCTGATTTTTTCCAGTAAAAGGTCTCACCAAGTTGAAGAAAAGCCACTGAGTTGTTTATTGAGGTCCAGCTGGAAAGGATGCAAAGCCGCGATATTTCGTCAGGCAAGCATGCATGAATACAAATAAATGCTATTTTTATAGAAAAAACAGAGTGCGTGGTTTGAATCTCCCCCCCCCCCCCCCCCCCCCCCCCCGGCCTGGCTTGAAGGTGATTTGCTGGTGTCACAACAGCTGGGAGGAGGCTCGTCTGCCCCTCGAGCGCCTGGACCAATTACAGGGCTTCCACAGAGCACCTGGGCCAATCAAAAGGCTTCTGCCGCCTTGGCGCATCGACGAATCAGGAGGGAGGGAGGTGGGACAAGGGAATACAATGCATTCTTGAATGGATTATGGAACTCAGGAAATGTCCATGTGGCTCAGCGAGTCCTAAATGGCCTTCAAGTGAAACCTGTCTATTGTCTCTTGATTGATCTGAGATAAGCATTGATGTGGGCGATACCACTTAATTTGGGTTTTCCACTTGTGGTCAGACAGGGGCACAATGGGGGAGATTTTGGTGAATGTCTTTAATGGGAAGGCTTGAAAGGAAACGGGTCAGGAGGGGAGAACATTCCGAAGGTCCTCTTTCCTCCTATTGTAATGTGATTAAAAGTCTGCCAAGCGATTATCTCCCTGATGGTGAAATCCTCCGAAGTCAGGGACACGTTTCTTTGTTATTTTTCCATGCAAGGAATGTTCTTAGATAAGGGTTTCCACAATCGCTAATTGCTTTTTTTTCAGAGGCAAGACAACTTCCTTATACATTTTTCCAACAAAGGGAATGGGACAGAAAGGGTCAGAAGAAGGTTACATACACAGGAGAAAATATGAAAATATAGAATTCATGTGGCAGAAATCATACCCACTTATCTCTCCCCCAGTGTCCCATAGAGAAATTGATGGGAGCCTTGATCATGGCTCTTAATAAATTCATAGTTCATGTCAGGAAGACCTATAGGCAAAAGTATGTCCATGAAGGGGAATAAAAAGGTCCATAATGAGTGGCTGAAGGTTCAAAAGTCATGAAGAGAGGTTTGGAGATCCCACTGAGCCCAGGTGTGTCTCAGATGGAAAAAGTCAAATACTTTTGTGGCATGATTTTCAGTAATAAGTTGGTTTTATTTTTTATTTATCGTGTCATCAGCAACCAGACATTTGTATTACATTTTTAACAAAAACAAACAAACAAACAGACAAAACACAGAATTTGCAAGCTTGGTAGTTGATTAAATGTCCTTTGACCAGTATCTGGCCACTTGGAGTGCCTCTGGTTTTGCTGCAAGGAGGTCCTCCATTGTGCATGTAGCAGGGCTCAGGTTGCATTGCAGAAGGTGGTCTGTAGTTTGCTCTTCTCCGCAACCTCATGTCGTGGATTCCACTTTGTAGCCCCATTTCTGAAGATTGGCTCTGCATCTCGTGGTGCCAGAGCGCAGTCTGTTCAGCGCCTTCCAAGTCGCCCAGTTTTCTGTGTGCCCAGGGGGGAGTCTCTCATTTGGTATCAGCCATTGATTGAGGTTCTGGGTTTGAGCCTGCCACTTTTGGACTCTCGCTTGCTGGGGTGTTCCAGCGAATGTCTCTGTAGATCTTAGAAAACTATTTCTTGATTTAAGTTGTTGACATGCTGGCCGATACCCAAACAAGGGATGGGCTGGAGATGTCACTGCCTTGGTCCTTTCGCTATTGGCTGCTACTTCCCGGCGGATGTCAGATGGTGTGATAATAGCTAGACAGTGTAATTTCTCCAGTGGTGTAGGGCGCAGACACCCCGTGATAATGCGGCATGTCTCATTAAGAGCCACATCCACTGTTTTAGCGTGGTGAGATGTGTTCCACACCAGGCATACATACTCAGCAGCAGAGTAGCACAGCGCAAGGGCAGATGTCTTCACTGTGTCTGGTTGTGATCCCCATGTTGTGCCAGTCAGCTTTTGTATGATATTGTTTCTAGCACCCACTTTTTGCTTGATGTTCAGGCAGTGCTTCTTGTAGGTCAGAGCACGGTCCAGAGTGACTCCCAGGTATTTGGGTGTGCTGCAATGCTCCAGTGGGATTCCTTCCCAGGTGATCCTCAGAGCTCAGGATGCTTGTCTGTTCTTAAGGTGAAAGGCACATGTCTGTGTTTTAGATGGATTAGGGATCAGCTGGTTTTCCCTGTAATAGGCAGTAAGAGCACCTAGAGCTTCGGAGAACTTCTGTTCAACCATCTCAAAGCTCCCTGCTTGAGTAGTAATGGCATAATCATCAGCATAGATGAAGTTCTCTGTCCCTTCTGGCAGTGGCTGGTCATTTGTGTAGATGTTGAACATGTATGGGGCATGTATAAATAAATTGGTTACCTTCTGCTATAAACATATGAAAATAGGGCATAAAGCCTTGATTAAATGATACACATTATCCAACATGGGAAGGGTCCTTGTTGTTGTTAGTGTCTTGGCAAATTGACCAAGGCTTAACCCTTATTATCCAGTCTGGTGTCCTTGCCTATAAGTTACTATCTCTTATGGGGGGGGGGGGGGTCATGTTCGAGTTCAATAGTGTCACCGAATATCTGGTTGCCTCTTATCTTACAATCCCTGTTTTTGGTTGATTGGGATTATGTGCTTGGCTGCTTTTCCCCAGCATTCCTTACTGGAGGCCTCGCTCCTCAGAAAGAAGAAGAGTGCCACTGAAAAGGAAGGAAGGAACAAAGGGAGGGAGGGAAGCAAGCTTTTTTTACAAGTGGTTTTATTTCCATCCTGGCTGACTCAAAAGCCGGCTAATTTTAGCCTCCTTAAGTCCCTCTAAGAGAAAAGGAAAGGGAGAACAGCCACTGCCCACCCACTCTCCAAAAAGAAGGAATGCAATAAATAACACTCCCTCCCTCCCTCATACAGACTGTGTACACTCCCTGCTAAATAAACGGAAGGGTGTCGAGGTAATTGTGAAACAGTGGGGAACACGTGCACACACACACACACACGTGCTAAATGGAGAGTGCAAAGGGAGGCGCAGAATCTCTCCTTGGCATCACAAGGTGAACAAGGCCTACAGCCAGGAATTCCCCGCCTGAAAAGAAGGAAGGATGAAAGAATGGAAAGAAGGGAAGACAGGAGGACAAAAGGAAGAAGGATGGAAGAAAGGAAGGAAAGAAGAAAGAATGAAGGCAAGATGGAAGGATGGAAAGAAGGAAGGACCATGCCCAGGAAGAGGCCTAGGACCTTGCACTTTATAATCACATTTTACCTCCTGGGCATTTGAGATTGTTTTAAGTATTTTTGACAATTTTACACCCAACAAAGACCAACTTGGGATTCTTTCAATGGGTAATTTATGTGTATTGTTCTGTTTTAATGATTGTTGTAAACTGCCTTGAGACCTTGGAGAAAGGCGGTAATAGAAATGCCCCAAATAAGCAAGCAAGCAAGCAAGCAAGCAAGCAAGCAAGCAAGCAAATAAATAAATACATAAATAAATAAGTAAGGAAGGAAGGAAGGAAGGAAGGAAGGAAGGAAGGAAGGAAGGAAAGAGAGAGAGAGAGAGAAATGAGGGAGGGAGGGAGGATGTAAGGAAGGACAAAGGAAGGATGCAAAGAAGGAAGGAAAATGGAAGAAAGGAAAGGATGGATGGCTGGATGGAAGGAGATAAATGATGGAGGAAGGAAGGATGTAAGGAAAGGCAAAGGAAGGGTGCAAAGAAAGAAAGAAAGAAAGAAAGAAAGAAAGAAAGAAAGAAAGAAAGAAAGAGAGAGAGAAAGAGAGAGAGAAAGAAAGAAAGAAAGAAAGAAAGAAAGAAAGAAAGAAAGAAGGGGGCAGGAGGGAGGGAAGCAAAGAACAAGGGACAGAAGGACAAAAGGAAGAAGGATGGAAGAAAGGAATGAAAAAGGATGGAAGAAAGGAAGGGTGGAAGGGAGAAGGAAGGGTGGAAGGGAGAAGGAAGGATGGAGGGATGAAAGGAGAAAGAGAAATGATGGAGGGAGAACGGAGGCTGCGCTCTCCTCTTCTTCTGCTGCTGCCGCCGCGGGCTCCCTGGGGCCTGCCCCTGGGCCAAGGGTCTCTCTATCTTTCTCTCTCCGTGTCTCTTGTGCCCCCACCTGGCTCAGGCCTTGAGGAAGGCCACGGTGGCCAGGAGGGCGTAGCCAAGCACCAGGAGGAGCACCTTGAGCAGCCGGTCGCCCTTCTGCTCCAGCTCCTTGCCCAGAATCTCAAAGAAGGTGACGAAGAGGAAGGTGCCGGTGGCCAGGCCCTGCAGCAGCACTGAGATCAGTGCCCCAGCCAGGCTGGCGGTGGCAGAGGTGGAAGAGGTGGTGGCTTGGATGGCAACCCCGGCCCCAATGCCCAGTGGGAGGGACAGGCTGAGTGGAAGGGCAGCTCGGGTGGCCTCCTTCAGGCCCCGCCCCGCCCGGGCCAGGCTGAGTCCCAGCGCCAGGGCCGCCAGCCCCTCATGGAGGGCCACGCCCAGGAAGAGGCCCAGCAACCGCCCACTGCCCTCCTCCTGCAGCCCCAGTGCCAGCCCCTCCAGCACCGAGTGGGCCGACAGCGCCAGGGACAGGCCCAGCAGCCGCAGCGTGCCCGAGGCAGAGCTGGGCAGCTCCATGTGGCTGTGGTAATGATGGTGAGGGTGGTGGTGGAGGCTGCCGTCATCCTCGTTGGAGGCCTTCAGGAAGGGGCTCTCATCCTCAGAGCCGCTGCCTGCATTCAAGGTCTCCAGGTCAATGAAGGGCAGCTTCTTCTCCGAGCAGAAGGTCAGGACCAGTTGCTCCACAAATACGGTCAGGAAGAAGCCCATCAGCATCAGTGTCTCTGACAGCGGGTAGTCCGTCCACACCTTCCCCAGGCGCAGCACCTCTGACATCTGGAAGAAGAAGGAGAAGACATTTCAGAGATCAGAGGCTGTGCAGTAAACTACTGATACAAGACTCTTCAATGACTGATTAATAACTTGCCCCTGAGAAAATCAGCCCAGTGCGCAGCAGCATATTTAGGGAGAGTGCGATTGAGGAAGGAGAAAACTTTCGATCGGTTTCATAGCTTGCTGTCATGATCTATAGCTCATGCCATCCAATCAGCCATTCTGACACAGAGCATAATTGCTCTGAGGTGGGAAGATAGTGGGCTCTGGAATGCAGAAAGGGCAACCTCCAGGCACCAGGACTGGAGTGATGTATGATATTGTAGTGAGGCCTATATAGAAGGCCAGCAGTGCGAGGCTCTTGTATTCCAAACAATAAGGAGGTATGGTATATTCACCCCTTGTGCGCTTTGATGTGTTCTTTCAGAGAAGACTAATCTACAGCAACACAGTTGGGGCTGAGAAACCTTAAAGTTTGTTTGGATCCCTGATTCTCGAGCTTCTGCCTAAACCAACATGGAGAAAGGAAAGAGACACTGCTGGAAACCAACTAGCAGACATTTGGGGGGAAGAAGCAAGCTCTGAAGGAGGAGAGATGGCAGGATCTCACACCCCTCTGGAAGCAGCAGCTCGCCAAACTATGACCAGCCACTGGCAGGTCACACCAACTCAGCCGGAGATCCGTCACAGCGCCCGGCCGATGACAGGCTGGGAGTATGGCCCTCCCCACTCGACGGGGAGCCTAGAAATGCAGGAGATGAGGCAAGAGTTAGTGCCTTGCTCCTGAGACAACAGGGCAGCCTGGGGGGGGGGGGGGGGGGACGGGACGGGACACTAGCCCTGGACTTCCAGTGGCCGCTCTTTTTCCTCTGCAGGTCACTCCCCTGGGCCTTTCAGCAGCAGCCCCTCCCCCCCCCCCTTTGACAGAGGAGTGAGGGAGAGCCGCAGCACAAATGGGAGATGAAGCTCTGAGCCGCCTTTGATGGGGACCCAGAGAAATTGCCCTTATTTTTAACGAGAGTGGTTGCCTTCATGACCAAATGGGCAGGCTTTTTTGCAGATGAAATACACAAGGTCCAACATGCTGGGTTCCCACAGAAATTGAGGAGGCAAGAAGCCATCTTTGCTCCCTTTGCTTCAGGAAAGCCTTGTCTTAGAATGCAATAGAAATCAGAGTGTGTGTTTCAGACTAGCTGCTCTGAGTGTTTGTTTTGTTTGGGAGGTGAGGCTAAATTCTTCAGCCAGCAGTGATTGCTTCAGGTCAGCAATTAGTGACTGATTGTTCCCTGTTCTTTGAAGCTATCTGGGAGTGAGTGTTTGCTTCCAGTTTAACCTATATAAGCCAGGGTCGGTACTCAGTTGAGTACCCACAAAAGTTGAGGAAGCAAGAAGCCATCTTTGCTCTCTTTGCTTCAGGTAAGCCTTCTCTTAGAACGCACCAGAAATCTGAGTGTGTGCTTGACTTCTGTAGTTTAAGTCTAGCTGCTCTGCTAGGGGCACCAGAAAGCTGTGTGAACTTACACCTTCACTAACACACACCTTTACAATACATACAGAAAATAACATAAAACAAACACATAAACAGGGAGGTCATTAGCAGTCTGCAGATGGAACAAACACAAAACCTTCCCAATCTCATGCACAAGCTGTGGCATGTTCAGCTTATTCACACAACAATGAGTCAACAACACCTGCACCAAGTGTAAACAGATGACTCTCATGGAACAGAGACCCAACAACTCGAGGATCATATTAAGACCCTTAAGGACATGCAGGAACTTGAGCTGTTCATGCACAAAAGGGACCCTTTCAATCCTCAAAGGAAACAGGTCTTGGTAGTAGGCGACTCCCTCCTTAGAGGAACGGAAGCCGTCATTTCCAGTCCGGATGGGATGGCTCGAGAAATATGCTGCGTCCCAGGGGCAAAAATACACCATTTCACTCAGAGGCTCACCAGGTTCCTCAAGCCCCATCACCGTCCCCGCCCTCATGTTGATTCATGTAGGCATACTTTATAAATGATTTTCGAGCTTTTGGAACAAAGCTAAAACAGTGTAATGTACAGGTGGTCTTTTCATCCCGCCTCCCAATTGTAAGACACAGCCCTACAAAGGCCAGAAAAATAGTACAGGTCAATAACTTGCTTAGAAAATGGTGTCAGGAGGAACACTTTGGCTTCCTTGACTATGGCCTCCTTTTCCAGGAGGATGGCCTACTGGCAAGGGATGGGGTGCATCTCACACAAATAGGAAAACATTTTTTTGCTCACAGACTTGCAAACCACATCAGGCGCACTTTAAACTAGGTCCATCAGAGGTGGGGGGCAACAGCTTTGCAAACAGTACTTTATCCACAATTTCAGGGAACTGCCAGAAGGCGAAATGGAGAGTTGCACAAACACAACAAGGACCAAGTACCGAAAGCACAATAATCCCAAATAAATAGCTCAGAGGAAGATCTCAGAGGCTTGCATGTCTTTACACTAATGCACAGAGCATGGGAAATGAACAAGACGAACTCCAACTTTTAGCACAACACCACAAATATGATGTCATAGACATCACTGTAACCTGGTGGGATGACACCTATCACTGGAATGTAGACATCAAGGGTTATAACTTCTTTCACAGAAACAGAACAAATGGGAGAGAAGGGGGAGTAGCCTTATATGTGAAAAACAGTTACATCACAGAAGAGATGCAAGACTGCCATCCAGGAAATCAGCTTGAGGGCATCTGGAGAAGAATCAAGGGAACTGGAACTCAAAAAGATCTCATTGTGGGTGTCTATTACAGACCTCCGAGCCAGGACAAAAAACCCGATGAAGCTTTCTGTCAACAGTTGACCAAACAGGCACAAAGAAGAGATATAGTATTTATGGGTGATTTCAACTATCCTGATATTTGCTGGAAAACAAACTCGGCCAAGAGTACAAAGTCCTGACAAATTCCTCACTTGCCATGCAGAAAATTTTATGGTCCAGAAGGTAGAAGAGGCAACAAGGGGATCGGTTACTCTCGATCTCATCCTAACAAATGCGAAGGACCTGATCGATGTAATCAAAGTGGTTGGATCCTTAGGGGCAAGTGACCATGTGCTCCTGCAGTTTATGATATGAAGGAAGGAAGTCAAACCCGCATTCTGGACTTTAGGAGAGCTGACTTCCGAAAAATGAAGCAAAATACTGAGCAGCATTCAGTGGACGCCGATGCTAAAAGACAAAGGAGTTATGGATTGATGGGAGTGTTTCAAGAATGAAATACTCAAGGTGCAATTGCAAACAGTGCCAACAAAGAGAAAAAATAGGACAAGTGCAAAGAAGCCAGAATGGATGTCCAAAGAACTTCTAACTGGGCCAAGACTTAAAAGAGGCATGCACAAGAAGTAGAAAAAGGGAGAAATCACCAAAGAAAAATTCAAATGAATAACCAACTGCTGTAGGGAAAAGGTCCGCAAGGCTAAAGCACAAAAAGAGCTCAGGCTTGCCAGGGACATTAAAAACAATTAAAAGGGCTTCTTTGCTTACGTAAAAAAGTAGAAAAAGGAAGAACAAGGAGGTGATAGGGCCTCTGTGAGGAGAAGATGGGGCAATGCTGATAGGGGATAGGGAAAAGGCAGAACTACTTAATGCCTTCTTTGCTTCAGTCTTCTCACAAAAAGAAAGCCATCCTCAACACCAGCAAGATGGAGTGGATGAGGGATTAGAGGACATCCAACCTCAAATAGGAAAACAAGTCATCCAGGAATACCTGGCCACTCTAAACGAGTTCAAGTCCCCGGGGCCAGATCAACTACACCCAAGAGTATTGAAGGAACTAGCAGAAATCATCTTTGGGAGCTCTTGGAGAACGGGAGAAGTCCCAGCAGATTGGAGGAGGACAAATGTGGTCCGTATCTTCAAGAAGGGGAAAAAAGGACGACCCAAACAATTACCGATGTCAGGTCAGCCTCACATCGATACCAGGCAAGATTCTGGAAAAGATAGTTAAGGAAGTGGTCTGCAAACATCATCATCATCATCATCATTATTATTATTATTATTATTATTATTATTATTATTATTATTATTATTATTCTACTACATTTATACCCCACCCTTCTCACCCCAGTGGGGGACTCAGGGTGGCTTACAATCCATGGCATACAATGCCATATTACACATATAATAATAAACATAACATATGAATTTAAACAATATATCAATTTAAACATACAATAATAAACATGAGATAATAATTCGAATGTATATACAATTACAAGCTTAGAAGTAATTCAAATAGAAATACAATAAAAAAGCTTAAAAGTAAACATACAATAATTCAAATATAAATACAAAAAAGAGCTTAAAACGTTTAGAAACGAATGCTGTCATCGCTAATAGTCAACACGGATTTATCAAAAACAAGTCATGCCAGACTAATCTGATCTCTTTTTTCAATAGTTACAAGCTGGGCAGATGCAGGGAATGCTGTGGATGTAGCGTATCTAGATTTCAATAAGGCCTTCAACGTCTCCCATGACTTTCTGGCAAACAAACTAGTCAAATCTGGGCTAGGCAAAACTACGGTGAGGTGGATCCGTAATTGGTTAAAAGAACGAACCCAGAGGATGCTCACCAATGCTTCTTCTTCATCCTGGAAAGAAGTGACGAGTGGAGTGTTGCAGGCATAGCCAATACTCCAGAGGACAGGAGCAGAATTCAAAACAATTTTAACAGATTAGAAAGATTGGCCAAAACTAACAAAATGAAGTTCAACAATGACAAATGTGAGATACTCAACTTAGGCAGAAAAAATGAAATGCAAAGATACAGAATGGGGGACGCCTGGCTCGAGAGCAGTACGTGTGAAAAAAATCTTGGAGTCCTCGTGGACAAGTTAAAAATGAGCCAAAAATGTGATGTGGTGGTAAAAAAAGCCTGCATCAATAGGAGTATAGTGTTTAGATCCAGTGAAGTCATGCTACCCCTCTATTCTGCCTTGGTTAGACCACATCTGGAATACTGTGTCCAAATCTGGGCAGCACAATTGAAGGGAGATGTTGACAAGCTGGAATGTGTCCAAGAGGAGGGCGACTAAAATGATCAAGGGTCTGGCGAACAAGCCCTAAGAGGAGCAGCTTAAAAAGCTGGGCATGTTTAGCCTGAAGAAGAGAAGGGTGAGAGGAGACATGATAGCCATGTATAAATATGTGAAAGGAAGTCATAGGAAGGAGCAAGCTTGTTTTCTGCTTCCTTGGAGACTAGGATGCGGAACAATGGCTTCAAACTACAAGAAAGGCGATTCCATCTGAACATTAGGAAGAAATTCCTGACTGTGAGAGCCATTCAGCAATGGAACTCTCTGCCCTGGAGTGTGGTGGAGACCACCTGTACATTACATTGTTTTAGCTTTTTCCCGGGTAAAAAAGAAATGAAGATGGAAGCTAGGCCTTTGCCTACAGTGTGGTGGTGAGAGACATTTGGCCGGATCCTGTTCAGGAAGCAGGAGGACAGGGTGAATAAAGAATTCAATAGACATATAATAAGACCCAGCCTTTTGGCAACGTGGAAAAGATACAAGAAGGGGATAGAGCCAAAAATCCCCTTATGGCTGCGTCCACAGGAAGCTGTGCAGAGATCGGCCACACATACCGAATCTAGAACTTATGAAGAATATTTAGTCAAAGAGAAAGGGCAATGGACACTTAAAAGTTGAGAAGAATTGGGAATAAAAGATTGGTTTTGCTTCTTTCAATTGCATGATAGATTTAGGAAGGATGTAAAGGTAGGAATTGCCTCTAAAAAGTCAGAGTTAGAACTTATCTTTGAGAAGGGCAACAAAGGCCTCATATCCAGGCTCTATAAATTTATTTTAGAATACAATTTAATAGATAACCAGATAAAAACTGTTATGATTTGTTGTTGTTGTTCATTCGTTCAGTCGTCTCCGACTCTTCGTGACCTCATGGACCAGCCCACGCCAGAGCTCCCTGTCGGCCGTCACCACCCCCAGCTCCTTCAAGGTCAGTCCAGTCACTTCAAGGATGCCATCCATCCATCTTGCCCTTGGTCGGCCCCTCTTCCTTTTGCCTTCCACTTTCACCAGCATAATTGTCTTCTCTAGGCTTTCCTGTCTCCTCATGATGTGGCCAAAGTACTTCAACTTTGTCTCTAGTATCCTTCCCTCCAATGAGCAGTCGGGCTTTATTTCCTGGAGGATGGACTGGTTGGATCTTCTCGCAGTCCAAGGCACTCTCAGAACTTTCCTCCAACACCACAGCTCAAAAGCATCTATCTTCCTTCGCTCAGCCTTCCCTAAGGTCCAGATCTCACATCCGTAGGTGACTACAGGGAATACCATGGCTTTGACTAGGCGGATCTTTGTTGCCAGTCTGATGTCTCTACTCTTTACTATTTTATCGAGACTGGACATTGCTCTCCTCCCAAGAAGTAAGCGTCTTCTGATTTCCTGGCCACAGTCTGCATCTGCAGTAATCTTTGCCCCTAGAAATACAAAGTCTGTCACGGCCTCCACATTTTCTCCCTCTGTTTCCCAGTTGTCAATCATTCTTGTTGCCATAATCTTGGTTTTTTTGATGTTTAGCTGCAACCCGGCTTTTGCGCTTTCTTCTTTCACCTTGATTAGAAGGCTCCTCAGCTCCTCCTCGCTTTCGGCCATCAGAGTGGTGTCATCTGCATATCTGAGGTTATGATTACATGGTCCAAAGATTTAGGTAGAAATATTGATTTGGAAGAATGGGAACATTTGTGGAAAAGGGGGTTTAAATTTTCAGTGGCCAGCTCAATTAGAGAAAATATGTTTAAAATGTTTTATAGAACCTACATAACTCCAGAATTATTGGCTAAAATAGAGAAAACAGGACAAGGAACTTGTTGGAAATGTAAGAAGGCGAAGGGTTCATTTTTCCATGTATGGTGGAAGTGTAATATAGTTAAAGAATTTTGGGAAAAAGTGGTGAAGGAAACAAACAATATGATTAACAAAAAAGTTAAGAAAAACCCGGAAATGTGCCTTTTAGGATTATTTAGAATGCGTATGTGCAGGAGATGAAGAAATTTGTCAATATTGCTTTGTTGCGGCAAGACTAATAATAGCCAAAACTTGGAAAGGGGAGTTATCTATTAAAGATTGGAGAGATAAGTTAGCAGACTATATCCAAATGGCCAAGCTGACAAATAGCAGCAGAGGAGGAAATAATGAAGAATTTGCAAATAAATGGAGGCTGGCACTTGGGTATTTGGAAAAGAAGACAAAGGTAAACTTTAAGATTGCCATAAAGGGGATTCAGTGAAAGAAGATATTTGGGTTGTTGTTGTTTAGCAATGCGATCCTGTTTTGAGGGGTTTCGGAGGTCAGGGGGTGGGGTTCACGGGTGAGGGATAGAGGGTTATGTAATGTTAAGGTATAAATACTTGTACAACCAAATCTGATTGTACATATGTTTAATGAGCACTGAATATTGACTCTTTTGTAAAATTTTTGCATATGTTTTCTTTGTTTATTTTTTTCCTTTTGTTCATTTGTTTTGTTTTCTACACACACTATGAAACAATAAAAAATAAACATAAAAAAGGAAGCAGGAGGAAACCTGGAGAAAGCCAGCAGAAGGGGAACCTCAACCAGGGGAGAAAGAACCAGGCTACAACACTGGCAGCAAAGCAGCAGAAACAGCTAGGGCCCTCCCTTGGAAGCCCCTCAGGACGACTCATCAGACAATGGAGAGCTCACGGGAAATGAAGCTGGAGTAATGCACGTCGGCACCCAGGCAGCAGGAAAACAGCGCTTCAAAACACCCTGAGACCATCAGCCCAGTGCACAGCAGCATATTTAGGGATTATGTGATGGAGGAAGGAGAAAACTATAAATTGGTCTCATAGCTTGTTCCTGAGACCATCAGCCCAGTGCACAGCAGCATATTTTTTTGAGACTGTGGTCGAGGAAGGAGAAAACTATCAATTTACCCCCTTGATCCCTACCTTGTCCCTGACAGCTGGGAGCAGGGCATTGAAGCCGGTGGCCAGGAAGACCCCAGCAGCAAAGGTGTTGCAGAGGGAGAGGGCTCTGCGGGAGTGGCAGCATGCCTTCCCTGCGCTGTTGGGCCTGAGGAGCCGGACCGGCAGCAGGGACCCTGCCAGCATCAGCAGGAAGACCGCCACCAGGCACAGCAGTTTAGCCAGAAGCACACGCATGGCGGGGTCAGCGGTCAGGGCCCTAGGAGAGAAGGAGGAGGGAAATGCATGGACTTCAGGAATATAATATAATAATCATAAAATATAATCATACTATAAACATATTAAAATAATATAAAAAACATTGTGACATAATAATGTAAAATAATAAAAATATTTAAAAGTAATAGAATCATTACACAAATAATTATAAAGTGAACCAATATAATAATAAAAGAATAATATAATTATAAAGATATTTTAAAAATAATATAATACAATTATACGAATAATATAATGCAATAATATAGTATTATTAGAAATAATATAATTAAAATGACATAATAATATCATGACATGGATATAATAATTATAGTGTTAATCTATATCTATATATGTATATAATAAAAGTCAGTGTTTGTATGCGGAGGAAGGACGGGAGGTAGGTGTATGTGGCAGCGTTCTGATTGGCTGCCACTGTGGTACAATTTACATATGGTCTCTGATTGGCCAGCCTCAAAATTCCAAGATTCTGATTGGCTGCCACTATGGTACAATTTGCATATGGTCTCTGATTGGCCAATCTCAACATTCTGAGGAAGCAGAGGGAATAGCAAAGGGGCCTAAAGCTGTCAGGAATGGTTGGAGTTGAAGTCCAAAACACCTTGTGGCACCCAACAATGACAGAACAAGACCAAACCTGCCACACAGACCAGGGAGTTGAAGATTAAAAACCTGACTACAAAAGGTAGGCCTCGCTTGGCAAGGCCTGACTAAAAATGGTAGGCCTCAGTTGGCAAGGCCTGATTAAATAAAGGTAGGCCTCGGTTGGCAAGGCCTGACTAAAAAGGGTAGGCCTCAGTTGGCAAGGCCTGACTACAGAAGGTAGGCCTTGGTGGGCACTCTACATCACAGACAAGGCCCAAACTTGGCACACAGAGTACTCATGACCCACTCTACATCCTGCTGGAGTTTGGAGGAGGGTGGACCATGGATTATGGGACTTGCAGTGCCTTCACTAACTTCTTGAGACCATTGCAACCCACACCAATGACCGATAAAGACCAAACTTGGCACACAGACCCCCATGACCCACTCTACGTCTCGATGGGCTTTATGGGCCAATGGACCACAGATGATGGGATTGCAGTAGCATCACTCACTTCCTAAGACCATTGCGACCCACACCTATGAGTGATCAAGACCTAACTTGGCATCCTGAGCCCCCATGACCCATTCTACATTTCGGTGCAGTTTGGAGGAGGATGGACCATAGATGATGGGACTTGCAATACCTTCACTCACTTACTGAAACCACTGCGACCTTCATCCAATGACCAATAAAGACCAAACTTGGCACACAGAGCCCCCATGACCTACTCTATATCCTGCTGCAGTCTGAAGGAGGATGGACCATAGATGATGGGACTTGCAATACCTTCACTCACTGAAACTACTGCGACCCACATCCAATGACCAATAAAGACCAAACTTGGCACACAGAGCCCTCATTACCTGCTACATCCTGGGGCAGTTTGGAGGAGGGTGGACCATGGATGATGGGGGTTACAGTACCTTCACTCCCTGAAAAAAATGCAACCCTCATCCAATGACCAATAAAGAACAAACTTGGCATACAGAACCCCCTCTACCCACTTTCTCTAATAACCCGGGCAGCACCAGGTCCCCAAGCTAGTATATAATAAAAATGAATGTTTGTTTGTATGTATGCAGAGGTCGGAAGGGCGGAAGTGTATGTGGCAGCTTTCTGATTGCCTGCCACTTTCACAGGCCACTGTGACCAACACGGGTGACGCACCTGGACCAAACTTGGAACACATAACCCCCATGAACCCCTTTACGTCCTGGTGCGGTTTGGGGTAGGTGGACCACCGATTATGAGATTTGTAGTACTTTCAAACAGTTTGGTTCCCAGGGACCACTCTGGCCCCCAACAAAGACCGATAATGACCAAACTTGGCACACTGAGCCCCTATGACACACTCTACTTCCTGTTGCAGTTTGGAGGAGGGCAGATCATGGATGATGGGACTTCAAGTACCTCCACTCCCTTCCTGAAACCACAGCGACACTCATCCAAATACCAATAAAGACCAAACTTGGCACAAAGAGCCCCCATGTCCAACTCAATATTCTGGTGAGGTTTAGGGAAGTACCGACTATGGATGACGGGACTTCAAGTACTTTCACTCGCTTCCCAAGACTTCTGCAACACTCATCTAATGGGTTGTTGTAGGTTTTTTCGGGCTATATGGCCATGTTCTAGAGGCATTCTCTCCTGATGTTTCGCCTGCATCTATGGCAAGCATCCTCAGAGGTAGTGAGGTCTGTTGGAACTAGGAAAATGGGTTTATATGTCAGACTACACAGAGAAGCCATTGAAATCCACAAGCATGTGGACAATTTCAACAGAAAGGAGGAAACCATGAAAATGAACAAAATCTGGCTACCAGTATTAAAAGACTCTAAAATCAAAACAGCAAAACAGCAGAGGGAAAACAATCAGGGACATCTAATCACCTCTCAAGAAAAGATTGCTCCAGGCACTTCCAGGCTATCAAATGCTAATCAAGGTGGTCAGTTGAAACATTCACACCTAGCTCCAGCAGACAAGAGTCCTTTGTCCCATCCTGGTTTTTCCACAGATATATAAACCCATTTTTCTAGTTCCAACAGACCTCACTACCTCCGAGGATGCTTGCCATAGATGCAGGCGAAACGTCAGGAGAGAATGCCTCTAGAACATGGCCATATAGCCCGAAAAACCTACAACAACCCAGTGATTCCGGCCATGAAAGCCTTCGACAAATACTCATCCAATGACTGATGAAGACCAAACTTGGCACACAGAGCCCCCATAACCCACTCTCCATCCTGGAGCAGTTTGGAGGAGGATGGACCACAGATGATGGGACTCATAGTATCTTCACTAACTTCCTGAGACCATTGCAAACCATATAAATAACTGATAAAGACCAACATTGATACACAATTCCTTTCTCAAATAACCCGGGCAGCGCCGGGTCCCCAAGCTAGTCTATATATATAATAAAGAAGAGTGTTTGTATCGGACAGAGGAATTGTGGAGGGCGGTGTATGTGGCAGCGTTCTGATTGGCTGCCGCTGTGGTGCTATTTGCATATGGTCTCTGATTGGCCAGCTTCAATAGGAGCCCCTGGTGGAGAAGAGGGTTCATGGCAGAAACGGGGCATGACAGAAGGAAATTTGCATATGGTCTCTGATTGGCCAGCCTCAAATCCAACATTCCGAGATGAGAAAGAGAGGAAAGGAAAGGCCGGGGGCTGGGTCAGAACACTCCCAATACAGCCCGAAATAGGCACACAGAGCCCCCATAACCTACTCGACATCCTACTGCAGTTTGGAGGAGTATGAACCATGGATGATGGGACTTGCAGTACCACCACTCACATTCTGAGACCGCTGTTAACCTTATCCAATGACTGATCAGGACCAAACTTCGCACAGAGACCTCTCATGACCCACTTTACGTCCTGGTGTGGTTTGGCCGGGGATGGACCGTGGATTATGGGACTTGCAGTACCATTGCTCATTCTTCAGACCACTGCAACGCTCATCCAATTACCGATAAAGACCAAACTTGGCACACAGAGTCCCCATGACCACTCTACATCCTGGTGCACTTTTGAGGAGGACAGACCATGGATGATGGGACTTGAAGTACCTCCACTCTCTTCCCAAGACGGCTGCAACCCTCATCTAATGTCTGATCAAGATCAAACTTGGCACACAGAGCCCCCATGACCCACTCTGCATCCTGCTGCAGTTTGAAGGAGGATCGACTTTGGATGATGGGACTTGCAGTACCATCACTCACATTCTGAGACCGCTGTTAAACTCATCCAATGTCTGATCAGGACCAAACTTGGCACATAGACCTCTCATGACCCACTTTACATCCTGGTGTGTGTTTGTCTGGGGATAGACCATGGATTATGGGACTTGCAGTACTTTTGCGCAATTCCTGAGACCACAGCAACGCTCATCCAATTACCGATAAAGACCAAACTTGGCACACTGAATCTCCATGACGCACTCTACATCCAGGTGCAGTTTGAAGGAGGATGCACCATGGACGATGGGACTTGCAATACCTGCACTCCCTTCCTAAGACCATTACAACTGCCAACAATGATGGATCAGGAACACAATTTACACAGAGACCCAGCATGACCCACTCTACATCCTGGTGCGGTTTGGAAGAATTTGACAATGGATGATGGGACTTGCAGTCACTTCACTCACTTCCTGAGACGACTGAGACCCTCGCCAATGACTAATCAAGACTAAACTTGGCACATGGAGCTCCAATGACCCACTCTACATCCTGGTGCAGTTTGGAGGAGGACAGACCATGGATGATGGGATTTCAAGTACCTCCATTCCCTTCCAAAGATTGCTGCAATCCTCTTCTAATGACCAATCAAGACCAAACTTGGCACATAAAGCCCCCATGATCCACTCTACATTCTGCTGCTCTTTGAAAGAGGATGGACTTTGGATGATGGGACTTGAAGTACCTTCACTCACTGACTGCCACCACTGCCACCCTCATCTAATGACTGATACATACCAAACTTGGCACACAAGAGCCCCCATGACCCACTCTATATCCTGCTGCTGTTTGTAGGAGGATGGCCCATGGATGATGGGACTTCAAGTACCTTCACTCACTTCCTGAAAATAATGCAGCCGTTATCCAAAGACCAATAAAGACCAAACTTGGCATACAGAACCGCCATTACCCACTTCCTCTAATAACCCGGGCAACGCCGGGTCCCCAAGCTAGTATATAATAAAAGTCAGTGTTTGTATGTATGTATGTGTGCGGCGGGAGGTGTATGTGGCAGCTTTCAGATTGGCTGCTAATTTCACAGGCTACTGTGACCAGCATGGGTGACGTACCTGGACCAAACTTGGCACACATAACCCCCATGATGCCCTCTACATCCTGGTGAGGGTTGGGGGAGGACAAACAATGGATGATGGGATTTGTAGTACTTTCAAACTTTTCGGTTCTCAAAGACCACTGGGGCCCTCGACAAAGACTGATAAAGAGCAAACTTGGCACATTGAGCCCCCATGACCCACTCTACATCCTACTGTAGTTTGGAGGAGGGCAGGCAATGGATGATGGGACTTGAAGTATCTCAACTTACTTCCCGAGACTGCTGCAACCCTCATCCAATGTCTAACCAAGACCAGAAATAGCACACATAACCCCCATGAGCCCCTTTACATCCTGGTGAGATTCGGGGGAGGATGGACAATGGATGATGGGATTTGTAGTACTTTCAACCATTCAGATCCCACATACCACTGTGGCCCCCCAAAAAGACCGATAAAGACCAAACTTTGCACACAGAGCCCACATGACTAACTGTACATCCTGCTGCAGTTTGGAGGAAGCTGAGCCATGTGTTGCAATCCAGAGCAGAGAACGAGGCCTAAGATAACTATCCACCACACTTGGCTGTGAAAAACAATCCTTTTTTATTGAAGAAAAATGGTTACAAAATAAAGGAAAAATGCAAGTCAAAAGCCACAGCAAAATCAGCAAACATGAATTTAAATGGACAAGCAAAACCAAAAGCCTCTCTGAGAAATACTTGAATCTGTTAGCAATCCACTAACTGTACTTGATATCCTAGAAATCTTTCCATACTATGGCCAGGGAACCGGGAGAACTGCCAAGGTCTTCATCAATTCTGAAACGATATCTGAACTGAGGGAATCAGCCTGGCGTATTGCAATTAAAACTCAAGAATCGGTTCCGTGAACCACCCTTCTGTTTTGAAGCCAATGTTTTTAATTCTTGAATTCGGGAGGATCGACGCAAACTGAGTGTTTTATTTCTGTCTTCCCAAATTTGGCTCCTTCTGTTGTCATTACAGTTAACAGGTGCAGAAGGGAGGGAAAGTTCAAGGTCTCCCTCTGCAACATTCTCATTAACACTGGTACTTTCATTTTCCAAATCTACAGAAGTTCCTTCCTCACTAATTTCAGGAACATTGGCATTTTCCAAACCTACAGCAGATTCTTCCTCACTAATTTCAGGAGCATTGGCATCAAAAGGTACATTTCCACTAGCATCAGTAAATATACTTTCATTAGCATCAGGAGGAACAAACAGAGGATCAGGTTCAAGTTCAAACTCAGGCTGAACCCCAACACCATGGATGATTGGACTTTAAGTACCACTACTCACTTCCCGAGATCACTGCGACCCTCATCAATGGACCAAACTTTGCACAAAGAGCCCCCATGATCCACTCTACATCTTGATACTGTTTGGAGGAGGATGAACCATGGACGATGGGACTCACAGTACTGTGACTCACTTTCTGAGACCGCTGTAACCCTCATCCAATGACTGATCAAGACCAAATTTGGCACACGAAGCCCACATGACCCACTCTATATTCTGGTGCAGGGTGGAGGAGAAAGGACCATGGATGATGGAACTTGAAATACCTTCACTCACTTCCCGAGACTGCTGTGACCGTCATCCAATGACTGATCAAAACCAAACTTGGCACACAGAGCCCCCATGACCCACTTTCTCTAATAACCCGGGCAGCACCGGGTCCCTAGTCTATATAAATAAAAATGTAATGTTAGTTCGTGCTACACCCACATCCAGAGAGCACTGTGGACTCAAACAATGATGGATCTGGACCAAACTTGGCATGAATATTCCATATGCCCAAATATGAACACAGATGGAGTTTAAGGGAAATAGACCTTGACATTTGGGAGTTGTAGTTGCTGGGATTTATAGTTCGCCTACAATCAAAGAGCATTCTGAACTCCACCAATGATGGAATTCAACGAAACATGGCACACAGGACTTCCATGACCAACAGAACACACTGGAAGGGTTTGGTGGGCATTTACTTTGAGTTTGGGAGTTGTAGTTCACCTACATCCAGAGAGCACTGTGGACTCAAACAATGGTGGATCTGGACCAAACTTGACACAAATATTCCATATGCCCAAATATGAACACAGATGGAGTTTGGAGGAAATGGACCTTGACATTTGGGATTTGTAGTTATTGGGATTTATAGTTCACTACAATTAAAGAGCATTCTGAAACCCACAAACGACAGAAATGGGGCAAACTTCCCACACAGAACCCCCATGACCAACAGAAAATACTTAAGGCCATCCAGTCCAACTCCCTTCACCAGGGCAAGAAAATGTAATCAGAGCCCTCCTGACAAAGAGCCATCCAGCCATAAATATGGATAGATAGATATGATTCTCTCTCTCACACACAGATATAATATCATAGATTTGAAAGAGACCCTTAAAGGACTATGATATGTTGCATGTTCCAGAGTAGGCAAACCAGACACTCTCCACATCAACACTGACAAAGGAACAACAAGAAATACTGTTTACCCACAAGCAGAAAGACATTACATATATTAGAAATCATCACTTTCACGTTATTTTCCAGATCACCAGACTGGGCCACAGCAACGCGTGGCAGGGGACAGCTAGTATAATATAAAATAGTAATAATACTAGCTGTTAGGAATTGTGAGAGTTGAAGTCAAAACACCTAGAGGGAGGGGGGAGGGCTGGAGTTGGTCCAAGCCTACTTGAGCCACATTACCATTAGGATTATAATGATTGAGGTTGGATGGCCACCTGTCGTGGGGGGCTTTGGTTGTGTTTGTCCTGTGTGGGTGCAGAAAGCATGAAGGGCGCTGTGCTGGGTGACCCCTAAGGTCCCTTCCCTCTCCATGATGATGATTGAGGCTGGACGGCCATCTGTTGGGGGAGCTTTGATTGTGCTTTTCCTGCATTGGGCAGAGAGGGACTGGATGCCCTTTAGAGCCCGCCCACCTCCCCTTCCCCATAACAATGTTCTCTGGGACAAAAAGGCGTCTATCACGATGAGTATGGCTGACCCCGACACTTCCGCCTTCCTCCATTGTTCTCTAATACAAGAATAATAGCAACAAGAATACCCTGAGATGCTGCCTCATCCGCCTCCTCTTCCCGTCCCGCTCCTCTTTGGCAAACCTTGTTCGTGATTGGACGTTTGAGGAGCAACGACAGCGTTCATTGGAGGGCTTATCCATCTATCACGCTATCAGTCCCCCCTCCTTTCCCATCCGCCCCGCCTTCTCGTTCCTGATTAGACGTCGGGAGAGAGACAACGAGTTAATTGGAAGCCTGATCCATCCGTCACGCGACCAGCCCCGCCCTTGACATGCTTTCCCGTCCGCCCCGCCTTCTCGTTTCTGATTGGACAGTTGCAGAACGATGCCGACGCTAACTGGAAGGGATAGCCATCCGTCACACTATCAGCCTCGCCCCCCCACCAAAGTAGGGATTCTTCTTTTTCTCAGGAACACCTAATCAAGAAAGGAATTTCCCAGGCAGTAACAAGGAACCCCTAAAAACTGTCAGGCCATCAAGGTGATCAATTGAAACATTCACAGTTATCTCCAACAGACAAGAGTTCTTTCTCCCACCCTGGACTTTCCACAAATATATAAACCCCATTTTCCTAAAGGTAAAGGTAAAGGTTGTCCCCTGACATTAAGTCCAGTCGTGTCCGACTCTGGGGTGTGGTGCTCATCTCCATTTCTAAGCCGAAGAGCCAGTGTTGTCCATAGACACCTCCAAGGTCATGTGGCCAGCATGACTGCATGGAGCGCCGTTACCTTCCCGCCGGAGCGGTACCTATTGATCTACTCACATTTGCATGTTTTTGAACTGCTAGGTTGGCAGAAGCTAGGGCTGACAGCGGAAGCTCACGCGGCTCCACGGAATCGAATCTGCGACCTTTCCATCAACAAGCTCAGCAGCTCAGTGCTTTAACCCACTGCGCCACCGGGGGGCTCAATTTTCCTAGTTTCCAACAAACTTCACAACCTCTGAGGATGCTTGCCACATATGCAGGTGAAACATCAGGAAAGAATGCTTCTTTCCTGAATGAAGCAGAGAGTGTTTGAGGACCGGGACATCCGTAGGGAGACCAAGGTGCTTGTTTATAGAGCTATTGTCCTCCCAACCCTGTTCTATGCCTGCGAAACGTGGACTGTCTACAGACATCACATGCAACTCCTAGAACGATTCCATCAGCGCTGTCTCCGGAAAATCCTGCAAATCTCTTGGGAAGACAGGCGGACAAACGTCAGCATGCTGGAAGAAGCAAAGACCACCAGCACTGAAGCGATGGTCCTCCGCCATCAACTCCGCCAGACCGGCAACGTTGTCCGGATGCCCGACCACCGTCTCCCAAAGCAGTTGCTCTACTCCAAACTCAAGAACGGAAAACAGAATGTTGGTGGGCAGGAAAAGAGATTTAAAGATGGGCTCAAAGCCAACCTTAAAAACTCTGGCATAGACGCTGAGAACTGGGAAGCCCTGGCCCTTGAGCGCTCCAGCTGGAGGTCAGCTTTGACCAGCAGTGCTGCAGAATTTGAAGAGGCACGAATGGAGAGCGAAAGGGAGAAGCATGCCAAGAGGAAGGCGCGTCAAGCCAACCCCGACCGAGACCGCCTTCCACCTGGAAACCAATGCCCTCACAGCGGAAGAAGATACAGAGCAAGAATAGGGCTCCACAGCCACATACGGACCCACAAAAATATTGGAAGACAATCCTCCTCGGATAACGAGGGATCGCCTAACTGAACTGAACTGAACAGCTCGAAAAACCTACAACAACCCAGATTCTTCTTTTGCTGCAACCCACACTTCCAGTGCCTTTCTCTAAGGCTCTCTGTTGCAATTTCGGGATCAGGGGTTTTTTTTGTGCCGGGCCACAGACAATGGAGGCCAGCAGGGGACAGATACCAGAAGAGGAAGAGTTCCGGAAAGAGTTCCTCTTGGCGTTGGACTGAGCGGCCCCTGGAGTTTCTGCTGTCATTAATAACAACAACAACAATACAATTATTATTATTATTATTATTGGGCAACCATCTGTTGGGGGAGCTTTGTTTGTGCTTTTCCTGCATGAAGGCAGAAGGGCTTGAACTGGGTGGCCTGCTATTATTATTTCTGCTATTATTATTATTATTATTATTATTATTATTATTATTGCTACTATTATTATTATGGGTGCTGTGATTGTGCTCTTCCTGCATGGCAGAAAAGGGTTGGACTGGATGCCCCTCGGTTGCTCCTACTATTTTGATGGTGACGATGATGAGGCTGGGTGGCCACCTGTCGGGGGTCTCTGGTTCTCTTTTTCCTGCATGAAGGGTGTGTGTGTGTGTGGGGGGGGGGGGCTCTGCCCGCCCGGGTCATTTGAAAAAGTCAATTTTTTAATTGTCCAAAATGCCTAAAATGTTCGGTGAACCACAACACACATTACGTCAGGTTTACCCCGAGAAACTCCCATCAGTGCTTAAAGTTTGTGATGTTGGCCAAATTTACTCTGGATGCATCCTCGATGGGGTTCAGTGTGCTCTCTAGCTGCAGGATGAACTACAATTCCCACCATGGTCAGTCCCCTCAAATCCCTCCAGTAGATTGAGTTGGCCATGGGGGTTCTGTGTGCCAAGTATGATCCAGGTCCATCATCTGTGGAGGCAGGGGCGGCAGCTCAACCCATTACGCAAAGTAAGCATTTGCAGTATAGTTGATTTTGCCCAGGGGCGCTCTTGGGGGAAAATCGACATTGACATAGGCGAGTTGCAGTTACTGGGATGTATAGTTCACCTACAATCAAAGAGCATTCTGAACTCCACCAATGATGGAATTGAACCAAATATGGCACACAGAACTCCCATGACGAACAGAAAATATATATCAGTGATTGGTTGGGGGGCGCCAAAATACTGTTTGCTTACCATTGAAAATTACCTCTGAGTGGAGGTCACCTTTTCCCTGGTTGTGGGTGAGCTAAAACTCCCAGAAAGGGAGGTCAGTTCCCGTAAAACCCCTCCAGCAATCAGATTTCGGCATATCAGGTCTGTGTGCAAAGTCCATCAGTGTTTGGGTTCATACTGCTCTCTGGATGTAGATGAACTACAACTCCCCCCAAATCAAGGTGAATTTTCCCCAAAGACCTCCAGTATCTGTTCTTGGTCATGAGGGTTCTGTGTGCCAAGTTACTTCCAGATCCATCGTTTGATTGGGGAACTACATGGTGGATTCTCCTCAAACCTCTCTAGCATGTTCAGTGGCTGATCAATTCCTCTGTTTGCTGTGTGGCATAGAAAAGAATAGGGAAAGGTAGGGAGAGGCAGTGGGCGGGCTCATGCTAATTCCACATCAATGGCGAGAGTAAGAAACACTGGGATGTCTGTGGTGGAGGAAACACATAAAATCTAGGGTGGAATGGTCCCCGTCTGAAAGCCTTCACTTGGACAGTGGGCAGTATGATGTTTGTGAAGGACACTGGCACGGCTCTTGGAGATGTTCATGGTGCCCACTATAACCTGCAATGTCATTGGAGGGAGGGCCATTGCTGCCTCTTGTGTCGTGAGAGCTATAGCTGTTTGTGGACGTGGGAGCTTGTCTGTGTAAGTGGGCACCCCAGACACACACGTTGTTCATTCGTTCAGTCACTTCCGACTCTTCGTAACTTCATGGACCATCCCACACCAGAGCTCCCTGTCGGCCATCGCCACCCCAGCTCCTTCAAGGTCAAGCCAGTCACTTCAAGGATACCATCCATCCATCTTGCCTTTGGTCGGCCCCTCTTCCTTTTTTCTTCCATTTTCCCCAGCATAATTGCCTTCTCTAAGCTTTCCTGTCTTCTCATTATGTGGCCAAAATACTTCATCTTGGCCTCCAATATCCTTCCCTCCAATGAGCAGTCAGGCTTTATTTCCTGAAGTATGGACTGGTTGGATCTTCTCGCGGTCCAAGGCACTCTCAGAACTTTCCTCCAACACCACAGTCCAAAAGCATCTATCTTCCTTTGCGCAGCCTTCCCTATGGTCCAGCTCTTACATCCGTAGGTAACTACGGGGAATACCATTGCTTTTACTATGCGGATCTTTGATATACACATACATACATATTTTCACTTTTATTATGTGTATAGATAATAATAATAATAATAGTAATAATATCTATACACATAATAAAAGTGAATATGAATATGATTATTACAAGGATTTGCCTACTCGGCAACAGTCTCTCGTCACAAAAATGTAATATGTAGATTTGATAAATATGGATTTAATAATGATGTGTGGGAATGAATGGAAGAATGGAAGTTGTATGAGTGGAGTTAATAATTTTGGAAACACCAGTATAATATTAAGGCCTGCAATGACTAAACCTGCTTGCTGGGCAGTAATCAAAAACTGCTAATAACAACTGAAAAGTAAACTCTGATAAGAACTGGACAGTGATAACAGAAATGTTTGCAACATTCCTTGTTAAGAAAGAAGTCAACACAAACCTTGTGTTTGTCAACACCATTCAAGAAGATCAACATCTAGCCAGGAAACTGAGATGGACCCAGGATGGAAGACGTCTCTCATTAATTTATAACTCTGGGACTCAGAGGCGGCCCTAGGTAATTTTCAACGGTAAGCAAACAGTATTTTGCCCCCCCCCCCAACCAATCATTGATATATATTTTCTGTTCGTCGTGGGAGTTCTGTGTGCCATATTTGGTTCAATTCCATCATTGGTGGAGTTCAGAATGCTCTTTGATTGTAGGTGAACTATACATCCCAGTAACTACACTTGCCGCACTTGCTCCCTTGCCTGTCCCGCTTTGGGTCCGGAGGCGTGCCTGAAGACCCCGGCGTGTGCACCAAAAGTCACCTCTTCTCCTGACTTTCTCCTCAGCCATTGGGACCAAGAGAGAGAGAGAGAGAGACAGAGGTGGAGATGCCCACCTTTCCTGAAGGTAGGCGCAAAAACAAAGGAGGGAGCGGAGGTGGGAGATACCTCCAGCCGGAGGGGCTCTCTCTCTCTCTCTCTTGGTCCCAATGGCTGAAGTCAGAAGAAGAGGCGACTTTTGGTGCGCACGCTGGGGTCTTCAGACACGCCTCCGGACCCGAAGCGGGCCAGGCGGCGGCTCCGCCCCTTGGCCCACCCGCAGATTGGGGAGAGGAGAGGAGGCGGGTGGAGCGCCGGGGGATCGGGAAAGGGAGCCGGTCATGGGGAAGGGATCGAACGCGGAGAACGATTGAGCGCCGGCTCTGCTCGCGCACCTGGCCGGGTGGAGCAGGAACGAGAGGGGCTAGGTGAGGCTCAAGGGCCCGGCCCCTTTGGGAAGAGGATCGCCCGGCAGCGAGGCAAGAAAGCCGAGGCTACCCTCGAACTGCTAGGGCTGTTGTGAGCTGAGAGGGCGCTCCTCAAGTGGTGGTCGAGGGGCATTTACAGAGGTGCCTCTGCGCCCCTGGCAAAAAAAGTGTTCTTACTTCGCGTAATGGACGAGCCGCCCCTGCTGGGACTACATCAGCAGAATATTCCTATAAAAGACTAAATCTAATAATGCTCAAAGGGTGGCAGACCTGAGGAGTCTGTTCCACCTGCCTCTCTGCTCCATGGGAAGGAGAGAGATGGTGTATTTGGAGAGTGGCAGATTTGCATGGGAGCAGTCTGGTCACTTTGGGGCTTCTTTCTCAAGGGAAGCTGAAGAAGTGCGCTTTTGGAGTCTTAGATTTTGTGCAGGGAGTCAGGTTCTGCTGTAGGGAAAACACAGATCTGATCCTTGGCTTAGGGAAAGTATGCACTTTGGAATTTTGAAACTGTCCATTGGCAGGCTGCAGGAAATCAGGGTTTGGCCTAACAGGTGCTTCTCCAAGGAGGGAGAAAATATGGTAATATATGAATGCCTGAGTATGAATGTGTGTACATGTGGTGTGAATGATGAGTGAAAATGTAATTCTTCTTTGTTTGTTTGTTAGCCATGTAATTGCGAATCCAATGTAGTTGCATATAATCTATATGTTTGTATGTCCAATGTCGTTCTTTGTCTAAATGTTTTTCTGTAATCTGATGTACCCTCTCACACTGGAAATTGCAATAAAAAGAACCTATGCTTCAAAGTTATTGAAAAGCCATTCATGACACTGGCAGCACAATGGGGAGAAAGAGAAGCCAAAGACTATCTCTCTCTTTGAGCCCAAGGAATGCAAATACAAATACAATTCAGCACCTACTCTCCTCTTCAACTGATAATGTAAGTTCCCAACTTACCCCCCCTCCTCCCCGGTTATAGCTCTAATACCAACAAAAAATAGATTCTCTATACTGACGGAAGATTATCCTGAGACGCCGAAGGAAAACGGCAACACGGCAACTCCCCCAGGGACAAATAGCTATGATAAGGAAACTAACCCTAGCTGTTTTGAGTTGCTTTCCCAGCATGTGTTTTTATCTCAAGAGTCTATGGCGGCTATTTGTGAAAGAATAAGAAACATAAATGGGCAAATATTTGAAATAAAGGTGGTCAGTTGAAACATTCACACCTAGCTCTAGCAGAGAAGAGTCCTTTGTCTCACCCTGGTCATGCCACAGATATATAAATCTTTTTGCCTAGTTCCAACAGACCTCACTACCTCTGAGGATGCTTGCCAAAGTGCAGGCAAAACGTCAGGAGAGAATGCCTCTAGACCATGGCCATACAGCCCGAAAAAACCTACAACAACCCAGTGATTCCAGCCATGAAATCCTTCGACAATATCTGAAATAACGACTCTGTTACAATCCCTAATGAGCCAGACTAACTTTCGGCAGGACCTACCTTTAGCAAATCATACAGCTAAGGACAAACTAGTGAAACCTGCAAAGGAACCCAACACAGTTAATGCTAGAAGAGAAGCCTCCTGTCAGCAGAAGTGCTCACTGCAACTTAACAAAAAACAGCTGGTGTTTCATATAGAAAATTCACACTTAAACTGGGGTAAATGGAGCAGTGAAAATAGGATTCCGACATCTCTTAGCAGCATCCTACAGAGAGAATTAAAGCCAAAGGATATTCCGCCACCATTCTGGCTACCCAGTGACAGCTTTTACAAAAGGGCAGTTATCACCTTCCAAGATGAATTTCTTACTCAAAATATATTAAAAATAAGAGACCACCTTAGATGCTCCTATGGAATTATTGTGAAAAGGTCCTTTACAGAGATGCGGTGCCAACCCCTCCTAAAAAACTCTCATTGCAAAAAAGGTCAAACAGCGACAAATGGCCCTTCCGCTCAAACTGAATCCCTTCAACCTCCATTGACAATGCCCCAGGAGCTCACACGGAGGTCGATATCTGCCTCCAATAATCATCCAAAATCACCGATAACAAGAACCAAAGAACAGTTGGAAATAAATGTGGAGTGCAACCAAGAGCTGATGCCAGAGATGACCTCAGAATCAGCTCAATACCTTACTATCAATGGCAAGGAAGGCCCTCTAGTTCTTAGGTCCAACTCCTGTAAGGACTCAAAACAAGAGGTGCAGGCCATAGTTCACCTCACAGAATCCTCCACCCTCGAACAAAGACCAAGGAAAAGAAAAAGGACTTTGGGTAAAATGATTAAAGGTATTAAAGACATAAAAAATACGGATGCGCTGCCACCCGGAAAGAAGAAAAAGAATCCTAAGGGCCAGATGAAAATCTCTCCTTATCTAAAAAATGATCAGATCAGAGTCTCCCAAGCCGTGTGCCAAGAATCATAGAATCAAAGAGTTGGAAGAGACCTCATGGGCCATCCAGTCCAACCCCCTGCCAAGAAGCAGGAATATTGCATTCAAATCACCCCTGACAGATGGCCATCCAGCCTCTGTTTAAAAGCTTCCAAAGAAGGAGCCTCCACCACACTCCGGGGCAGAGAGTTCCACTGCTGAACGGCTCTCACAGTCAGGAAGTTCTTCCTCATGTTCAGATGTAATCTCCTCTCTTGTAGTTTGAAGCCATTGTTCCGCGTCCTAGTCTCCAGGGAAGCAGAAAACAAGCTTGCTCCCTCCTCCCTGTGGCTTCCTCTCACATATTTATACATGGCTATCATAGCTCCTCTCAGCCTTCTCTTCTTCAGGCTAAACATGCCCAGCTCCTTAAGCCACTCCTCATAGGGCTTGTTCTCCAGACCCTTGATCATTTTAGTCACCCTCCTCTGGACACATTCCAGCTTGTCAATATCTCTCTTCAATTGTGGTGCCCAGAATTGGACACAATATTCCAGGTGTGGTCTAACCAAGGCAGAATAGAGGGGTAGCATTACTTCCTTAGATCTAGACACTATGCTCCTATTGATGCAGGCCAAAATCCCATTGGCTTTTTTTGCCGCCACATCACATTGTTGGCTCATGTTTAACTTGTTGTCCACGAGGATTCGAAGATCTTTTTCACACGTACTGCTCTCGAGATCAACAGGACACAAAATCCCTGAGAAACACCAGAGTCCCCAAACGACAATTATACTCAGCTGAGACATTTAAGCTCTAATGGCATCACTACAAACAACCTATTACTGTCTACACAACAATTACAAGAGGTGGGTGCAAACACAAGGAGTAAGACATCCCAAACATGGTCCCATAGCTCAGCAAAGGGGACCACATCCCACCCAAAAAATGGTTGTGTAATCATGGATGCAGATGACCAAATACAAACTCAGGAATGACTAGGGAGTTTCAGAGTGATATCATTCATGACACTCTCATTGAAGTGCAGCCACACAGTTGAGAATAGTTGGGCTAAAACATTGGAATAAAACTTTGGTCTCCTGTAGAGCTTCTGAGTTGCAGCCTTTTTATCTATTTGCAGTGCTTTCCCCCTTGTTCCATTGCACGGAGCATTGCACTCGTCCTGTTTTCAAGTGGTATTGATATCAGCTTGTCAATCTGCTGTGCACTTTCCCTGCTGAGCAACATTAGGTCTTTCACTGTAATAATGACTGATAGAAATAAAAGTACGAGGACACAAGAAGGAGTGTCAAAAGGATTTTATTTCCTACGTTTTAAAAAAATAGGTTGGGAGGGGGAGGAAAGGAGGGAGGGAGGGAGAGAGGAAGGAAGGAAGGAAAGATGGAAAGACGGAAGGAAGGAAGGAGGCCAATGTTTTGGAAAGGCTGCCAGAAGGCTTTGTGGGGACAGCCGCCATGTGAAATATTTGTGAAATCATGCCCCCAAAATACTGGAATAAAGACGCCCTACGCGCCGTGCTTCCTCCTCCACCCCATTAATAAAAAAAAACAACAACATAAAAACATGATCAACACACCCTGCAAGGAACACGACAATTGGTTCTGTTTTTCTATTGACAGCGCCTTAAAGATCCAAAGAAGGAAGAGCAGCAGCAGCCCTGCAAGAGAGTCAGGAGAGAATAATATCACGTAAACATTAAATTATATAATAAAATATTATCATGATAATATAACAATATAACAAAAGTATTATAATAATAGTATTAAAATATAATTATAATATAAAAATAATATTATAATATTATAATGAAACTAGCTGTCCCCTGCCAAGCGTTGCTGTGGCCCAGTCTGTGTATATATTTGTTTATATGTGTATATTTGTGGTTTTGTGCATGCGTTATAATGTATTTTTTTATTGTTTTGGCATTTTAAGTCCCTCCCACTGTGTTTTTTATGAATGAGGGCATTTGTTGGCCTGAAAGGCCAACGAATAGGTGTGTTGTGTCTAAATTTGGTGTCAATTGGTGCAGTGGTTTTTGAGTTATGTTAATCCCACAAACCAACATTACATTTTTATTTATATAGGCCAGTGTTCACATTTGGGCATATAGAGGATCCATCATTATTTGAGTCACAGTGCTCTCTAGAGGTAGGTGAACTACACCTCCAAAACTCAAGGTCAATGCCCACTAAACCCTTCTAGAGTTTTCTGATGGTCAGTTGAGTCCTGTGTGCCAAGTTTGGTTCAATTCCATCGTTGGTGGATTATAGGTGAACTATAAATCCCAGCAACTACAACTCCTAAATGACGAAATCATAATTTTATATTTATTTATCGTGTCATCAGCAACCATACCATTGTATTACAGTTCTAACAGAGCAAAACAAACACACAGATTAAAAAGAAAAGAAAAAAAAACACAGATTTTGCAAATTTGGTATTTGGTTAAATGTCCTTTGACCAGTATCTGGCCACTTGGAGTGCCTCTGGTGTTGCCGCAAGAAGGTCCTCCATGTGCATGTGGCAGGGCTCAGGGTGCATTGCAGCAGGTGGTCAGTGGTTTGTTCTTCTCCGCACTCGCATGCCGAGGATTCCACCCTGTAGCCCCATTTCTTAAGATTGGCTCTGCATCTCGTGGTGCCAGAGCGCAGTCTGTTCAGCGCCTTCCAAGTCGCCCAGTCTTCTGTGTGCCCAGGGGGGAGTCTCTCATCTGGTATCACCCACGGATTGAGGTGCTGGGTTTGAGCCTGCCACTTTTGGACTCTCGCTTGCTGAGGTGTTCCAGCGAGTGTCTCTGTAGATCTAAGAAAACTATGTCTTGATTTAAGTCGTTGACGTGCTGGCTGATACCCAAACAGGGGATGAGCTGGAGATGTCTCTGCCTTGGTCCTTTCACTATTGGCTGCTACTTCCCGGTGGATGTCAGGTGGTGCAATACCGGCTAAGCAGTGTAATTTCTCCAGTGGTGTAGGGCGCAGACACCCTGTGATAATTCGGCATGTCTCATTAAGAGCCACATCTACTGTTTTAGTGTGGTGAGATGTGTTCCACACTGGGCATGCATACTCAGCAGCAGAGTAGCATAGCGCAAGGGCAGATGTCTTCACTGTGTCTGGTTGTGATCCCCAGGTTGTGCCAGTCAGCTTTCGTATGATGTTGTTTCTAGCACCCACTTTTTGCTTGATATTCAGGCAGTGCTTCTTGTAGGTCAGAGCACAGTCCAAAGTGACTCCCAGGTATTTGGGTGTGTTGCAATGCTCCAGCAACCAGAGACAAAATCATAATGTTTTGAGTGATGATCACTCCTTGTGTTGTGAGACGTTTTGTTGCCAAATTTGGTGTGATTTCGTTCATTGGTTCTTTTGTTTTTAAGGTACTCATTATGCACAGAGCATTTATATATATATAGATAATAATAATAATAACAACAACAATAATAAACCTTTATTTGTATACCACTCTATCTCTCTGGGGGAACTTAGGGCAGTTCCCAGCATGGTAAAGCATTGCAATTATGAACACAAAAACATACAAAATAATCATTATAAAAAGTATAAACATCGTACTATATAACAATTGTACATTTAAAATTAAAAAGCCAGTTCAGTACTAATTACATTGGGCCGCTCAGCTTCCAATGGCCAAGATTCCAAAGTGGGCCTCGACAATGACAACATGGCTGGGCTAGTACGACGAGGTAGACTAGGGCCCAAGGAGTGAGTAAAGAGCAAGCATGGCCTACCTGATGGCCAGGGTGGTGCCTGGGGCTCTTCATTTCCAGTGCCTGCTGAATAGCTATAATAGGGCTAGACCAGGGCTAGTGGCAAAGGGCCGGGGAAGTGTGTAGAGTACAGAGTGGGAACCTAACTAATAGCCAAGATATGGTCTGGGGCTAATAATTTCCAGAAGCCTGCTGGAACCACCAGGTTTTCAGGTCCTTGCAGAAGGAGGCAAGTGACAGGGCTTGTCATAACTCCCTGGGGGAGGCCACCACCAAGAAGGCTCTCTCATAGTCCCCACCAACCGCACTTGAGACGGTGGTGGGAGCGAGAAAAAGGCCTCCCCAGTAGACCTAAGAGTCCGTGCCGGTTTGTAGGGGGAGATGCAATCGCAGAGATAGGTGGGGTCCAAACCGTTTAGGGCTTGTAGGTCCTTGAATTGGGCCCGGTGGCTTATCGGCAGCCAGTGCAGCTGCTTTAATAGGGGCATTGTACATTCCCTATAATTGGCTCCAGTATAATTGCTGCCGACCTTTGCACCAGATGGAATTTTTGGACAATCTTCAAAGACAGCCCCACGCAGAGCGCATTACAATGATACAATCTGGATGTAACCAAGGCATGGCCCACTGTGGCCAAGTCAGACTTCACAAGATACGGTCTCAGCTGGCGCACAAGATTTAACTGTGCAAAGGCCCCCCAGCCACTGCAAACACCTGAGCATCAAGCATCACTGCTGAGTCCAAGAGGACCCTCAGGCTGCGGTCCTGTGTCCTCAAGGGAAGAAAGACTCCTTCCATCAAGCACAGGTTGCCACCCTATGGCCTGATCGGCCCCACAACTGACCAGGAGGACCTTTGTCTTGTGTGGATTAAGCTTCAACTTGTTAGCCCTCATCCAGTCCATCACAGTTGCCCGGCATTGGTTCAGGGTCCAGAAGGCTTCCTTGGAGTTCGGTGGAAAGGAGTAGTAGAGTTGGACGTCATCTGCGTACAGAAGGCACCAAACTCCAAAACTCCGGATGACCTCGCCCAGCAGTTTCATGTAGATGTTGAAAAGCATGGGGAAGAGAATGGAAACTTGCAGGACCCCACAGGTTAATGGCCAGGGATCTGAGGAGGTGTCCCACTACTTCACCAACTGGGAGCGATCCTCCAGGAAGGAGCGGAGCCACTGCAGAGCAATGCCCCCAAGACTCATTCCAGAGAAGGAGACCATGATTGATGGTATCAAAAGCTGCTGAGATCCAAGAGAAGCAACAAGGACAGCCTCTCCCTGCTGAGCTCCCTTCGGAGGTCACCCACCATGGCGACCAAGTCGTCTCTGTACCGTAACCAGCCCTAAAACCATACTGCGGCAGATCAAGATAATAAAATAATAATAATAAAATATAATAATAAAAAATAAATACTGTTTGTGAACCGCTGTGAGTCGCCTTCGGGCTTGAGATACAGCAGTATATAAGCAAAGTAAATAAATAAATAAATAAATAAATATAATAATAATATAACAATATATTATAATTAATATATTTAATATTTATACTAATAAATATTTATATATACTAAAATATTTGTACTAATAAATATATTTATACTAAAAAAAAAATAAAATATAATTATAATAAAGTAAAATAACAAAATATTATAACAATAAAATAATAATATAATAATAAAATATAATTGTAAAATAAAAAATAATTTTTAATAGTATAATATATTAAAATTAATATAATAGTATTATAATATAGTATAATAATGTATTAAAATTAATAATATAACAAAATAAATATAATATTATTATGATTATGATGATGGCTGCAAATCATCTCCATCCTCTCCATCATCATCCCCATATCCCCCTCTCCTTTGGTATGCATATGTATATGTGTTCGCAGAAATAAATTCGTAAAAATATTCACAAATACATTTGTAAAAATATTCACAAAAGATAATCACAAAAATATTCACAAAACTGTCACAACAATATTTGAATACATTTTTGTAAAAATGGTAGAAAAATATTCCTAAAAATAGTCTTTAAAAATTCACAGAATATATTCTTAAAAATTCAAAAACTATTCACAGAAAATATCCTTTAAAAATTCAAAAAATATTCACAAAAACATTTGTTTAAATGTTCATAAAATATTAATATTTTCAAAAAAATCATGGATTTTTTAAAAAAAAAATATTAATAACAATATGCGGGGACTCACCTCTGGCTTCCCTCTTTCTCTCCTTCCTTCCTTCCTTCCTTCCATCCGTCCTTCCGTCCTTCCTTCCTTCCATTTCCTCCCCTCATTCCTGCTGCTCCTCGTTGCTAGCGCTGGGGGTCCGGCTCCGGATTTGGCTCCGCAGCTGCTCGATGAGCTCCGGGTTCTGCTGCTGCATCTGCTGCGCAAACTGTTGGCCTCTGCGGAAGGAAGGAAACCATCCAAAAGAACCAGTTATTATTGCAGGCAATTGGATTGGTGCTGCAAGACTGTATGTAACATTCCAATCCGGGTCGGGTCAAGAAAGCCTTCTCTTCTGCTTCTTCCAGCCCTTTGTCCAGCCCAGCTGACACCCAAACCTGGCTGGGGCTCTCCAGATCATGAAGGATAGATTATTATTGTTGTTATTGTTATTCCTAGGCATGTGCAAAAAATTTGGAAGAGTCGAAAATCTTAAGAAAATCGGAAGTTTTATTTATTTATTTATTTACTTTGTTTCTATACCGCTGTTCTCAGCCCGGAGGCGACTCACAGCGGTTCACAAAACACAGAACACAGCAAAATTCAAACACCAATATAAAACAGTTAATAACCTAATCTAATACACAATTAATACACAATTACTATGAAACCATTCACTAGTGTCTCGTCACTAAAAACATGATCCAGGTTCGTCGTCCATTGTTCCATTCCTATGTCATTACCAGTCTTGCACTAATCATTCGAACGCCTGCACAAATAACCAGGTCTTTACTTTTTTGCGGAAGACCATAAGAGATGGTACTAATCTAATATCTGTAGGAAAGGCGTTCCACAGCTGGGAGCCACCACCGAGAAGGCCCTGTCTCTCGTCCCCGCCAGTCGAGCTTGTGAAGCTGGCGGGATCGAGAGCAGGGCCTCCCCAGAAGATCTCAAAGTCCTGGTGGGTTCATAGGCCGAGATGCGGTCGGAAAGGTAGCTTGGGCCGGAACCGTTTAGGGCTTTAAAGGTCAACACCAGCACTTTGAATTGAGCCCGGTAGCAAGTCGGCAGCCAGTGGAGTTGGCGCAACAGGGGGGTTGTGTGCTCCCTGCGTCCCACTCCTGTTAGTATCATGGCTGCCGAGCGTTGGACTAGTTGAAGCTTCCGAGCTGTCTTCAAAGGCAACCCCACGTAGAGAGCGTTGCAGTAATCTAGGCGGGATGTAACCAGAGCGTGGACTACCGTGGCCAAGTCAGACTTCCCAAGGTACGGGCGCAGCTGGCGCACAAGTTTTAACTGTGCAAATGCTCCCCTGGTCACCGCCGAAACCTGGGGTTCCAGGCTCAGCGATGAGTCCAGCATCACACCCAAGCTGCGAACCTGAGTCTTCAGGGGGAGTGCGACCCCATCCAACACAGGCTATAACCCTATGCCCTGTTCGGCCTTGCGACTGACCAGGAGTGCCTCTGTCTTGTCTGGATTCAATTTCAATTTGTTAGCCCTCATCCAGACCGTTACAGCGGCCAAGCACCAGTTCAGGACCTCAACAGCCTCCTTAGTAGCAGGTGGAAAGGAGTGACAGAGTTGGACATCATCTGCGTACAGATGGCACCGTACCCCAAAACTCCGGATGATCTCTCCCAGCGGCTTCATGTAGATGTTAAACAACATGGGGGACAGAATTGAACCCTGTGGAAGTCATTTCCGATGCATTTGCCAGGCCCACACCAAGTATTTTAGAATCAAAACTGACCCCTTACTTTTTGGGTTTAATTTTGCAAATCTCAGTTATCATTTAGTTACAATTCAGTAACTGGGTTTCTAAGCACTTCTGGTGGGTACTAGGTATGTGTTGATATGATTCTGCGATTTTAATGGCAGATGTGACTTACGCTTGGATGAGGCTGGCAAGGTCGTTGGGGCCAGCGGCGGCTCCGGGGGCCGAAGAGGAGGAGGAGGCGGAAGCCCTGGCGGCTTGGCCTCCCGAAATCACCCCCGACATCCTGCAAGCAGAGACAGAGGGAGGGAGGAAGGGACGCCTGGCTTGCAAACCACTCCCAGGTAAACATGGGGGCTGGGCTGGATGGCCTTTGGGGACCCCTCCCCAATCCAAGATACTCTATCTCATATACAATCACACACACAGAGCACATCCCTGAGTTACACACATGACTCCTAGTTAAGAATGGGGCTGGACTGGATGGCCTTCATGGTACCCTCCCACATCTAGGATACTATATCTATCTCATATATACACACATATACACAGGCCATCCCTGAGTTATTGAAATCTGACTTACAAACGACTCCTAGTTCAGAACAGGGCTGGGCTGGATGGCCTTTGGGGATCCCTTCTACATGTATCACCACCTATCATAGGATGCATGGGATTCCGAAGGAGAGGCAGACCGATTGCCCAGAAAGGGAGACAGACCCCTTTCCCAGACAAAGTTTTTCATACTTACAATTGCTGCAACTGTGGGTTGTTCACCAGGTTTGCTGCCTGTTGAATTAAAACAAGGGAGGGAAGTGGGGTAATAATAATAATATAATATTTTAATTGTATGCTGATGCTTTTATGCCAAACTGCTTTGAGTCTCCTTTGGGAGAGATAAAGCGGGGCAAAAGGTATATAATAACAACAGCAACAACTATGTAATATAATAATATGTTATAATATAATAATACATAGCCGCTTTGAGTCTCCTTTGGGAGACAGAAGGCGGGGTATACATAAATACACCTTCCCCTTTTGTGCTTTGCCTCAGCACTCAGATTGCTATATTTTGCAAATCTAATGCACACACCAATTTTGGAGAGGCCATTGAGTCCCCAAAGGAGAAGCCTTAGACTCAAGCCAATAGGGTAGTTTCACTGTCTCTGTTTTATCCAATTGGTCGGTGGGAGAAGCCACTCACTCATTCACTCACCATGTCACATATCACAAAGGACTACCACCTCACCCGCCTCATAGGAAACCTGCTACAAAACAGGAGCTTTTTTGTTGAGTTCCAGGGCCAGAGAAGCAGATGGCGGAAACAGAAGAACGGCCTGCCTCAGGGGAGCGTGCTTGCTCCATCCATGTTCAACATCTACACAAATGACCAGCCACTGCCAGAAGGGACAGAGAGTTTCATCTATGCTGATGACCGTGCCATTACCGCTCAAGCAGGGAGCTTTGAGATGGTACAACAGAAGCTTTCCAAAGCTCTAGGTGCTCTTACTGCCTATTACAGGGAAAACCAGCTGATCCCCAACTCATCCAAAACACAGACACGTGCCTTTCATCTCAAAAAGAGAGTAGCATCCCGAGCTCTGAAGATCACCTGGGAAGGAATCCCACTGGAGCATTGCAGCGCACCCAAATACCTGGGAGTCACTCTGGACCATGCTCTTACCTACAAGAAGCATGGCCTGAACATCAAGCAAAAAGTGGGTGCTAGAAACAATATCATACGAAAGCTGACTGTCACAACCTGGGGATCACAACGGGATACAGTGAAGGCATCTGCCCTTGCGCTGTGCTACTCTGCTGCTGAGTATGCATGCCCAGTGTGGAACACATCTCACCACGCTAAAACAGTGGATGTGGCTCTTAATGAGACATGCCGCATTATCACAGGGTGTCTGCGACCCACACCACTGGAGAAATTACACTGCTTAGCCGGTATTGCACCACCTGACATCCGCCGGGAAGTAGCAGTCAATAGTGGAAGGACCAAGGCAGAGACATCCCCTGTTTGGGTATCAGCCAGCGCGTCAACGACTTAAATCTAGAAATAGTTTTCTAGGATCTACAGAGACACTCGCTGGAACACCTCAGCAAGCGAGAGTCCAAAAGTGGCAGGCTCAAACCCAGAACCTCAACCAATGGCTGATACCAAATGAGAGACTCCCCCCTGGGCACATAGAGGACTGGGCGACTTGGAAGGCGCTGAACAGACTGTGTTCTGGCACCACGAGATGCAGAGCCAACCTTCAGAAATGGGGCTACAAAGTGGAATCCTCAACATGCGAGTGTGGAGAGGAGCAAACCACTGACCACCTGCTGCAATGCAACCTGAGCCCTGCCACATGCATGATGGAGGACCTTCTTGCAGCAACACCAGAAGCACTCCAAGTGGCCAGATACTGGTCAAAGGACATTTAATCAACTACCAAACCCACAAATTTTGTATTTTGTCTGTTTGTTTGCTTTTGCTGTTAGAAATGTAATATAATTGACTGGTTGCCCTGACATGACAAATAAATACTCACCATGTTGATGAAGCTGGGGTTGTTGAGGAGGCCGGCCAAGTCGAAGCCCCCGGAGCTCCCTGTCTGCAAAGGAGGGAGAAACACAAGCGTTTGTACTGTGTGTGTTTCATAAAGGCTGTTGGCTGCCTTGGCCCCCTCAATGGGGAAAGGCAGGAGAAACACTGCCTCGATAAATAAATAAATACATATAAAATAAAATACATATAAAACATCCTCCTTTCCCTCTCCACTTTCACTGGGGCACCAACATCGCAGGTTGGCCAACTTCTCAACGTGCGGTGTGCCCAGCTTCCTTGCTCCTCTCATCCCTTTTTCCCAATGGCTTTGGCTCCAAGGAAGCTGCTGGATCTGGCTGTGGGACTATGAGCCTGAAAAGGAAAGAGCTTCCTATGGCTCCCTCCCATAAACTGCACAATAAAGAACCAAACCCCTTCTAACTAAGGGAGGCTGACTTAGAGAAAGTAATACAGTCTCTGTGGGGGCATGGCAATAATAATAGTTTCATAGATAATAATTTCACAGAATTGCATAGATAATAATGATGAAGATGATAATTTCACAGATAGTGTTGACATGTGCCTTTCATCTCAAGAACAGAGAAGCATCCTGAACTCTGAAGATCACCTGGGAAGGAATCCCACTGGAGCATTGCAGCACACCCAAATACCTCAGAGTCACTCTGGACCGTGCTCTTACCTACAAGAAGCACTGCCTGAACATCAAGCAAAAAGTGGGTGCCAGAAACAATATCATACGAAAGCTGACTGGCACAACCTGGGGATCACAACCAGATACAGTGAAGACATCTGCCCTTGCGCTGTGCTACTCTGCTGCTGAGTATGCATGCCCAGTGTGGAACACATCTCACCACACTAAAACAGTGGATGTGGCTCTTAATGAGACATGCCGCATTATCACAGGGTGTCTGCGCCCTACACCACTGGAGAAATTACACTGCTTAGCCGGTATTGCACCACCTGACATCCGCCGGGTAGTTGCAGCCAATAGTGAAAGGACCAAGGCGGAGACATCTCCAGCTCATCCCCTGTTTGGGTATCAGCCAGCACGTCAACGACTTAAATCTAGAAATAGTTTTCTAAGATCTACAGAGACACTCGCTGGAACACCTCAGCAAGCGAGAGTCCAAAAATGGCAGGCTCAAACCCAGAACCTCAACCAATGGCTGATACCAAATGAGAAACTCCCCCTGGGCACCAGAGGACTGGGCGACCTGGAAGGCGCTGAACACACTGCGCTCTGGCACCACAAGATGCAGAGCCAACCTTCAGAAATGGGGCTACAAAGTGGAATCCTCGACATGCGAGTGTGGAGAGGAGCAAACCACTGACCACCTGCTGCAATGCAACCTGAGCCCTGCCACATGCACAATGGAGGACCTCCTTGCGGCAACACCAGAAGCACTCCAAGTGGCCAGATACTGGTCAAAGGACATTTAATCAACTACCAAACTCACAAAGTTTGTTTGCTTTGTTCTGTTAGAAATGTAATATAATTTGAATGGTTGTCCTGACACGACAAATAAATAAAATAAATTCAATAAAATAAATAAATGATAGTGTTGTAGTGCAGCCTGAGACTGATAGGTTCACTGATGATTTAGAGAGGATTGTGAGATTTCCTGGGGGGGGGGGGGGGTTTCCTGGGGCACAATGTGCTTGAGATTCAAGTCAGGGTAAAGATGCTTCTCTCTGGGAGAAATCTGACTCAGAAAGTGCAAGGCTTCAAGGTCAGCCAGAGGAGCCAGAAACTGCAACATTAGATAAGGAGTTAAGCAAAGACCGAAGTGATACGGAAGGCTCCCAGGGAAAAACACCTGGAGCTACAGAGATCAACAAAAGCCTTCATTTACAGATTAGAGCAGAAAATAGGCAGTGCCAGTTACAATTACGTGGGAAAGCTGGGGAGAAAATTTGTGGGAAAAAGAATGACTTCATGGGTGCCAATTAATTAGCAAGTTATGTAGTGTTCAAGCTTCTCACTTGAACACTACATTGCCTGAACTAACCCTTTACCTAAGGGTTAGTTCAGGCAATGTAGTGTTCAAGTGAGAAGCTAGGCCTGAGTTCTCTGTTTCTTGTTTCAAGTCAAGCCTTGGTTTTGGATTTTAGTGTCCTGGAGGTTTTCTATGTTCTTAATTTTGTATTCCTGCTCAAGTTAATAAGTATACCTTTTGCCTGTGGACTTAGACTGTACTTGTGACTTTTTAGATATTTCTGGACTATGTTACCTTGGATTCTGCATGAAACATTTGGATCACTGTTTGGTTATCACCTATTGCTAAAGGAGCCTCCGGTGGCGCAGTGGGTTAAACCCCTGTGCTGGAAGGACTGAAGACCGACAGGTCACAGGTTCGAATCCGGGGAGAGGTGGATGAGCTCCCTCTATCAGCTCCAGCTCCTCATACGGGGGCATGAGAGAAGCCTCCCACAAGGATGATAAAAACATCAAATCATCCAGGCGTCCCCTGGGCAACGTCCTTGCAGACGGCCAATTCTCTCACACCAGAAGTGACTTGCAGTTTCTCAAGTCGCTCCTGACACGACAAAAAACAAAAAACCAACAAACCTATTGCTAACCCTTTTTTAGACCTCACAACCTCTGAGGATGCTTGGCATAGATGCAAGCGAAACGTCAGGAGAGAATGCTTCTGGAACATGGCCATACAGCCCGGAAAATTCACAGCAACCCACTTTTTGGATTATCTATCTTCTTTCTTTATTCCTGATTTTTCATATATGTGTACGTGTTTTTACAATAAGCTGTAATTTGTATGAATTGTATGAAGTGTATTTTAATGTATTTTATATTGATGACCTATAATGTTTTTCTTATTGTATTGAATTTTATGTTGCAGACTCTAACTCTAAATAAATAATGATAAATATACTCTGGACTCTTGTCTAGTGCTGTGGTCGTAGGTGCTTCCAGGCCTGGGCTGCAACAGACAGAACTATAATTTCATAGGCAATAATAATAATTTCATAGATAATAATAATAATAATTTTATAGATAATAATTGTCCTGCCCCCAAGCTAATTCTCGAAGGTGTTCTAATCGCACCAGGGACAGAGTTGGATTCACACAGAGAAGCAGTTAACTTCCCGCAACAACTTCTAACATGCAATGTATTCGGCTTCCTTGCTTCTCTCATCACCTTCTTCCCAATGGCTCTGGCTGTCAGGCTTTGAGTCTGAAAGGGGAAGACCTACCTATGGCTCCCTCCCTTAAAGGATACAAGAAAGACCTGAAGTCACTTCCTGCCTGCCGCCCTTTCCCCCCTCTGCTCGCATTGGGAACCCACCGGGCTGGGGGCCTCCTTCATTTTCTGTTCGGTCACTTTGAGGTTGGACTTGTAGGTCTCGTTCTCGGGGTCGAGCTCCAGGGCCTTCTGGTAGTAGACCACCGCCTCCGAGAACTTGTTCAGGCTGGAAAGCGCCAGGCTGCGTGGTGGAAGGGAGACAGAGAGAGAGGGGGAAACAGAAAGGCTCAGGAAGACTTCTCAAACATTGTTGGACATCGCAACCTTCTTCAAGCCTCCTATACTAGTTATTTGTTATGTATATAATTCTCTGACCTACAAGAAGCACTGCCTGAACATCAAACAAAAAGTGGGTGCCAGAAACAATATCATACGAAAGCTGACTGGCACAACCTGGGGATCACAACCAGATACAGTGAAGACATCTGCCCTTGCGCTGCTACTCTGCTGCTGAGTACGCATGCCCAGTGTGGAACACATCTCACCACACTAAAACAGTGGATGTGGCTCTTAATGAGACATGCCGCATTATCACGGGGCGTCTGCGCCCTACACCACTGGAGAAATTACACTGCTTAGCCGGTATTGCACCACCTGACATCCGCCGGGAAGTAGCAGCCAATAGTGAAAGGACCAAGGCAGAGACATCTCCAGCTCATCCCCTGTTTGGGTATCAGCCAGCACGTCAACGACTTAAATCAAGACATAGTTTTCTTAGATCTACAGAGACACTTGCTGGAACACCTCAGCAAGCGAGAGTCCAAAAGTGGCAGGCCCAAACCCAGCACCTCAATCCATGGGTGATACCAGATGAGAGACTCCCCCCTGGGCACACAGAGGACTGGGCGACTTGGAAGGCGCTGAACAGACTGCGCTCTGGCACCACGAGATGCAGAGCCAATCTTAAGAAATGGGGCCACAAAGTGGAATCCACGACATGCGAGTGCGGAGAAGAGCAAACCACTGACCACCTGCTGCAATGCACCCTGAGCCCTGCCACATGCACCATGGAGGACCTTCTTGCGGCAACACCAGAGCACTCCAAGTGGCCAGATACTGGTCAAAGGACATTTAATCAGCTACCAAGTTTGCAAAATTTGTGTTGTTTTTTTTTTATCTGTTTGTTTGTTTTGTTCTATTAGAAAAGTAATACAATGTTGGGGTGGGGCCACTGTATGTATTCAATTGAAAATGCTAATAAAGAATAATTATAAAAAAAAAGAAAAGAAAAGTAATACAATGTTCTGGCTGTGGATGACACGATAAATAAAACGTATATAATTTAGATTGCTTACTGTATTGTATATGTATTGGTATGCAGTTTTCCTTAACTCTGTGTTATGATCCAATCTGGGATTGTTCAGGACTCAAACTCCATTTTAGATGTCAGAGTCCATTGGACTTTCAGACTAGACAGAGACTCCATTAGACTCTCAGAACAGAGAGATACTTTGCACTTTGGATTGTTGATTTGGAGAAAGATGCCCTGTGTTACCTACACAGAGAAACTACTTCAAATCCTATCTTTAACTGTACTGATCAACAAAGTACTAGTATGCTGAATACATGAAGGTTGTGAGTAAACAAACTATGTTACTTTTAAAGAAGTCTGCTTGTTTTGATCTCTTAAGAGCATGATTTAAAACCAAGATGTTTGAAGGGAGAGGAGATGTTTTTTGGGCAACTGAAATGAACACTTCTGAAACTCTACTATATGTGTGTGTGTATAAATATATATATATATATCTGTGTGTGTGCTTTTGTGCATATACCTAGATATCATAGAATCATAGAATCAAAGAGTTGGAAGAGACCTCATGGGCCATCCAGTCCAACCCCCTGCCAAGAAGCAGGAATATTGCATTCAAATCACCCCTGACAGTTGGCCATCCAGCCTCTGTTTAAAAGCTTCCAAAGAAGGTGCCTCCACCACACTCCAGGGCAGAGAGTTCCACTGCTGAATGGCTCTCACAGTCAGGTTCTTCCTCATGTTCAGATGGAATCTCCTCTCTTGTAGTTTGAAGCCATTGTTCCGCGTCCTAGTCTCCAGGGAAGCAGAAAACAAGCTTGCTCCCTCCTCCCTGTGGCTTCCTCTCACATATTTATACATCATATCCCCCCTATCATATCCCCTCTCACCCTTCTCTTCTTCAGGCTAAACATGCCCAGCTCCTTAAGCCACTCCTCATAGGGATTGTTCTCCAGACCCTTTATCATTTTAGTCGCTGTCCTCTGGACACATTCCAGCTTGTCAATATCTCTCTTGAATTGTGGTGCCCAGAATTGGACACAATATTCCAGGCGTGGTCTCTTTGAACTGTTAGGCACGAAGATATGCCAATCTAGGTATATCAGTCTAACAGCTGAGAAACCAAATTACCTTGCATGAATGCTTGTGAATATATTTACCACCAAGAAGGATGACTCAAGCGAGTTTTTAACCCTTCGCAGGGAGATTCCAGGTTTTCCAAAATTGTAACGAATGCAATTTTTCCCGAAAGGTTATGGGATCATTTCCCCAAAATGTTATGATTTCTAACAAGGTCATGCATTTCCAAAGATCATAAGTCTCCAAAAAATATTACAAAACACTCCCTTTACTCCATTCCCAACGAGACAGAGAAGGAGGGAGGCTCACAGGCTACGGGGACCTTCTTCAGAGGATTCCACCTCACTTCCTGTCCCTGTGAGAAGGGGATTTTGGGAAATATGGCTCCTTGTGGAAACAAGGATTAGGCATTAATTATCAGCGGAGACTCCTTTCCCACTGATAATAATGACTCTTCCGGGAGTGGATTTCCCTTCCTTCCGAGGGGGAGATTCCTCTCACTTCCTGTTATCTAAGTTCTTGCATTCTTAATTAGGAGTTTTTTGCAAGTCTGATGTTTGTAAGTCAGGGAATGACCTGCATATACATGTATATGAGATATAGTATCCCATTGTTCTTAACTAGGAGTCATTTGGAAGTCAGGGACACCCCCCCCCCCCCCCCCCCCCCCCCCCCCCCCACTCTCTGCCCCAGACTGACTCTCACCCCATCCGCCCGTAGGCTTTGCTGTACTTGGGGTCGATGTGGATGGCTCTCTCGCAATCCCGCACGGCCCCGGCATAGTTCCCCAGCTTGCTGTAAGCGGCGGCCCTAAAAGACCCAATGGAATAATAATAATAATAATAATAATAATAATAATAATAACAATAAGACACTCAGGAAGAGGCCAGGCCAGCCATGCATCCATTATTATCCATAACAGCAACAACAATGGGATGCAGGCTAGCCCTACATCCTTTATTTTTATTAATAATAATAATAATAATAAGACACAGGCTAGCCCCACATCCATTATTATCAATAATAATAATGAATAATAAAAATACTACAACAGCAATAACAATAATAGGACATGCAGGAGAGGCTGCCAGGCCAGTCCTGCATCCATTATTATCCATAATAATAATAATAATAATAATAATAATAATAATAATAATACACAGGCCAGCCCCACATCCATTATGATTAACAACAACAACAACAACAACAACAACAACAACAACAACGGGATGCTCAGGAGAGGCCAGGCTACCCCCACATCCATTATTACAACAACAACAATAACGGGATGCTCAGGAGAGGCCAGGCTACCCCCACATCCATTATTATCCATAATAACATACCTGTTGCAGTAGTAGACAGCATTGGAGGGGTTGAGCTCAATGGCCTTGGCGTAGAAGGAGACAGCACTTTCAAAGTTCTCCGCTTTCATCTGCTCGTTCCCTGGAAGAGAGGCAGACGGTGGCCCCCTTCCTTTCCCCGGCTCTTCCTCCACCCCAATGGTTCCATTCATCCCCTCCCTCCATCCCCTCCCTTTCTTCCTTTTACCTTCAGCTTTTAGCCTCTCAGCTTCGGCCGCGTCTTCTTCCGAGGGAGTGACCGGTTCCAGGTTCGGAGTGTCTTGCTGAGGCTCCTGCAGCATTTTGGGAGAAATGAGATGTGGGTGTGAAATGACTGATGGGTGCGTGATTTATAGTCTTCTCCTTCACAATCACGCTCTCCCTAATATACGCTGCTGCACACCAGACTGATGGTCTCAGGGACAAGCTATGAAAAGTCAACCTGTACATTGCAGAGGCTTTATCAGTTATCTGCAGAGTTTTACTGCACAGCCTCTGACCTTATTGCAGCTCACTGTTTAAGGCAGGCCTGGGCCAACATGGACTGTTGTAGTAGAGCCTGTTAGTAACACTGCAAGTGGTAGTATGGGGGGTCAGAAGAGGGAAAAGGGGGGCTCATGAGCAAGAGCTAGATGAGTAACAACAAAGGAAAAGGATCTGGGATATACTTATGTCACCTACCGACGAAGACTCCTTCGAAGGGTTTTATGAGAGCAAAGGGTCAATGAGTGAGGGAGAGGAAGGAGATATAGTGGATATGAATAGGGGAACTAAGAGGGTTACTCGGGAGAAGGAATCGGATGAGGAGCGACAAAGCAAGAAGATCTGGGATATACTTACTGCTCCCACAGATGAAGAGTCTTTCATGGTTTCTCTAGGAGTGATGGGGAAGGGAGTGATGGTGATGGGGATGACACACTGGATTGGACTAAGGTACAAGAGGTTTGAGATGTATGTACTCAGCCAACGTCTAGTGACACGTTTGTGGGGTTTTCTGGTGGTGGGGATTGGCAATTGGGAGATACTGCTGAGTCTTGGGGAGATCTAAATCTTGACAAAAGATGGAGGAGTTGGAGGGATGGGCGTTGGGGTTCAGGTATGGAGTCAAGGACAGCTGTAAGAGATGATGGCGGGGCGGAGGTCAGCTCATCTTCGGATGATGAGGTGTAAGATAAAAGTAGGTTTTGAAACGGAGGATCTTTGCAGAAGGCAAAATGTTGGTTTTTGGGTTTTGTCGCTGCCGTTTTCGTGTTGGGTTTGGGTCCTGGATCTGCAGGTTGCTGCTTCCGTTCGTGTGTGTTACAGCTCGGGTTGGATTCTCGTGAGTGCGGATTTCCCCTTCTTTGACTTCGGACTGGTTTTGACTACAACGCTGCCTACGTGAAATTTGGAACCTTGCAACTTCGGACTTGGCTTACTTCGACCTCGGACTTTGTTTGACCAAGTCTTCTTCTTTGCAACTCTTTGTTTGTTCATCCTTTACTTGCTGTGTTATTAATAAGTTTCCCCAGTTTTTTGTGGTAAAATTAGGTGCCTCGGCTTATATTTGGGTCGGCTTATACTCCAGTATATATGGTATATTATATTATTTTTATTATAATATATTTTGAAATATTTTATTATTTTATTATTATATATATATTAAATACTTTTATTATAATAATATTTTATTTTATTATTTATTATATTATATTATATTTACCGGCTGTTAGGAAATGTGGGAGTTGAAAACCAAAACAGCTGGAGGGAGGAAGGCCAAAGCTAGCTCAGTCTTGATTTAAGAAAACTCTTTGACTCAGTTTCCATCCAAACTCACAGGGGAGACTTTTAATCTTGACACGTTGCCTTGTGTATGGCTGTACACACACACATCCCTTATGTACAGCTGTATACACATACACATACAGCTGTATACACAACCCAGGATCCCCCGATTTCCTATTGCTATATAAAGAGATATACTCACGACAGTGACAAACATCAGTAACAGATGTACAGCAAGAAGCAAGATAATCATGCCAAGAGAGAGAACACATGCTTTGATACTCATTGCTTCTCATCATCAAACAGGGTCAATAGTTAATGATCCAACCCTCGTCATGCCTGTCACATGGTCAGGGGCAGCTCGTCCATTACGCGAAGTAAGCGGTCGCAGAACACTTTTTTTGCCAGGGGCGCAGAGGCGCCTCTGTAAATGCCCCTCGACCACCACTTGAGGAGCGCCCCCTCAGCTCACAACAGCCCTAGCAGTCCGGGGGGAGCCTCGGCTTTCTTGCCTCACTGCCGGGCGATCCTCTTCCCAAAGGGGCTGGGCCCTTGAGCCTCGCCTAGCCCCTCTCGTTCCTGCTCCACCCGGCCACCGGGTGCGAGCAGAGCCGGCGCTCAATCGTTCTCTGCGTTCAATCCCTTCCCCATGACTGGCTCCCTTTCCCGATCCCCCAGTGCTCCACCTGCCTCCTCTCCTCTCCCCAATCCGCGGGTGGGCCAAGGGGCGGAGCCGCGCCCGCTTCGGGTCCGGAGGCGTGTCTGAAGACCCCAGCGTGCGCACCAAAAGTCGCCTCTTCTCCTGACTTTCTCTTCAGCCATTGGGACCAAGAGAGAGAGAGAGAGAGAGAAAGAGCCCCTCCGGCTGGAGGTATCTCCCACCTCCATTCCCTCCTTTGTTTTTGCGCCTACCTTCAGGAAAGGTGGGCATCTCCACCTCTGTCTCTTCTCTCTCTTGGTCCCAATGGCTGAGGAGAAAGTCAGGAGAAGAGGTGACTTTTGGTGCACACGCCGGGGTCTTCAGGCACGCCTCCGGACCCAAAGCGGGCCAGGCAAGGGAGCAAGTGCGGAAAGTGTAGTTACTGGGATGTATAGTTCACCTACAATCAAAGAGCATTCTGAACTCCACCAATGATGGAATTGAACCAAATATGGCACACAGAACTCCCACGACGAACAGAAAATACATATCAATGATTGGTTGGGGGGGGGGGGGGCAAAATACTGTTTGCTTACTGTTGAAAATTACCTAGGGCCGCCTCTGCACATGACCTTATCTGTGCGCATTCAGAAGACCTACAAGCCACTGTTAGCCATGACTCTGCTTCTTTGCTTGTCCCTCCAGTTCCACATCACCACCTTCTTAACCCTTTCATCAGATGTGTAACCACATGTCCTTTAGAACAGTATTTTGCGCAACAGGGTGACAGCCAATGCATTCCTACATAACCGTGCGCGACCACATGTCCCTGAGAACTATATTTCCAACCAGTTTTGCACCTACCTTTGCGGCGGCTGCTTCAAAGATCTCTGGCAGTGTCTGGGAGAGGGCCAGGCGCCGGTCCTCCATGGAGACCCCAAAGGCTGTCTCAAGGCACTGGATGGCCACTAAGGAAGGAAGGAAGAAACAGGAGGGAAGGAATACTGAATTTAGAAATCAGAATGGCCCCTTCACTCCTCTCCTTCAAGAAACAACTAAAAACCTACTTTTGTATGTTAGCTTATGGAGAGGAAAAAGAAGAGTTCACCATTGATCTCACCTCAACTGATGATGTTGACAATGATTACCCTAACTTATTAAACAGCTATACATTTTTTATAATTATATAGATATTTTAATTGTTCCATGTCTTATTTATGATGCTTGACTGATTTATATGTTTTAGCCACACCCCCGTGTTATTTTCCTGTTGGGAGAGGCCATTACGGGAGTTACTCCAGTGCCTCCTCCTCCTCCTCCCTATTTTTGAAAATCTGGCAACCAGTATTAAAAAAAACTCTGAAAGCAGGACAGTGAATAAAGAACACCACTGGGAAAACAGAGAATTCCAGACATGAAATAATCAGGGCCAGGTAACACCTCCCAACAAAGGATTTCCCCAGGCAGGAAGAAGACAGGCTTTGAGGCTGCAAGGCTATTCAATGGTAATCAAGCAGGCCAATTGCAACATTCACACATGGATCAAGTAGAAAAAAGTTCTTTCTCCCATTCTGGTCCTTCCACAGATATATAAAGAGAAGCCTCCCACAGGATGGTAAAACATCTGGGCAACGTCCCCTGTCCTTGCAGACAGCCAATTTTCTCACACCAGAATTGACTTGCAATTTGTCAAGTCGCTCCTGACATGGGAAAATAAATCGGTTCTTTGCGGATAAAGTCGCTCTAATTCGCTCCGACCTGGATGCTACAGTTACTGCAGTCTCTGAAGATGTAGCGAGAGCACCTGCTTGTCCGGTTTTAACGGATTTATTTCACTTTGTGCAACCCGAGGACGTTGACAAGATTCTTGGAGAGGCAAGGGCAACCACATGCATCTTGGCGAATAAAGGAAGCCAGAGGGGGTTTGGCAGAGTGGGTCAAGGTGGTGAATGCCTCCCTTTGGGAGGGCAAAATTCCAGCGAGCTTAAAAGAGGCTGTGATAAAACAGCTGTTGAAAAAGCCATCAATGGATCCCACTGATTTGAACAACTTTCAGCCAGTTTCCAATCTCCCCTTTTTGGGCAAAGTCTTTGAATGTGTGGTTGTCTCGCAGCTCCAGGACTTCTTGGACGAAACTAACTATCTGGATCCATTGCAGTCTGGTTTCATACCGGGTCATGGAACTGAGACAGCCATGGTCGCCTTAGTGGATGATCTCCGCAGAGAGCTCGACAGGGGGAGTGTGTCCCTGTTGGTTCTCCTGGACCTCTCAGCGGGCTTCGATATTGTAGACCACGGTATCCTTCTGTGTTGCCTCGTGGGGATGGGTCTTGGAGGTACTGTTCTGCACTGGCTCCAATCCTTCCTGGAGGGTCGTACCCAGATGGTGTTGCTGGGGGACTCCTGCTTGGCCCCACAGCCATTGTCCTGTGTGGTCCTGCAGGGCTCAGTATTGCCCCCCCCCCCCCATGTTGTTTAACATCTACATGAAGCTGTTGGGTGAGATCATCCGGAGTTTTGGAGTCCGATGCCATCAGTACGCAGATGACGTCCAACTCTATCACTAATTTCCCCCAGATGCTAAGGAGGCTGCCCAAGTCCTGAACCGCCTGGCCGCTGTGACGGTCTGGATGAGGGTGTGCAAACTGAAGTTGAATCCGGACAAGACAGAGGTCCTCCTGGCCAGTCGCAAGGTCGAACAGGGTATGGGGTCACAGCCTGTGCTGGACGGGGTCACACTCCCCTTGAAGGCACACGTTCGCAGCTTGGGAGTTCTCCTGAATCATCACTGAACCTGGAATCTCAGGTCTCGGCAGTGGCCAGGGGAGCTTTCGCACAATTAAAACTTGTGCACCCGCTGAGCTCGTACCTTGGGAAGTCAGACTTGGCCATGGTGGTCCACACTCTCGTTATATCCAGGATAGACTACTGCAATGCACTCTACATGGGGTTGCCTTTGAAGACTGCTCAGAAGCTTCAAATAGTCCAACAAGAGGCAGCCAGGTTAATAACTGGGGCGGCATACAGGGAGCATACAACTCCCATGTTATGCCAGCCCCACTGGCTGCCAGTTTGCTACCAGGCACAATTCAAAGTGCTGGCTTTGGCCTATAAAGACCTAAACGGCCCCACCCCAATTTACTTGTCCGAACGCATCACCCCCTATGAACCATTGTGGAGACTAAGATCCTCTGGCGAGGCCATGCTCTCCGTCCCTCCATTGTCACAGGCACGATTGGTGGGGATGAGAGAGAGAGACTTCTCAGTGATTGCCCCCCAGCTATGGAACTCCCTTCCTGGTGAGATCAGATCGGCCCCCTCTCTCCTGTCCTTCAGAACGATGGTAAAAACTTGGTTGTGGGACCAAGCTTTCGGGACAGTGCAATATCACTACTCAAAGACTCCATCACAACACTATCCCTTGGCGTAACTCACCAAGCCGAACTGAGTGGCAAGTAGGCCCCGCACACGCCGGTTGCTAAAGGGTGGAGACTGCTTGGCTGTTGCTTGCGGCATTGATAAAGGGAGGTGCCATCTGCAATGGCCATTGTTAAGGGGAGGAGCCAACTGTTACAACAGTATCTAAGGGAAGAGGAGCCTGATTGGCCGTTGCTAAGAGTAATGGTTTTACCTGTCTCAGGTGCGACTCATTTGTGATTGTAGGTATATGAACACCTCAAAGCATTAATCAGTTCAAATGCTACATTGTGTCCAAATTTCATAGGAATCAGTGAAGTAGTTTGGAAGATAAGTTGTTGTTGTTGTTCATTCGTTCAGTCGTTTCCGACTCTTCGTGACCTCATGGACCAGATAAGAGGTTCCCACAAATGGACATTACATTTTTACTTCTATACTTACTTACTTAGGTGATCCCTCGTTGTCCGAGTAGGACTGTCTTCCAAGATTGGTGTCCTGGCGGTGGGTACGTCGGTGACTGTGGAGCCCTATTCTTGAACTGCATATTCTCCCGCAGTGAGGGCATCGGTTTCCAAGTAGAAGGCGGTCCCGGTCGGGGTTGGCTTGACACACCTTCCTCTTGGCATGTTTCTCTCTTTCGCCCTCCATTCGTGCCACTTCAAATTCTACAGCACTGCTGGTCACAGCTGACTTCCAACGAGAGCGGTTAAGGACCAGGGCTTCCCAGTTCTAAGCGTCTATACCAAAGTTCTTAAGGTTGGCTTTGAGCCCATCTTTAAATCTCTTTTCCTGTCCACCAACATTCCATTTTCCATTCTTGAGTTCTGAGTAAAGCAACTCAAGAGACGGTGGTCGAGCATCCAGACAATGTGGCCGGTCCAGCGGAGTTTATGGCAGAGGACCATTACTTCAATGCTTGTGGTCTTTGCTTCTTCCAGCACGTTGACATTTGTCCACTTGCCTTCCCAAGAGATTTGCAGGATTTTTCAGAGGCAACACTGATGGAATCATTCCAGGAGTTGAATGTGATGCCTGTAGATAGTCCACGTCTCACAGGCATATAGCAGGGTTGGGAGGACAATAACTTTATAAACAAGCACCTTGATATCCCTATGGATGTCCCGGTCCTCAAACACTCTGTGCTTCATTCGGAAAAATGCTGCACTCGCAGAGCTCAGGCGATGCTGTATTTCAGTGTTGATGTTGACTTTTGTGGAGAGGAGGCTGCCAAGGTAGTGGAAATTGTCAACATTTTCTAATGTTACACCATTAAGCTGTATCTCTGGCATTGGAGAGGGATTGGCTAGTGACTGCTGGAAGATCACTTTGGTTTTCTCGATGTTCAATGACAGGTCGAGCTTCTAGTATGCTTCTGCGAAGGTGTTTAGAGTAGCTTGTAGGTCTTCTTCTGAATGCGCACAGATGACGTTTCAGCATATTGGAGTTCTATAACAGATGTTGTTGTAACCTTGATTTTGGCTTTCAGTCTGCTGAGGTTGAATAGCTTGCTATCTGTCCGATAGATGATTTCCACTCTGGTGGGAAGCTTCCTGTCAACAAGATGAAGTATCATAGCGATGAAGATGCAAAATAAGATCGGGACTTCCAGCTTCCAGATTTCACAGTCCTGCCCCAGTCATCACTTGCTGATCGCCATGGAACTTTGGTTAATGGAACACCATTAAAGCCTTGGCAGACCGTGCAAAACGAATCTGTGAACCCCACCTCCTCCAAGATGAACTGAACCACCTCAACTGGGCTCTCCAGGCCAATGGATACTACACCTCAGACATCAGAAGAGCTGCAAGACTGAGAACAAGCCACGAGAGTAAAGATGAAGATCCACCCAGAGGAAAAGTGTTCCTGCCATACATCAAGGGAACCACTGACCGCATAGGGAAGCTGATGAGGAAACACAACATACAAACTATCTACAGACCACCAAGAAAATCCAACAAATGCTACGTTCAGCAAAGGACAAGAGGGATCCTCTCACCTCTGCAGGAGTCTACCGTGTACCATGCAGCTGTGGACAAGTCTACATAGGGACCACCAAACGCAGCATTGCCCAGACACACCAGGAACATGAAAGGCACTGCAGACTACTCCAACCAGAGAAATTAGCCATAGCAGAGCACCTGATGAACCAACCTGGACACAGCATATTTATTTGAGAACACAAAAATGCTGGACCACTCTCACAACCACCATGTCAGACTACACAGAGAAGCCATTGAAATCCACAAACATGTGGACAATTTCAACAGAAAGGAAGAAACCATGAAAATGAACAAAATCTGGCTACCAGTATTAAAAAATTCTAAAATTGCAACAGCAAAAACAGCAGAGAGAAAAACAGGCAGGGACATCTAATCACCTTTCAAGAAGAGTTTGCTCCAGGCACAGTCAGCCCATTGTATGCTAATCAAGGTGGTCAGTTGAAAGATTCACACCTAGCCCAACTTACAAAAGCCCTTTGTCTCACCCTGGTCATTCCACAGATATATAAACCCTTTTTCCCAGTTTCAGCAGACCTCACCTCTGAGGATGCTTGCCATAGATGCAGGCGAAACGTCAGGAGAAATGCCTCTAGAACATGGCCATATAGCCCGAAAAATCCCACAAGAACTGAGTGATTCTGGCCATGAAAGCCTTCGACAATACATTGAACTTTGGTTGGTTTGTTTTTATTTTCCTTGGAAGATGCCTGTGTGTGAGTTTTTTTTAATATGTGGAGGTCAGTGCACAGCTTATCAACACACAGTCTTCACAGAGTGAGGTTCCAGTGGTGGCATAGTTAACACAACTATGGCTTCTCAATCTGTTGCAGCCTTCTTCCGCCTTCACAGCCATTGTAACATGTGCCATGTTATCCTCGCCATTGAGGTCTTTGGGTCTTCGGACTGTGCTTGGTCTGGAACCTCCCCTGCGGCCACTCCTGGAAGTGTACGACTCCAGTCGTTGTGCCCACAGGTTCATTGGAACACGCAAGCCCCCTCATCATGACAAGGTGACAGTCCATCTATAGATTATCATTATAAAGTGTGTTTTGGCTCTTCTCTAAAAGGTTATGTCCTCTAATAGTTTGGGTGAAAAGGAGTCACACAGGCAGCTGGCCTGCAACACAGACCGAAGCACCTCTCTGTTAGAGCCAGGACACAACTGAGTGAAACGGAGGCGCTCGCCCTGTTAAATAGACACAGCTTGCATGAGACGCATCACGGGGTCCTTCTACTCCGATTGGCCCAACAGGCAGGACTCACAGAGAAACCCTGTGCGAGCAAGCACGTGGTAGCCTCTTTGTGTGCCATGTGCTCCCGAATAGAAGAGAAGGAGCCGTGCCCGGCAGCCACATGCGCCGTTTCGGGAGAAAATCATGGCAGCGGAGCCCTTGCCATTACGGCTGTCCGGAGAAGCTGAACGGATCCATTTGCAACCCTACTGATTGAGCAATGAACTATTTGTAGTGCCATCAATATTTTATATGTTGAGTCTCCTTGTGGAGAAAAAAGCAGGGTATAAATAATAATAATAATACGTAATAACAATATTTTTACAATGCTGCTTTTGTTGGAAATGACAACCTTGCTTAAGCCTTCTCTAGTAATATCTATCTATGATCCTGCTGCTTACTGTTTCCTGTATGCATGATCTGATATGCAGATTCCTTTACTCTATGGCTCCTGAGAAGTTATAAAAGGGGCTGCAGACTACATGATCATACAGACAGCAGACTACTACAGCCTACTTCAGACCTCAGATCACATTTTTGCTGTTTTGTTATAAGAGAATGCCTTGTCGGATGGCACAGAGAATGATCTCAAACAGAATTATCTCTGTTTTCTTAACAGATCAGAGATAACAGGTTATTCAGTCTAACAACCGAGACCACTGCATTGCATAATTATATCTGGTTGTATGCCACAAAAGAGGGTTCTACTCCAGTGCTTCTCAACCTGGGGTCCCCAGATGTTTTTGGCCTTCAACTCCCAGAAATCCTAACAGCTGGTAAACTGGCTGGGATTTCTGGGAGTTGTAGGCCAAGAACATCTGGGGACCCCAGGTTGAGAAGCACTGTTCTACTCTAAAGGGTTTTTGGCTCCTTTCTGAAAGGTCAGGCTTTTCCTTAAAAGTTATGATCTCCAAAAGGTGTTCTTCCAAAAGCTTTGAGTCTGCTTGTGGAGAGAAAAGGCAGGGCATTGTTATGATGCTGATGATATTTGAATGAGGGCCCACCTTCAAGGCTCTCCTGGGCATCCGGGGAGAGGCCTCCGTCCTGGAGCTGATCCTGCAGGAATCGGACGATGGCGAAGGCCAGGCGCTTGTTGTCAGCCATCTCTCTCAGTCTCCTTGGTGTAGATGATAAAGCCGGGTGCAAATCAATATAATAACAAAAGCAATAATAATAAACTTTTATTTATACCCCACCACCATCTCCCATAGGGACTCGGGGCCGCTTACAATATAACACATATGCAATACAACAGCATAAAATCAATAACACATACGATAAAACCAAGATATTAAATTAACAAAAGCAGCTTCCATTAAATAGAGACAGCAAAATATGGCTGTAGCCATGATTAAAAGATAATTGGCAATTAATGGCAACTATCTTAAATTGTGTCAAAAGCCACATTTTAGCTCTTTCCAAAAGTACTCTCCCTGGGGAGGGTGTTCCAGACCCCGGGGGGGGGGGCACCACCAAGAAGGAAGGCCTTCTCTTTCTCTCCCTCGTCCCCACCAACCGCGCTTGAGACGGAGGCAGGACCAAGAGGAGGGCCTCCCGGCAGATCTCAGAAGTGACACCAGTTCATAGAAGCAAATGCGGTCTCGAAGATAGGCTGGACCTGAACTGTGTAGGGCTTTGTAGGTGATAACCTGCACCTTGAATTGGGACCAGAAACTTATCAGAAGCCAGTGGAGCTGCTTTAATAGGGGCATCCTGCGCTCCCTATAATTAGCTCCAGTTAGAAGCCTTTGCATTAGCTGCAGCTTCCGAGCCGTCTTCAAAGGCAGCCCACATAGAATGCATTTCAGTAGTCTATTCTGGATGTAACTAAGGCGTGGACCACCATGGCCATCAGGCTTTTTGAGGTACGGTCGCAGATAGTGCACAAGCTTTAACTATGCAAAGGCCCTCTGGGCCACCGCCGACACCTTCAAGGGTCAGCACTGAGTCCAGGAGGACCCCCAGGCTGCAGAACTATGTCCTCAGGGGCAACGTGACCCCTTCCGTCAAGCACAGGTTGCCATCCTAGGCCCTGATCAGCCTCGCAACTTACCAGGATAACCTCTGTCAGCTAGTTGACCCTCATCCAGCCCATCAAAATTGCCAGGCACTGGTCCAGGACCCAGGGAGCTTCCTTGGAATGGAGTGGAAAAGAGTAGTAGAGTTGGGATGGCACCCAAATCCAAAGCCCCGGAGGACCTCACCCATCGGTTTCATGTAGATATTGAAGAGCATAGGAGATAGAGTGGAACCTTGAGAGACCCCACAGTCCCCCTGCACCACCATCTGGGTCTGGTCCTCCAGGAAGGAGCAGAGCCACTGCAAAGCAATGGCCCCCAAGTCACATCCTATCCCAGAGAGTCGATCCAGATATAAATGTACTCCTGCCATATAAAAAGCCAGATGTGGCCATGGTGGTCCACGCCTTAGTTACATCTCGGAGGGATTACGGCAATGCACTCTACATGGGGCTGTCTCTGAAGACAGCTCGGAAACTGCTGGTGCAAAGATCAGTGGCCAGGTTGCTGACAGGAGCAGATTATAGGGAACATACCACCCCCTTATTAAAGCACCTCTATTGGCTGCCTACGTGTTTCCGGGCCCAATTCAAAGTGCAGGTTATTGCCTACAAAGCCCTACACCAGTGTTTCTCAACCTGGGGGTCGGGACCCCTCGGGGGGTCATGAGGGGGTGTCAGAGGGGTCACCAAAGACCATCAGAAAACACAGTATATTCTTTTGGTCATGGGGGTTCTGTGTGGGAAGTTTGGCAGAATTGTATCATTGGTGAGCTTCAGAATGCTCTTTGATTACAGGTGAACTAWAAAMMCCAGCAARTACAACTCCCAAACGTCAAGGTCTGTTTTCCCCAAACTCCACCAGTGTTCACATTTGGGCATARGGAGTATRCATGCCAAYTTTGGTCSAGATKCATCATTGTTTYGGTTAACAGTGCTCTCTAGATGTAGYTGAACTACAGCTCCCAAACTCAAGGTCAAMGCCRACCAAACCCAGTATTTTCTGTTGYRCATYAYAGTTATATGTGCCAAGTCRYGTTCAARTGCATTGWTGGTGGAGTTCAGAATGCTCTTTYAATTTAAATGAACRATAAATCCCAMCAACTACAACTCCCAAATGACAAAATCAATCCCCCCACAACCCCACCAGTATTCAAATTTGGGCATATTGGGTATTTGTGCCAAATTTGGTCCAGTGAATGAAAATACATCCTACATATCAGATATTTACAATATGATTCATACCATTAGTAAAATTACAGTTATGAATTCGCAACAAACATAATGTTGTGGTTGCGGGTCACCACAACATGAGGAACTGCATTAAGGGGTCACAGCATTAAGAAGGTTGAGAACCACTGCCCTACACAGTTCGGGTTTAGCATATTTACGCGACCGCATCTCCCCCTGTGGACTAGGCCTTAAGATCTGCCGGGGAGGCCCTTCTCTTGCTCCCACCTCCACAGTTGGTGGGAACAAGAGAGAAGGCCTTCTCAGTAGTGGCCCCCGGCTCTGAAATGCCCTTGTGACTGACCAGGAGAGCCTCTGTTTTGTCTGGATTGAGTCTCAGCTTGTTGGTCCTCATCCAGCCCATCACAGCTGTCAGGCACTGGCCCAGGACTCGGGGAGCCTCCTTAGATTGTGCTGGAAACGAATAATAGAGTTGAGTGACATCTGCATAGAGATGGCACCGAACCCCAAAACTCCGGATGACCTCGCCCAGCGGTTTCATGTAGATATTGAAGAGCATGGGAGATAGAGTGGAACCTTGAGAGACCCCACAGTCCCCGTGCACCACCATCTGGGTCTGGTCCTCCAGGAAGGAGCAGAGCCACTGCAAAGCAATGGCCCCCAAATCACATCCTATCCCAGAGCCAGATATAAATGTACTCCTGCCATATAAAAAGCCAGATGTGGCCATGGTGGTCCACTCCTTAGTTATATCTCGGAGGGATTACGGCAATGCACTCTACATGGGGCTGTCTCTGAAGACAGCTCGAAAACTGCTGGTGCAAAGATCAGTGGCCAGGTTGCTGACAGGAGCAGATTATAGGAAACATACCACCTCCTTATTAAAGCACCTCTATATGTTTCCGGGCCCAATTCAAAGTGCAGGTTATTGCCTACAAAGCCCTACACAGTTCGGGTTTAGCATATTTACGTGACCGCATCTCCCCCTGTGGACCAGGCCTTAAGATCTGCCGGGGAGGCCCTTCTCTTGCTCCCACCTCCACAGTTGGTGGGAACAAGAGAGAAGGCCTTCTCAGTAGTGGCCCCCGGCTCTGAAATGCCCTTGTGACTGACCAGGAGAGCCTCTGTTTTGTCTGGATTGAGTCTCAGCTTGTTGGTCCTCATCCAGCCCATCACAGCTGCCAGGCACTGGTCCAGGACTCGGGGAGCCTCCTTAGATTGTGCTGGAAACGAATAATAGAGTTGAGTGACATCTGCATAGAGATGGCACCGAACTCCAAAACTCGGGATGACCTCGCCTAGCAGTTCCATGAAGAACATGGGGGTGAGAATGGAACCTTTGCAGGACACCATAGGTCAGTGGTTCTCAACCTGGGGTCCCCAGATGTTTTTGGCCTTCAACTCCCAGAAATCCTAACAGCTGGTAAACTAGCTGGGATTTCTGGGAGTTTAGGCCATAAACATCTGGGGACCCAAGGTTGAGAACCACTGCCATAGGTCACAGGCCAAGAGGTTCGAGAAGGAGTCCCCCAACTTCACATACTGGGTGTGGCCCTCCAGGAAGGAGAGGAGCCATTGAAGTGCAATGCTCCCAAGACCCTTCCGGAGAGCCGGCCCAGAAGGACACCATAGTCAATTGTATAAAAACCGGTGAGAGATCCAAGAGAACCAATAGGGACACCCGACCCACGCCGAACTCCCTGCGGAGGCAACCCACTCACAAAGGTGACCAAAGCTGCTTCCATTATTATTAATAATAATAGGTACACGGTCACTGAAAGCAAGAGGTAAAGTGGGGTGCAAATCAATATAACAACAAATATAAAAATATATAGTAACAGATAAATAGCAGCTTGGGTCTCCTTTGGGAGAGATAAGGTGAGGTGTCAATAAATACTGATAACAATAACAACTATAATAACTATGCAATATAATATAATAATAACACATATCTGCTTTGAGTCTTCTTATGGAGGGATCAAGCAAGACATAAATACATATAATACCAACAATAATAAATATGTAATATAATAATCTAGATGGATAGATGCTTTGAGCCTCCTTATGGAGAGAGAAAGCAGAATATCCATGAATACAATAATAACAGAAAGACACAAAGGGGGGCGCTTTGGAGAAGAAAGCTCACCAGTGGCAGCAAGCAGGCAGGCAAGCAGAGGCCTCCTCCTCCCCTCCTTCCCCGAGTGCGCATGCGCAGACCAGGCCCCCTTGTCTCGCCTCGCCTGCTCCCAAGCGCGCCTGCGCAGGAAGAAGAGGAGGCGGAACTCGCTTTTGCGCCTGCGTCAATCAGTGGCCAGGGCCGCGGAAGGCCCACTTCCTTCTCTCCTTTTCCTCGAAGAGAGCGCGTGCGCAGTCCCGGTCAGTGCAATTGCCAAGGGATCGCATGCGCAGTTTGTCTATCTCTAGATGTCAGGTTGAAAAGATTAGGTTAGGTTAGGAGGAGGACGCCAAAGGGCGCGGGGAGGGTGGCGCTGTCCCAACACTTCCGAGTGCCGTCGTCAAAAGGGGCGGAGTTTCTTAGTAGGCCAGGGGGCGGTCCACCAGAGGATTGGCAGCAGAAGCACCGGAAGTAGCAGACGCAGCAGCAGCACACATGGCTCCCCCGACAGGTGAGGAAGGGGCCTCATTATTATTGGTAGTAGGAGCCCCCGGTGGCGCAGTGGGTTAAAGCCTTGTGCTGGCAGGACTGAAGACCGACAGGTCGTAGGTTCGAATCCCGGGAGAGGCGGATGAGCTCCCTCTATCGGCTTCAGCTCTTCATGCGGGGACATGAGAGAAGCCTCCCACAAGGATGATAATTTATTTATTTATTTCAATTACTTCTACCCCGCCCTTCTCACCCTGAGGCTTACAAACGAAGGCACAATTCGATGCCTATATCAAATTATACAAACATATAAAACAGTTTAAGCAGATGAACAGATTAAAACATCAATACATAAAACAATCTCATGCTCAGCGTTCAGAGTTCCGAATGTCCATTCCGTTCCATTAATTCCTGCTCATCATCGGGATTTTCCTTTAGCTGCCAGAATGTCCAAAGGCTTGGTCCCACATCCAGGTCTTCAGTTTTTTCCTGAATGACAAAAGGGAGGACGCTGATCTAATCTCCCCGGGGAGTGAGTTCCACAGGTGAGGGGCCACCACCGAGAAGGCCCTGCTCCTCGTCCCCGCCAGCCTCACTTGCGATAGAGGCGGGGTCGAGAGCAGGGCCTCCCCAGAAGATCTTAAAACATCAGAAATCATCCAGGCGTCCCCTGGGCAACGTCCTTGCAGACGGCCAATTCTCTCACAACAGGAGCGGTTGCTCCTGACACGACAAAAATAAATAAATATTGGTAGTAGTATTATCATTAGTATTGGTAGTAGTATTATCACGGTGCTCCACGCTCTTGTTACATCCCGAATAGACTACTGCAATGCGTATCTCGGCCTATCAGCCCACCAGGACCCTAAGATCTTCTGGGGAGGCCTTGCTCTCTATCCCGCCTGCTTCACAGGTGCGGCTGGCGGGGACGAGAGACAGGGCCTTTTCTGTGGTGGCCCCTCGGCTATGGAACGCCCTTCCAATGGAGGTAAGATCAGCCCCCTCGCTGATGGTCTTCCGAAGAAGATTAAAAACCTGGATGTTCGAACAGGCATTTGGTTAATCGGTGCAATGAATGTGATGATTAAGGACTGGTAATATGGATGATGAAACTGGACCACGATTTTAGTCAGGTTATGCATTGGATTGTGATTTTTGTGCTAATATTGTGTATTATGTTTTTTATGGTTTTAAATTGTATACTGTGGATTGTGTATTCTGTATTCCGTTGTAAACCGCGTTGAGTCGCCATTTAGGCTGAGAAATTGCGGTATACAAGTACAGTAAATAAATAAATAAATAAATAATGCGCTCTACGTGGGGTTGCCCTTGAAGACTGTTCGGAAACTTCAACTAGTCCAGCGAGCGGCAGCCAGATTGCTCACCGGAGCGACATACAGGGAGCATACCACCCCCCTGCTGTGCCAGCTCCACTGGCTGCCGATTCAGTTCCGAGCACAATTCAAGGTGCTGGTTTTGACCTACAAAACCCTGTACGGTTCCAGTCCAGTGTATCTGTCCGAACGTATCTCCCTCTAGGTCCCACCTCGGAGTCTGAAATCATCTGGGGAGGCCCTGCTATCGACCCCACCACTGTCACAAGTGAGGCTGGTGGGGACGAGGAGCAGGGCTTTCTCAGTGGTGGCCCCTCACCTGTGGAACTCACTCCCGGGGGAAATCAGGGCATCATCATCCCTCCTCGCCTTTAGGAGAAGGGTGAAGACTTGGTTATGGGACCAGGCCTTTGGGCACTCCGGCAATTAAATCAGACAACCAGGCGAGTAAGACCAGCAGGATTGATGAAGTGGAACGTAAAACTAGATCTATAAGTAGCGAACGCTGACCATGTAAGAGGAGAAATTGGGTTTGTATTTGGTTTTATTGATTTTATTAATTTTATGGTTATAATGTATATTTGTTGTTAACTGTGTATTGATGTAATTCTGTGTATGATTGTTTTTATGATGCAGGCATCAAATTGTGCCTTTGCCTCTGTAAGCCGCCCTGAGTCCCCTTCGGGGTGAGAAGGGCGGGGTAAAAGAACCCCAAATAAATAAAAAATAAATAAATCATTGTCCTGATGGGGAAAAGCAAGGGGCCGGTCTGGAGGCTGCCCCCTTTCACCCTAGAGAGGCACAGAAGTCCCATGATATAGATATAGAGTTGAAAGAGACCTTTCCTTCCTTCCACCATCATCATCATCATCATCATTTAATAACTTATTAATCGCCCTCCATCCGAGAATGCTCCAGGCGATTTACAGCTAAATCATAAAAGATAAAATACATACATACAAAAATTAAAAATTAACAGTCCAACCCCCTAGAATCACAGAATCATAGAAAGAGTTGGAAGAGACCTCATGGGCCATCCAGTCCAACCCCCTGCCAAGAAGCAGGAATATTGCATTCAAATCACCCCTGACAGATGGCCATCCAGCCTCTGTTTAAAGGCTTCCAAAGAAGGAGCCTCCACCACACTCCAGGGCAGAGAGTTCCACTGCTGAACGGCTCTCACAGTCAGGAAGTTCTTCCTCATGTTCAGATGGAATCTCCTCTCTTGTAGTTTGAAGCCATTGTTCCGCATCCTAGTCTCCAAGGAAGCAGAAAACAAGCTTGCTCCCTCCTCCCTGTGGCTTCCTCTCACATATTTATACATGGCTATCATATCTCCTCTCAGCCTTCTCTTCTTCAGGCTAAACATGCCCAGCTCCTTAAGCCGCTCCTCATAGGGCTTGTTCTCCAGACCCTTGATCATTTTAGTCGCCCTCTCTGGACACATTCCAGCTTGTCAATATCTCTCTTGAATTGTGGTGCCCAGAATTGGACACAATATTCCAGGTGTGGTCTAACCAAAGCAGAATAGAGCATGGGGAGCATTACTTCCCTAGATCTAGACACTATGCTCCTATTGATGCAGGCAAAATCCCATTGGCTTTTTTTGCCGCCACATCACATTGTTGGCTCATGTTTAACTTGTTGTCCACGAGGACTCCAAGATCTTTTTCACACGTACTGCTCTCGAGCCAGGAAGGTCCTCCCTTGTGCATGTGACAGGGCTCAGGTTGCATTGCAGCAGGTGGTCAGTGGTTTGCTCTTCTCCACACTCGCATGTCGAGGATTCCACTTTGTAGCCCCATTTCTGAAGGTTGGCTCTGCATCTCGTGGTGCAAGAGCGCAGTCTGTTCAGCGCCTTCCAAGTCGCCCAGTCTTCTGTGTGCCCAGGGGGGAGTCACTCATGAATTGAGGTGCTGGGTTTGGCCTGCCACTTTTGGACTCTCGCTTGCTGGGGTGTTCCAGCGAGTGTCTCTGTAGATCTAAGAAAACTATGTTTTGATTTAAGTCGTTGACGTGCTGGCTGATACCCAAACAGGGGATGAGCTGGAGATGTCTCTGCCTTGGTCCTTTCACTATTGGCTGCTACTTCCCGCGGATGTCAGGTGGTGCAATACCAGCTAAGCAGTGTAATTTCTCCAGTGGTGTAGGGCACAGGCACCCTGTGATAATGCAGCATGTCTCATTAAGAGCCACATCCACTGTTTTAGTGTGGTGAGATGTGTTCCACACTGGGCATGCGTACTCAGCAGCAGAGTAGCATAGTGCAAGGGCAGATGTCTTCACTGTGTCTGGTTGTGATCCCCAGGTTGTGACAGTCAGCTTTCGTATGATATTGTTTCTAGCGCCCACTTTTTGTTTGATGTTCAAGCAGTGCTTCTTGTAGGTCAGAGTGACTCCAAAGTGACTCCCAGGTATTTGGGTGCGCTGCAATGCTCCAGTGGGATTCCTTCCCAGGTGATCTTCAGAGCTCGGGATGCTTGTCTGTTCTTAAGGTGAAAGGCGCATGTCTGTGTTTTAGATGGATTAGGGATCAGTTGGTTTTCCCTGTAATAGGCAGTAAGAGCACCTAGAGCTTCGGAGCAACCAGAGAAGTCCCATGATATAGATATAGAGTTAAAAGAGACCTTTCCTTCCTTCCTTCCATCATCATCATCATCATCATTTAATAACTTACTAATCGCCCTCCATCCGAGAATGCTCCATTCGATTTACAGCTAAATCATAAAAGATAAAATACATACATACAAAAAATAAAAATTAACAGTCCAACCCCCTGACAAGAAACAGGAAAATCGCGTTAAAAGCACTCCCAACAGTTGGGCATCCAGCCTCTGTTTAAGAGCCTCCATAGGAGCCTTTTAATCCCTCCAGTACTTTAGATGACTCCCTCCTTTCGCTTCTCCAGGAAACCCCCGCTCCATTAAGCATTGCACCAGGATATTATTATTATTATTATTATTATTATTATTATTATTATTTTTATTTGTACCCCGCTAGCATCTCCCGAAGGACTCGATGCGGCTTACAAAGGCCAAGGCCTCAACACACAACATAACAATTAAAAACCTAAGGCAAAATAAAAACAATTAAAGCAATATTAAACAACAGGCAATAAACAATACACCAAGACACAATAAAACTGGGCCGGGCCAGAGTAATGGGTACAGGATTAAAAGTGCTGATGTGACAGGTGGTATATAAGGCTTATAGGGCAAGTGCAGTGTGCGGTGTGCAGCAATCTTAGTTCTAATAAAGTGCTTATGGGACTTGGTATTGGAGATTTCCTATTCTGGGAAGGCACATCGGAACAGCCAGGTCTTCAAGTTTTTTCTGAAGACTGCCAGTGTAGGGGACTGTCTAAGATCTTTGGGGAGGGTGTTCCAGAGTCGGGGGGCCACCACAGAAAAGGCCCTGTCTCGTGTCCCCACCAAACGCGCTTGCGACGCCGGTGGGATCACGAGCAGTGCCTCTCCAGATGACCGAAGTGAACGCGTGGGTTCATAAACGGAGATGTGGTCACGCAGGTAGGATGGTCCCAAACCGTTCAGGGCTTTGTAGGTAAGCACCTGCACCTTAAATTGGGCTCGGAAAATAAACGGCAGCCAGTGGAGCTCCTTGAACAGGATATCTTTTGATTCCCTGGAATCAGACAGTTGACTAACCCCGTTAAATATTACACCTGTCCTGGCCTACCCTGGGTGGGTGTGTGTGTGTGTGTGGGGGGGGTCCCGACTCGGGGGGAGACCATTGAGGTGGGGGGGGGGGAGGAGGAGGTCGAATTCATCAACTCAGGGAGAAGCATAACAAAGTTCTTGCAACCCTGAGGCAAGTTAGGCCGGTTAGCCTACATGACATCAACTACCTAGATCAGTCAGTCTGGTTTCAGGCCTGGTCACGGCACCGACCAGCTTTGGTCGCCTTGGTGGATGACCTCCGTAGAGAGCTGGACAGGGGGAGTGTGACCCTGTTGGTCTCTTGGACATCTCAGCGGCTTTCGATACCATCGATCATGGTATCCTTCTGGGTTGACTCTCTGGGATGGGTCTCGGGGGCACGGTTTTGTCCTGGCTTTGACCTGTGGGGTCCCGCAAGGCTCTATTTTGTCTCCCATGCTTTTTAACATCTACATGAAACCGCTGGGAGAGGTCATCCGGAGTTTTGGAGTTGGGTGCCATCTCTACGCAGATGACACACAACTCTACTACTCTTTTCCACCTAATTCCAAGGAGGCCTCTCGGGTGCTGGACGAGTGCCTGGCTGCTGTGTCTATCTGGATGAGGAGGAACAAGCTGAAGATCAATCCCGACAAGACAGAGGTCCTCCTGGTCGATCGTAAACCTGATCGGGGTATAGGGTGGCAACCTGTGCTGGACGGGGTTACACTCCCCCTGAAGTCACAGGTCCGCAGTTTGGGAGTTCTCTTGGATTCATCACTTACGCTTGAGGCTCAGGCGTCGGCGGTGTCCGGGAGGGCTTTTGCACAATTGAGACTCGTGCGCCAACTGCGACCGTACCTCGCAAAGGCTGATCTGGCCGGGGTGGTCCATGCCTTGGTCACCTCCAGATTGGACTACTGTAATGCGCTCTACGTGGGGCTGCCCTTGAAAACGGCTCGGAAATTTCAACTGGTCCAACGGGCAGCAGCCAGGATGTTAACTGGTGCTCCTTACAGAGAGAGGTCAACCCTCTTGTTCAAGGAGCTCCACTGGCTGCCGTTTATAAGGCCTACTCCACGGCTTTGGGGGCAGCCAAGAAATCCTTCTCGACTGCTCGCATTGCGTCTGCAAAAAATAGACCGGCTGAGTTGTTTCGGGTTGTCAGGGAGCTCCTTCACCCTCCTGGGATGGAGGAGCTCCTCGACAATCCAATCACTTGATGCAGCGAGTTCACGCATCATTTTGCAGATAAAGTCACTCAGATATGCTCCGATCTGGACGCCAACATTCTTACAGTGTCAGGTGAGGTAACCGAGGCATCGGTCAGTTTGATCTTATTAGATTCATTTCAACTGGTGCAGCCTGATGACATGGACAGGATCCTTGGAGCGGTGAGGGTGACCACATGCGCACTAGACCCTTGCCCGTCGTGGCTTATAAAACTTGCTGGAGGAGGGGTGGCCGATTGGTTGTAAAAGATAATAAATGCTTCATTGGAGCAAGGGCAAATTCCACCATGCCTAAAACAGGTAGTCGTGAGACCGCTCTTTAAAAAGGCATCTCTTGACTCATCAATATTGAACAACTATTGGCCAATCTCAAATCTCTCTTTTTTAGGGTAAGATTCTGGAGCGAGTGGTTGCTTCTCAGCTCCAGGGATTCCTGGACGAAACCAATTTCTGAAATTATTTTCGCTAGTTCCTTCAATACTCTTGGGTGTAGTTGATCTGGCCTACAGGAGTTTGTTATTCTTTGCATTCTTCTTTGGTGATTTCTCCCTTTTTCCACTTCTTGTGCATGTTTCTTTTGAGTCTTAGCCCAGTTAGAAGTTCTTTGGACATCCATTCTGGCTTCTTTGTATTTCTTTTATTTTTTCTCTTTGTTGGCACTGTTTGCAATTGCGCCTTGAGTATTTCATTCTTGAAAAACTCCCATCCATCTGTAACTCCCTTGTCTTTTAGTATCAGCATCCACGGAATGCTGCTCAGTGTTTCCTTAATTTTTCGGAAGTCAGCTCTCCTAAAGTCCAGAATGCAGGTTTGATTTGTCTTCGTTTCGGCCTTCCTTTGTACCTCAAACTGCAGGAGCATATGGTCACTTGCCCCTAAGGATCCGACCACTTCTACTGCATTGATCATCGTTTGTTAGGATTAGATTGAGAGTAGCAAATCCCCTTGTTGCCTCTTTTACCTTCTGGACCATAAAATTGTCTGCAAGGCAAGCAAAGAACTTGTTGGACTTTGTACTCTTGGCCGAGTTTGAAATCGCCCATGACTACTATTGAGGGGGCTGCCATATATAGATATAGTTGAATATAGTATCGTAGGCTTGGGAGGGGTCCCCAAAGGCCATCCAGCCCAGCCCCATTCTTCACTAGGAGTCATATGTATGTAACTCAGGGTTGGGCTGTGTGTATATCCATAGATAGAGAGAGAGATTATCCTAGGTTTGGAAGGGGTCCCTATAGGCCAGGCATCCTCAAACTGCAGCCCTCCAGCTGTTTGGGCCTACAACTCCCAGAAGCCCTAACGAGCTTGTTCAATTGTCAGGAATTCTGGGAGTTGAAGACCCGAACAGCTGGAGGGCTGCAGTTTGAGGATGCCTTCTATAGGCCATCCAGTCCAGCCCTGTTCTTACCTGGGACTCGTTTGTAAGTCAGGTGTCTGTAACTCAGGGATGGCCTAATGTATGTGAGTGATAGAACTAGTATCCTGGGTGTGGAAGGGCCCCCCAAAGGCCACCCATCCCACCCCCATGGTCATTAACTGTGAGCCATGTGCCTGTGCCCAGATCCTGTGCGAGAGGGACCCCCTGCCACAGCACCCCTCTCCTCCTCCACTGGAGGCCTGGCGCTGCGCTGGGACCTGACGGCCGCCCAGATCCGGAGCAGTGCAGAGGAGCTGATTGCGCGGAGCAAGAGGACCTACGACGCGGTGGCAGCCCTGCAGCGCGAGGAGGTCTCCTGCGAGAACACCCTCCAGGCCCTGGCCAACGCAGAAACACACTACACCGGTGGGTGAAGAGGTGCTCTCATTATCAGTACTATTATTACTATTATTAGAATGCTTTGAGGGTGCTTTTCCTGCATGAAGGAAGGGGTTTCATTCACTCTTGGGTGGCGCTTGTGTCTCAGGGCAGCGGAACCTGCTGGACTTCCCGCAGAATGTCTCCCCCTGCCAGGCGGTCCGGGCGGCCAGCACTGAGGCCGATAAAGCCCTCTCGGCCTTCGACGTGGAGACCAGTATGCGGGCTGATGTCTACCAGCGCCTCCTCTGGCTCCAGGTAAGAAGGGGAAAGGGAGACTCTGGGCTTGCCTCTCTTGGCTCTCATGCCTCCCTTCCTCCCTTCCTTCCAGGAGAAGCTGGGCGATGATGGCGGGCCCCTCAATTCGGAGGCCAAGCGGTACCTGGAGAGGCTGCTCAAGCTGGGCCGGCGGAGCGGACTGCACCTCCCGCAGGAGACCCAGCAGGTGGGAAAGGGAAAAGAAACCGGGCCCAGCTAGATGGTCTTCGAGGGGGTCGTCCACGTCTGGGATATATAACATACATAGGCCATCCCTGAGTTGCAAACATCAGCCTTGGAAACTACTCCCAGTTCAGAACAGGGCTGGACTGGATGGCTTTTGAGGGAACCTTCCAAATCTAGGATACTATCTCTATCTTATATACATATATACATACATACACAAGCCATTCCCAAGTTATAGACATCCAACTTGCAAATGACTCCTAGTTAAGAATGGGGCTGGACTGGATGGCCTTTAGGGGTTTCTTCCATATCATGGATACTATGTCTATCACACCCACCCACAGGTCATTCCTTAATTACAGACACCCAATTTGCAAGTTAAGAACAAGGCTGGGCTCAACAAGTACGCTCCCTCAAAAATTTCTAGATTTAAAAAGAGACTTAGATTTGCAAGATATTTGGAGAGCAAGAAATGAAGAAAAGAAAGATTATACTGTATATTCTCATAGGCATCAATCCTGGTCAAGAATAGACATGATATGGAGTACAAAAAAATTAATGACAAAAGTACAAGACATTCTCATCCTTTCCAGAGACTTATCCGATCACTGCCCAATTGAGTTAATTATTTTCCAAAGAAACGTAGCTAGAAGATGGAGATTAAATGAGAATTTGATAAAAACGGAAGCAGATAGATCGAAATTTAAAAGAATAATTCAAGATTATTTGGAAATAAATGATACGACGACGACAAATGCTCAAATAACATGGGATGCAATGAAAGCAGTCCTGAGAGGACATCTTATTCAACATAATTATAATAAAAACCGGGAAAGGAATAAAGGCATTAAGGATTTGACAACTAAAATAATAAATGTGGAAAAGGAGTTAAAGAAAGACTCAAAGAAGATACAATTAGAAAAGAGACTGAAGACTTTAATACAAGAAAAGAATCATTTGGAATTGGAATTTCAAGCTAACCAGATTAAATTTTTGAAACAACAAACATTTGAAAACGCGAATAAACCTGGAAAATGGTTAGCCAGACAAGTTAGGAAAAAAACAATCAAGACAAATTACGAAGATTAAAGTGGGGGACAAATTTATCTCAACAGACAAAGATATAATGGATGAATTTAGGAAATATTATAAGCAATTATATTCAAAAGACAATATAGGTAAAGAAGAAATAACAACCTATATAAATAAATTTAGGTTTCAGAAAGTGGATGACGAAACAAGGGAGCAACTGAATAAAGATATATCCGAGGAGGAAATTGAGAAAGCGATTCAGAAAATGGACTCAGATAAAGCTTCGGGTCCAGATGGATATATGGCTGGATTTTATAAAATATTTAAACAAGAATTGATACCTTTATTTATAAAGGTGTTAAATGAAGTGATGACAAAACAGAAAATTCTGGAAACTTGGACAAAGGCAGAAATAGTTTTGATCCATAAAGAAGGAACATGTGAAACAGAGATTAAAAATTACAGACCAATTTCACTTCTTAATACCGACTATAAAATTTTGACAAACATCCTGGCTGAAAGAATTAAAAAAAAATTAAGAAAGTGGATTGAAGAAGATCAAACATTGTAATATTTTGGGGCCTCTGTATGTCTTTCCTCTTTCAGAAAATCAAGGAGATCAAGAAAAGGCTGAGCGTCCTCTGCATTGACTTCAACAAGAACCTCAATGAGGACACCACCTTCCTGCCCTTCTCCAGGGAAGAGCTGGGTAAGGCAGACCTGCATTCTTTCAAATCATGTGAAGCTGCAAGCATTAAAGAGTTATAAAAGGGAACTACATTTCTAGGCAGGAAATTCAACACAGGATCTCACAAGCTGACTTCTCTAGCTCACTGGAAGGTATCTCGACCCTTTCCATCCTCTCAGGAGATCTCAGGTGCTTGGTGTGGGCTCATAAAAGGAGGCGTGTCCCTGAGAAGTGTCAGCCTAAAAGAGGAAGGAGATTGGAGGAGAGAATGGAGGGGGATTTGAATAAAAAGTGGCATGTCCCTGAGAAGCATCAATATAACGAAGGATTTGAATGAAAGGGGGGGGGGTGTGTCCTTAAGAAGTGTCGGGGGATTGGGGGAGAGGAGAGAGAAGGATTTGAATAAAAGGGGGCGTATCCCTGAGAAGTAGTCTAGCAAGTAAGGGGATAGGAGGAAAGGAGAGAGTGGGATTTGCATGAAAGGGGTTATGTCCCTGAGGAGTGTCAGGGGATAGGAGGGGATGAGAGAGGAGAATTTGCATAAAAGAAGGCGGAGATCATCCGGAGTTTCGGGATACGGTGTCATTTGTACGCGGATGATGTCCAACTCTGTCACTCCTTTCCACCTGCTACTAAGGAGGCTGTTCAGGTTTTTCGGGGTGCGGTGTCATCTGTACGCAGATGCTGTCCAACTCTGTCACTCCTTTCCACCTGCTACTAAGGAGGCTGTCCAGGTCCTGAACCGGTGCTTGGCCACTGTGACGGTCTGGATGAGGGCGAACAAATTGAAATTGAATCCAGACAAGACAGAGGTCCTCCTGGTCAGTCGCAAGGCCGAACAGGGCATAGGGTTACAGCCTGTGTTGGATGGGGCCGCACTCCCCCTGAAGACGCAGATTCGCAGCTTGGGTGTGACCCTGGACTCATCGCTGAGCCTGGAACCCCAGGTTTCGGCGGTGACCAGGGGAGCATTTGCACAGCTAAAGCTTGTGCGCCAGCTGCGCCCGTACCTTGGGAAGTCTGACTTGGCCACGGTAGTCCACGCTCTGGTTACATCCCGTTTAGACTACTGCAACGCTCTCTACGTGGGGTTGCCTTTGAAGACAGCTCGGAAGCTCCAACTAGTCCAACGCTCGGCAGCCATGATTTTAACAGGAGCGGAGCGCAGGGAGCATACAACCCCCCTGTTGCGCCAACTCCACTGGCTACCGATCTGCTACCGGGCTCAATTCAAAGTGCTGGCGTTGGCCTTTAAAGCCCTAAATGGTTCCGGCCCAAGCTACCTATCCGACCGCATTTCTGCCTATGAACCCACCAGGACTTTGAGATCTTCCGGGGAGACCCTGCTCTCGATCCCGCCTGCTTCTCAAGCTCGGTTGGCGAGGACGAGAGATAGGGCCTTCTCGCTGGTGGCGCCTCAGCTGTGGAACGCCCTTCCTACGGACATTAGACTAGCACCATCTCTAATGGTATTCCGCAAAAAAGTGAAGACCTGGCTGTTTGAGCAGGCGTTCGAATAATTAGTGCAATGATTGGTTAATGAACACTGGAATGGAACAATGGATGACGAATCTGGAACATGTTTTTGATGACGAGACGACAGTGAATGGGTATTGTAGTAACTGTTTATTAATTGTGTAATGTGTTAGGTTGTTAACTGTTTCTATACTGTAGCACTGAATTTTTGCTGTTCGTATTTGTTATGAACTGCTGTGAGTCGCCTTCGGGCTGAGAACAGCGGTATATAAGTAAGGTAAATAAATAAATAAATAAATAAATTTTCCTGTGAAGAGTCAAGGGAATAGGAGGGAGAGGGATTTGCATAAAAAGGGGCATGCCCCTCCTCCTTTCTCCTGCAGGTGGCCTGCCAGAGGACTTCCTGTCCTCGCTGGAGAAGACTGAGGATGGGCGGCTAAAGGTGACCCTCAAGTACCCGCACTACTTCCCCCTCATGAAGAAGTGCCATGTCCCGGAGACGCGGAAGCGTATGGAGGAGTGCTTCAACTCCCGCTGCAAGGAGGTGGGCTGGGGTCTGAGTCAGGGGTCGGGGGGCAAAGGTGGCCACAGCGCTGACCGTCCCTCCCGTCCCTTGCAGGAGAACTCTCGCATCTTGAAGGAGCTGCTGGAGCTGCGGGCGCAGAAGGCCTCCCTGCTGGGCTTTCCCACTCACGCTGACTTCGCCCTGGAGATGACAATGGCCAAGGACCGGAAAACCGTGGGACACTTCCTGGGTGCGTATCCTAGAGTTGAGATATATGTGTGTGTATCACAGGGCACCAGAGTTGGAAGGGACCCCCAAAGGCCATCCAGTCCGGCCCTGCCCTATTTATTATTATTTGAAACTCAACAGGATTCATCCACAGCAAAAAGATCACTCTGCTGGATGTTGTATTAGATCCCACATTGGACACTTCCCAAGTGTCTAGGACTGTGTGATGTATTAGCAAATAATGTGTTCAGATCCCAGAGGGATGGCCTTTTGCAGCTGACAGATGGTAATTCTGTCAGTGCCAATTGCGTTTAAGTGCAGGCCAAGGTCTTTAGGCACTGCTCCCAGTGTTCTGATCACTCATGTACTGAAACCACTGCAACCCTAATCCAATGACTGATCAAGACCAAACTTGGCACACAGAGCTCCCATGACCCACTCTATATCCTGCTGCTCTTTGGAGGAGGGTGGACCATGGATGATGGGACTTCAAGTACCTTCACTCATTTCCTGAAAACAATGCAACCGTCATCCAATGACCAATGAAGACCAAACTTGGCATACAGAATCGCCATTACCCACTTTCTCTAATAACCCGGGCAGCACCGGGTCCCCAAGCTAGTAGAATAAAAGAGTTGAGATATATCACAGGGTCCTGGGGCCAGTCCAGTTGCTGGGCTTCCCCATGCATGGCCCCCGTGACCTTTGCCGATCCCTGTCTTACCCCCAGATGACCTGGCAGGCCAGCTGGCTCCACTGGGAGAGCGTGAGCGTGCAGCACTGCTGGAGCTGAAGCAGGCGGAGTGCGAGGGGCGGGGCCTCCCCTTTGACGGCCGCCTCTGGGCCTGGGACCTGCGCTTCTACATGAACCTGCTGGAGGAGACGCGCTTCAGTGTGGATCAGGAGCGCCTCAAGGAGTTCTTCCCGCTGGAGGCTGTCACCCAGGGCCTGCTGGGCCTCTACCAGGAGCTGCTGGGCCTGGACTTCCATCTGGAGACAGGAGGAGAGGGTGTTCCCACCGCTTGGCACCCCGATGTCCGGCTCTACTCCGTCCGGGACGCCGCCTCCGGGGACGCCCTGGGTCACTTCTACCTGGACCTGCACCCCAGGTGAGCCTCTCTTTCGAGGGACACACCCCCTTCTGTGCAAATCCCTCTCATCCCCTTCTCTCCAATCCAATCAAGCAGCAGGATATAGATTGGACACTCATCAGGGACACACACCCTTTTATACAAATCCCTCTCTATCTTTCTCTCCAATCCCGTTCCTTGCAAAGCTACTTCTCAGGGTCATGCACCTTTTACGCAAATCTCGCTCTATCTTGTCCTGTTCTTCTTGTCAGACTGACACTGCTGAGCGACATGCCCCTTTTATGCAAATCCCTCTGTATCTTCCTTTCTAATCCCTTTCCTTGTTTCTCAGGGATGGCTCTGGAGAAGGGGAGCACAGGGGTGAATGTAAATAAAAGAGGGAAATGTATAGTATATGTCTGTATAACTGTAATTTTTTCTCAAATAAACATTTATTTAGACAACTTCTCAGGGACACGCCCCCTTTTATGCAAATCCCTCTTTTACCCACTCCTCCTTGTATTCAAATCCCTCTTGTTTTATTGATGCTTCTCGGGGATATGCCCCCTTGTATTCAGATCGCTCTCTGCCGTCTCCTCCTATACCCTGAGTCTTCTCAGGGACACTCCCCCCTTTTATGCAAATCTGTCCTTCTGTAGGGAGGGCAAGTACGGCCACGCGGCCTGCTTCGGCCTCCAGCCAGGCTGCCTGCTTCCGGATGGTCGCCGCCAGGCTGCACTGGCCGCCATGGTGGCCAACTTCTCCAAGCCCACGGCTCAGGCCCCAGCTCTCCTTCAGCATGATGAGGTGGAGACCTACTTCCACGAGTTCGGGCACGTCATGCACCAGCTCTGCTCCCAGGTGGGTTGGAGGGCCATCTGTCGGGAGGGATCGGATTGTACCTTTCTTCTTCTTCTTATTGCTATGAAGCAGAGGCTGGGTGGCCATCTGTCGGAAGGGGTTGGATTGAGCCTTTCTTGCATGGCAGAAGGGGATTGAACTGGATGTCCTTTTTTTTTGGGGGGGGGGTGTCTATTATTATTATTATTATTATTATTATTATATTTATACCCCACTTTATGATATATTATCTCTCCTGTTGGTCCACATGCGATGACGTCATAATGACATGACATGATACGGGGGGGGGGATCCTGAGGGGGGTCCTTTTTGGTGTTGTGCTGACCCTTGACCCTTCCACCCCCTCCCCCAACAGGTGGAGTTTGCCATGTTCAGTGGGACGCACGTGGAGCGCGACTTTGTGGAGGCGCCCTCACAGATGTTGGAGAACTGGGTCTGGGAGAAAGAGCCCCTGCGGCGCATGTCGCGGCACCACCGCACCGGGGAGGTTCTCCCTGAGGTGCTCATGGACCAGCTCATCCGCTCCCGGCAGGCCAATGCTGGTCAGAACTCCTGGGGGGGGGGCTCCTCTTGGGGGCGGGGTCTGGTCTTATGGGTGGGGTCCCATCTTGTAGATGGGGCCTGTTCTTGTGGGCAGGTCCTGTATTTGGGGACGGGGCCTGCTCTTGGGACAGGGTTTTGGGGGTGGGGCCTGGTGTTAGGGTGGGGCCTCTCTTTGGGGGTGGGGCCTATCTTGGGGCAGGACCTAGTGTTAGGGCGGGGCCTGTCTTGGGGCAGGGCCTGGTCTTAGGGGCGGGACCTCCTGGTAGGACAGCCTGGTCTTGGGGGCGCTGTCCCAGAATCCCCCTCTGCTTTTCCTTCCTCCCTGCCCCCCCCCCCCCAGGGCTCTTCAACCTGCGGCAGATTGTGCTGGCCAAAGTGGACCAAGCCCTGCACACGCGGCCCGGCGCTGACCCTGCAGAGGAGTATGCCCGACTGTGCGACGAGATCCTGTGCGTCCCGGCCACCCCAGGTGAGGGATTTGCCTAAAAGGGGCGTGTCCCTGAGGAATGCCAGGGGATAGGAGGAGAGAAGGGAGGAGTTTGCATTAAAAGGAGCGTGTTCATGAGAAGTATCAATATAATTGGAGAGATTTGAATGAAAAGGAGTGTGTCCCTGAGGAGTGTCAGGGGATAGCAGGAGAGGATAGAGAAGGATTTGCATAAAAGGGTGCGTGTCCCTGAGAAGTGCCAGACTTAATAAGAAGAGGATTAGAGGAGAGAACTGGCAGGCATAGAGGCCAATGGGAGAAGGGTTTTCCTGCCAACTCATTCATCTGCCTAAGTCGTCAATGAGGACTGCAAACTTGTGCAGGATAACAATATAATGTAATAATAATATCTGTGGTGCTGGAGGAAAGTTCTGAGAGTGCCTTGGACTGCCAGAAGATCCAACCACTCCATACTTCAGGAAATAAAGCCCGACTGCTCGTTGGAGGGAAGGATATTAGAGGCAAAGTTGAAGTACTTTGGCCATATCATGAGGAGAGAGGAAAGCTTGGAGAAGACAATGATGCTGGGGAAAATGGAAGGGAAATGGAAGAGGGGCTGACCAAGGGCAAGATGGATGGATTATTTATTTATTTATTTATTACAGGTACGTTTACCCTGCCCTTCTCAACCCCCGAGGGAGGACTCAGGGCAGCTTACAAAAAAGGCACAATTCGATGCCTATACACTTTACACATAATATACAAAACCATTGTTAAAAACAGTTATCACAATTAAAACAATCCACAACTAGTGCATAACACATCATATAAAAATCATATAAAAACTATTCTCGTGCTCAGCGTTCCGTCTTTCAGAGTTCCATAGTTCTAATCCATTAATCATTTCCTAATCATCGTCAAAATTCTTTCTTCATCTGCCCGATTGTACGAATGCCTGGTCCCGAATCCATGTTTTCAGTTTTTTTCTAAAGGAAAGGAGCGATGTTGCAGATCTAATTTCCCCGGGGAGTGAATTCCACAGGTGAGGGGCCACCACCGAGAAGGCCCTGCCCCTCGTCCCCGCCAACCTCACTTGTGATAGAGGCGGGGTCGAGAGCAGGGCCTCCCCGGAAGATCTTAGACTCCGGGGTGGGACGTAAAGGGAGATCCGTTCGGACAGATACACTGGGCCGGAACTGTATAGGCATCCTTGAAGTGACTGGCTTGACTCTGAAGGAGCTGGGGGAGATGACGGCTGACAGGGAGCTCTGGCGTGGGCTGGTCCATGAGGTCACGAAGACTCGGAAACAACTGAACGAATGAACAACAAAATCATCAAGAGTCTCCTAAGTCCTATTTGTGTAGTTGACAAGAGGACCATATCATCAGCATATTAGATTTGAATTCTCCTATTACCTCCTGACGGTGGGAAGTGATCAGGAGAACTCAGTTCGGCAACTAGATTGTTCACATAGAAATTGAACAGGAAAGGTGGCAGCAACGACTGAACGAATGAACAACAACAAATGTAATAATAATACATTGTAATATAAATAATGGATACCTTTGGGAGAGGTAAAGCAGGGAACTTCCTGACTGTGAGAGCCGTTCAGCAGTGGAACTCTCTGCCCTGGAGTGTGGTGGAGGCTCCTTCTTTGAAAGCTTTTAAACAGAGGCTGGATGGTAATCTGTCAGGGATGATTTGAATGCAACAGAGTTCTTGCGACCCTGGAGAAGGTGGGTAGTGGTAGGCTCCACGGCAGTCCCCTTGGTCTTAAGGTCCTGCTGATTAATGCCAGATCCGTTAATGGTAAGACCGCGGCCATCCAGGACTTGATCCTGGATGAGAGGGCGGATCTGGCATGCATCACCGAGACCTGGCTGGACGAGCTGGGGGGAGTAAATCTCACTCAGTTGTGTCCACCAGGTTTCGGAGTGCATCAGCAGGCCAGACAAGGGGGGCGGGGAGGAGGGGTCGCAGTAGTCTTTCGGCAATCCATCGCCGTGATCAGATGCGCTGTTCCGCAGGCTTCTGGGTTTGAGTGTGTCCACTTGAAAGTGGGGAGCCGTGACAGTGTGGGGTTCCTGCTGGTGTACCGCCCACCCCGCGACCCAGCAGCTTCCCTGTCTGAGCTAGCGGAGGTGGTCTCTAATTCGGCCTTGGTTTCCCAGCGCCTGGTGGTGCTGGGAGATTTTAACATCCACGCTGAGACCACCCTATCTGGTGCAGCTCAGGACTTTATGGCCACCATGACGACCATAGGACTGTCACAAATAATATCTGGTCCCACTCATCAAGCTGGACATACTCTTGACCTTGTTTTCGTGGCGGACAACGAAATGATTAGAGTGGAAGATCAAAACATCCTTCCGGTGTCATGGTCTGATCATTATCTGATCAGTTTTAGACTTGCTGCGACTCTTAACCTCCGCAGGGGTGGAGGACAGATTAAAATGGTCCGCCCTAGGAGACTGATGGATCCGGATGGATTCCTGAGGAATCTTGGGGTTCTTCCTGCCTTGGAGCCTGGCGATTCTATCGACGCCTTGGTAACTCTCTATAATGGGGAGATGTCCAGGGCGATAGATACGATCGCACCCGAACGCCCCATCTCGTTGCGTCGTGACAGGCCATCTCCCTGGTTCACCGGGGAGCTGGCTGTGATGAAGCATACGAGAAGGGGGCTAGAGCGCAAATGGAGGAAATCTCGGGACGTGTCTGATCGAGCACGGGCTAAAGCCTCTCTTAAGGCATACTCCGTGGCTATACGGGTGGCCAGGAAATCATTCACGACCACCCGTATAGCGTCTGCAGCAAATAGATCATCGGAGCTGTTTCGGGTCGTGGGGGAACTCCTCCACCCACCTGTGGTGGAGGAGGTCACTGATGACCCAGCAGCTCGGTGTCGCGATTTCGCACACCATTTTGCAGGCAAAGTCGCCCAGATACGCCTTGAGCTCGACTCCAATTTCATCGCAGTGCCAGAAGAGGTGACGGAGGCATCTGCTTGTCCAACTTTGTGGGATTCTTTTAGGCTTGTTCTTCCTGAAACTGTGGAGGAGATTCTTGGGGCTGTGAGGGCGACCACCTCATCTCTAGACCCGTGCCCATCTTGGCTCATTAAATCAGCCAGGGAGGGGCTGGTTGATTGGTTTGTGTTGATTATCAACGCATCGTTGGAGCAAGGGATTTTTCCATCTAACTTGAAACAGGCTGTGGTTCGTCCACTCCTTAAAAAGGCTTCCCTTGACTCCACGGTGCTGAGCAATTACAGGCCAATCTCCAACCTCCCTTTTTTGGGTAAGGTGCTGGAGCGGGTGGTCGCCTCCCAGCTCCAGAGCTTCTTAGATGATACCAACTACCTAGATCAGTCACAGTCTGGTTTCAGGCCTGGTCATGGCACCGAGACAGCCTTGGTCGCCTTGGTGGATGACCTCCGCAGAGAGCTGGACAGGGGGAGTGTGACTCTGTTGGTTCTCGACATCTCAGCGGCTTTCGATACCATCGATCATGGTATCCTTCTGGGTCGTCTCTCTGGGATGGGCCTTGGGGGCGCGGTTTTGTCGTGGCTCCGGTCCTTCCTGGAGGAACGAACCCAGATGGTGAAGCTGGGAGACGCCTGCTCTGACCCCTGGCCTTTGACCTGTGGGGTCCCGCAAGGCTCTATTTTGTCGCCCATGCTTTTCAACATCTACATGAAACCACTGGGAGAGGTCATCCGGAGTTTTGGAGTTGGGTGCCATCTCTATGCGGATGACACACAACTCTACTACTCCTTTCCACCTAATTCCAAGGAGGCCTCTCGAGTGCTGGATGAGTGCCTGGCCGCTGTGTCGATCTGGATGAGGAGGAACAAGCTGAAGATCAATCCTGACAAGACAGAGGTCCTCCTGGTCGATCGTAAACCGGATCGGGGTATAGGGTGGCTACCTGTGTTGGACGGGGTTACACTCCCCCTGAAGCCACAGGTCTGCAGTTTGGGTGTCCTCTTGGATTCGTCGCTCACACTTGAGGCTCAGGTGTCAGCGGTATCCGGGAGGGCCTTTGCACAATTGAGACTTGTGCGCCAGCTGCGACCGTACCTCGCGAAGGCTGATCTGGCCGGGGTGGTCCATGCCTTGGTCACCTCTAGAATGGATTACTGCAATGCGCTCTACGTGGGGCTGCCCTTGAAGACGGCTCGGAAACTTCAATTGGTCCAGCGGGCAGCAGCCAGGATGCTAACTGGGGCTCATTATCAAGAGAGGTCTACCCCTCTGTTTAAGGAGCTCCACTGGCTGCCATTTATTTTCCGAGCCCAATTCAAGGTGCAGGTGCTCACCTACAAAGCCCTAAACGGTTTGGGACCACCCTACCTGCGTGACCGCATCTCCATCTACGAACCCACACGCTCGCTTCGATCATCTGGGGAGGCCCTGCTCGTGATCCCACCCACGTCGCAAGCGCGCTTGGTGGGGACACGGGACAGGGCCTTTTCTGTGGCTGCCCCCTGACTTTGGAATGCCCTTCCAAAAGATCTTCGACAGGCCCCTACTTTAGCAGCTTTCAGAAAGAACCTAAAAACTTGGCTGTTCCGATGTGCCTTCTCAGATTAGGAATCCCCCATCCCAAGTCCTAGAAGCACTTTAGTACAATTAATATTACTGCACACCGCACTATTTTAATCCTATGTTCCTCCTGCCATTCCAGCACTTTTAACCCTGTACCCCATTGCGTTGGCCGGCCCAGTTTTAAAGTGTCTTGATGTATTGTTACTGTTGTTTGTTATTTTGCTTAACTATTTGATTTGCTTTGTTTACTATTGTTGCGTTATGTTTTTACTGTATTGTGTTTTGAGGCTTCGGCCTGTGTAAGCCGCATCGAGTCCTTCGGGAGATGCTAGCGGGGTACAAATAAAGTTAATAATAATAATAATAATAATAATAATAATAATAATAATAATAATATTCCTGCTTCTTGGCAGGGGGTTGGACTGGATGGCCCATGAGGTCTCTTCCAACTCTTTGATTCTATGATTCTATCAATAAACATAACAATAGGTTCTTGTGGGTTTTTTCGGGCTATAGAGCCATGTTCTAGAGGCATTTCTCCTGACGTTTCGCCTGCATCTATGGCAAGCATCCTCAGAGGTATGCTTGCCTCTGAGGATGCTTGCCATAGATGCAGGCGAAACGTCAGGAGAAATGCCTCTAGAACATGGCTCTATAGCCCCAAAAAACCCACAAGAACCTAATGATTCCAGCCATGAAAGCCTTCGACAATACATTGAACATAACAATAGTCCTAAAGAAGCTGTCCATCCAGAGGATCGTCCTCCTTCCTTTCTCTTCACAGGGACCAACATGCCAGCCTCCTTTGGGCACCTAGCAGGGGGCTACGATGCCCAGTACTACGGCTACCTCTGGAGCGAGGTCTTCTCCATGGACATGTTCTGCACCCGCTTCAAGCAGGAGGGCATCCTCAACCCCAAGGTGTGGCTTCCCCTTTTCTTCCTTCCCTCTTTCCTCCCTCCCTTCATTGTCAAAGCCTTTATTTAAGAACTATATTTCTACATAGGAAAGTGATCCAGGGCCTAGTTAGCTAATGATCTGTCTCGCTGGAGACACCTTGCCTCTCTCCATTCTCACAGGAGGAGAACAAGCATGGAGGACTCAGAGGCTGGAACTTGGGAGAAGGGGCAGGTCCATGAGAAGAAGGGGATTGGAGGAGAAAAGAGGGGGATTTCAACAAGAGGCGTGTCCCTGAGAAGTGTCAGTTTTAAGAAGAAGAAGGGGATAGGAGGAGAGGATGGAGAGGGGTTTGCATAAAAGGGGGTGTGTCCCTGAGACGTGTCAGAGGAGAGGAGAGGGATTTGCATAAAAGGGGTGTGTTCCTCAGACATGCTAGCCTAACTATCCAGTAGGGCAGTGGTTCTCAACCTTCCTAATGTCACGACCCCTTAATACGCTTCCTCATGTTGTGACCCCCAACCATAAAATTAATTTCATTGCTACTTCATAACTGTCATTTTGCTGCTGTTATGAATAGCAATGAAAATATCTGATATGCAGGATGTGTTTTCATACACTGGACCAAATTTGGCACAAAGACCCAATACACCCAAATTTAAATACTGGTGGGATTGGAGGAGGGTACTGATTTTGTCCTGTGCAAGTTGTAGTTGCTAGGATTTATGGTTAACCTACAATCTAAGAGCATTCTGAACTCCACCAACGATGGAATTGAATCAAACTTGGCACACAGAACTCCCATGACCAAGAGAAAATACTGGAAGGGTTTGGTGGGCATTGACCTTGGTTTTAGGAGTTGTAGTTCACTTACATCCAGAGAGCACTGTGGACTCAAACAATGATGGATCTGTACTAAATGTGGCACGAATTCTCAATATGCCCAAATGTAATAGCCATAATGAATGGCCAGGGTAGTGGGGTTTGGGGAAAATAGACCTTGACATTTGGGAGTTGTAGTTGCTGGGATTTATAGTTCACCTACAATCAAAGAGCACTCTGAACCCTGCCAACGAATGAACTGGGCCAAACTTCCCATACAGAACCTCCATAACCAACAGAAAATACTGTGTTTTCTGGTGGTCTGGTGACCCCTCTGACACCCCCTCGCGACCCCTTCAGGGGTCCCGACCCCCAGGTTGAGAAACACTGCAGTAGGGGGAAGGACCGGCGTGACAGGCTGGTGGAGAGGACAATGGGGTTAGGGTCTTCTTCCTGCCTACCTCCCTCTGCCCTCAATGAGGACCACCGGCTTGTCCCTTCTGTTCCCCTGCAGGTGGGTCTGGACTACCGCCGCGACATCCTGTGCCCAGGGGGCTCCCTGGATGCCTCAGAGATGTTGGTGCACTTCCTGGGGAGGGAGCCCAAGCCAGACGCCTTCTTGGCCAGCAAAGGGCTGAAGGTAGACAGCAACCAAGCAAACTGAGGAGGCCTTGGCATTCGGATCCGCCCAGCAAACACACAGCGGGGACCCATCGATGCCCCTGCGCCTCATTTTCTTGGCCTCCGAATAAAAACTAATACAAGTTCGAATTTGGAACCAGGTCCAACCGGGCTGCTAATTCTAATTAAAGCTTATGAGGCCCCCAAGCAACTCTGGGCAAGCACCTTCTTTTCCTTCCATCTGCCCCTCTCTCTCTCCCTCTCCTTCCCTTCCTTCCTTCCTCCTTTCCCTTCTTTAATTATATTATTATTATTATTATTATTATTATTATTATTATTATTATTATTCCTTTATTTGTACCCCGCTAGCATCTCCCGAAGGATTCGATGCGGCTTACACAGGCCGAAGCCTCAGAACACAATACAACAATACAATACATAAAGCAAATTAAAAACAGTTAAGCAAAGTAAACAATAAACAGTAACAATACGAGACACTAATTTATATTATAAAATTAATAAAATATTACATTGATGATGATGATATATTACTAGAATAATAAATATATATAACTAGAATGAGAATAAATTAAATATCATATGATTTATTACAAGAATAATAAATATAAAATATAATACATATAACAAATGTGTTATGTTACTATAATAATTAGTATAACACATGAATATTATAGCTATACTAATAAATATAATTCATATAATGTACTGTAATAATAATTAATATATTCTATATTAACATAATGATGATAATAATAGCAATAATAATATCCTGCCCCTTTGAGATTGACTCTTGGCCACGCCCCCAAGGGGAGGCGGGGAGGGAGGGTGCGCTCTCATTGGCTGGGAGGGAGAGGGCATGCCTGCCTGCATGATGACGCTCTCCTGACATCAGTATGCCTCACTCCTTCCAAGTGTAGGATTCTGTGATGCTAGAAAGGAATGTAGGGAATATTATTATAATACTAATATTAATTGATATAAAATATATAATAATATAAAATAGAATATATAACTATAATTATAGTGTTGATATATTACCTTAATTATAGTATGATGGTAATGATACTCATTGTAATACAATTTATCACTATAATAACAACTATAATATAATATTTATAATATACTAGCTTCGGGACCCGGTGGTGCCCAGGTTATTTGTGCCAAGGTTGGTCTTTATCAGTTATTTATGTAGCTCGCAGTGGTCTCAGGAAATTAGTGAAGGTACTGCGAGTCCCATAGTCCATCCTCTTCCAAACAGCACCAAACCTCATCCAATGACTGATCAAGACCAAACTTGGCACACAGAGCCCCCATGAGCCACTCTACATCCTGGTGCTGTTTGGAGGAGTATGAATGATGGATGATGGGACTTGCAGTACCTTAACTCACTTTCTGAGTCCATTGCGACCCTCAACCAATGACTGATCAAGACTAAACTTGGCACACAGAGCCCCCATGACCCACTCTCCATCCTGGTGCAGTTTGGAAGAGGATGGACCACAGATGATGGGACTCGCAGTACCTTCACTAACTTCCTGAGACCACTGCGAGCCATATAAATAACTGAGAAAGACCAACCTTGATACACAATTCCTTTCTCAAATATCCCAGGCAGCTTTGGTTCCCCAAACTAGTATATAATAAAAGTGAATGTTTGTATGTATGCAGAGGGCAAACTTATGGAGGTGTATGCAGCAGCTTTCTGATTGGCTCCCACGTTCACAGGCCACTGTGACCAGCACAGTGACAGACCTGGACCAAACTTGATACACATAACCCCCCTGCCCCCCTTTACATCCTCGTGAGGTTTGGGGGAAGATGGACAATGGATGATGGGATTTGTAGTACTTTCAATCCCTTCGGTTCCCACAGACCACTGTGGCCCCCAACAAAGACCAATAAAGACCAAACTTGGCACACAGAGCCCCCATGACCCACTCTACATCCTAAAGCAGTTTACATCCTAAAGCACCAGGACTATGGCGCAGCTGGGTGAGTGTCAGCTGCATTAAGATCACTTTTGACCAAAAGGTCATGAGTTCAAAGCCAGCCCGAGTCAGAGCTTGTTGTTGGCCTTTGCAACCCGAAAGACAGTTGCATCTGTCAAGTAGGAAAATTAGGTACCACCTATGTGTAGGGAGGCTAATTTAACTAATTTATGAGGCCATAAAAAAGACTCCAGCAAAGCATGTGGGGAATGCGGAAGTACTTCATCAGTGTCGCAGATGGACAATGAAAGCGACAGCTCCCCTGGCGGCCAGAAAAGTTAAATAGCCTCTGACTGTCTGTCTATATCTGTTGTGTGTCTTTGGCATTGAATGTTTGCCATATATGTGTTCATTGTAATCCGCCCTGAGTCCCCTTTGGGGTGATAAGGGCGGAATATAAATACTATAAATAAATATTATTATTTATTTATTATTTATTTCGGTTACTTCTACCCCGCCCTTCTCACCCCGAAGGGAACTCAGGGTGGCTTACAAAGGCACAATTCGATGCCAGCATCACATAACAGTAATAAAACAAAACACATAGCATCAATTAACAGTTAAACAACCATTCCTGCATTACAACAATAAAACCAATACAAACCCAATTACTCCTCATTGACGGTCAGCATTCGCTATCTCATAGTCCAAATTCCATTTCCACATTGTCAGTCCTGTCAGTCCTAATCGCCTGCTTGTCCTTATCTAGTTGTCAGATTGCCCAAAGGCCTGGTCCCACAACCATGTCTTTACTTTCTTCCTGAAGGAGAGGAGGGATGTTGATGCCCTACTTTCCCCCGGGAGTGAGTTCCACAGGTGAGGGGCCACCACTGAGAAGGCCCTGCTCCTCGTCCCCACCAACCTCACTTGTGATAGCGGTGGGGTAGAGAGCAGGGCCTCCCCAGATGATCTCAAACTCCGGGGTGGGACGTAGAGGGAGATGCGTTCGCACAGATACACTGGACCGGAACCGTACAGGGTTTTGTAGGTCAAAACCAGAACCTTGAATTGTGCTCAGAACTGAACCAGCAGCCAGTGGAGCTGACACAGCGGGGGGGGGGGGGGGGGGGGTGTGCTCCCTGTATGACGCTCCGGTGAGTAATCTGGCTGCCGCTTGCTGGACCAGTTGAAGTTTCCTAACAGTCTTCAAGGGCAACCCCACATAATAAAGGAGGGTGGACCATGGACCATGGACTTGAAGTACCACCACTCACTTTCCGAGATTGCTGCGACCCTCATCCAATAACTGATCAAGACCAAATCTGGTACACAGAGCCCCATGACAAACTCTACATCCTGGTGCAGTTTGGAGGAAGGTGGACTGCGAAGGTACTGCGATGGGACTCGCAGTACCTTCACTAACTTCCTGAGACTGCTATGAGCCACATAAATAACTGAGAAAGACCAAATTTGGCACACAATGCCTTTCTCAAATAACTCGGGCACTGCTGGGTCCCCAAGCTAGTATTATAATATTTGTTATCATGATACTTCTGTGTGTGTGTGTATCTATGTGTGTGTGTATGTGTGTGTGTGTATATATAATAAATTTATATTACCATAATGGTACTAATAATATGCATAATAAAAGTGAAAATATGTATGCGTGTTTGTGGCAAGGGTGTCCACTTATACAGACAAGTTCCCACTTCCACAAAGAGCTATAGCTCTCACTATGCAGAAGACACCAATGGTCCTCCCTCCAAAGACATTGCAGGTAATGTCCTCCACAAACACCATATTGCCCATCACCCAAGTGAACATACTGGAGAGGTTTGGGGGGACTGACTAAACATGATGGAAGTTGTAGTTCACCCTGGATGAAGACAGCACTGACAATGGACCTGGACCACATTTGGCACACAGATCCCCCATGACCTAAGAAAAATACTGGAGAGATCTGGGAGGAATTCATCTTGATTTATAGGAGTTTTAAGTACTGGGATTCACGTGTAATCAAAGAGCACTCTGAACCTCACCAACGATGGACCTGGAACTAACTTGGTGCACAGAACCCCCATGACCAACAAAAAATACTGGAGGTATTTGGGGGGAGTTGTAGTTCACCTACATCCACAGAGCACTGTGAACCCAAACAATGATGGACCAAACCTGGCACACATACGTGATATACCCAAATTGGAATAGTGCTGGTTTTTTTTTTTTTTTTTGGGGGGGGGGGGAGTTGTAGGTACTGAGATTGACCTACAATCAAAAAGCACTCTGAACCCCACCAAAAAGAGAATTGGACCAAACTTGGCACACAGAGCGCCTATGGCCAGCAAAAAAATACTGGAGTTCTTTGGGGGAAATTTATCTTCATTAGGGGGAGTTGTAGTTCAACTACATCCAGAGAGCACTGTGAACCCAAAAGCTGATGGATCAGGACCAAACTTGGCACGCATACTGGTACGTCCAAATTTGATTACTGGAGGGGTTTGGGAGAGATTGACCCTGAGTTTTGGTAGTTCACCTACAACCAGAGAAACTGACTCCCACCTGAATCAAACTTGGCACACAGAACCCTCATGATCAATTGTTCATACTGGAGGGGTTTGAGGAGACTGACTCACCAGTTAAGAATCAGAGTTGGAAGAGACCTCATAGGCCATCCATTCCAACCCCTTGCCAAGAAACAAGACAATCGCATTCAAAGCACCCCCAACAGATGACCATCCAGCCTCTGTTTAAGAGCCTCCATAGAAGGAGCCTCCACCACACTTTGGGGCAGAGAGTTCCACTGCTGAACAGCTCTCACAGTCAGAATGTTCCTCCTAATGTTCAGGTGAAATCTATAAAGTTCTATAAAGTCAGCACTTTGAATTGTGCTCAGAAGCAGACTGGCAGCCAGTGGAGCTGACGTAACGGAGGTAACATGCTCCTTGTACACCGCTACGGTGATCAACCTGGCTGCTGTCTGTTGGACCATTTATTATTTATTTATTTTATTTATTTCGTATACTTCTACCCCGCCCTTCTCAACCCCCGAGGGGGGACTCAGGGCGGCTTACAAAATGGCACAATTTGATGCCTACACAATAATACAATAAACGTATAAAAACAGCAGTTAAACGGTTAAACGATTAAAACAACAATATATATCACAGTCAATAGCCAATCTCAAGCACAGCGTTCACCAACTCAGAGTCCATACTTCATTCCACATTGTCTATTCCTATCCGTCGTCGCAGTCCTTTATTTATCTGCCAGAGTGCCCAAACGCCTGGTCCCACAACCATGTCTTTACTTTCCTCCTGAAGGAGAGGAGGGAAGTTGATGACCTAATTTCCCCCGGGTGTGAGTTCCACAGGTGAGGGGCCACCACTGAGAAGGCCCTGCTCCTCATCCCCACCAACCTCACTTGTGATAGCAGTGTGGTCGAGAGCAGGGCCTCCCCAGATGATATCAAGCTCCGGGGTGGGATGTAGAGGGAGATGTGTTCAGACAGATACGCTGGGCCGGAACCGTATAGGGTTTTGTAGGTCAAAACCAGCACTTTGAATTGTGCTCGGAATTGGATCAGCAGCCAGTGGAGCTGACATAACAGAGGGGTGGTATGCTCCCTGTATGACGCTCCGGTGAGCATTTGAAGCTTCTGAACAGTCTTCAGAAGCAACCCCATGTAGAGTGCGTTGAAGTAGTCTATTCAGAATGTAACAAGAGCATGGACCACTGTGGCCAAGTCAGACTTCCCAAGGTATGGACGCAAATGACACAAAAGTTTTAATTGTGTGAATGCTCCCCTGGCCACCACCAAGACTGAGGTTCCAGGCTCAGCGATGAATCCAGGAGAACTCCCAAGATGCGAATCTGAGTCTTTAGGGGGAGTGTAACCCATCTAGCACAGGCAGTAACCCTATGCCCTGGTCAGTTTGCCCTCATTCAGTGACAAATGCAAGATACTCCACTTTGGCAGGAAAAACGAAATGCAAAGATACAGAATGGGTGACGCCTGGCTCGAGAGCAGTACGTGTGAAAAAGATCTTGGAGTCCTCGTGGACAACAAGTTAAACATGAGCCAACAATGTGATGTGGCGGCAAAAAAAGCCAATGGGATGTTGGCCTGCATCAATAGGAGCATAGTGTCTAGATCTAGGGAAGTCATGCTCCCCCTCTATTCCGCTTTGGTTAGACCACACCTGGAATATTGTGTCCAATTCTGGGCACCACAATTCAAGAGAGATATTTACAAGCTGGAATGTGTCCAGAGGAGAGCGACTAAAAAGATAAAAGGTCTGGAGAACAACCCCAATGAGGAGCGGCTTAAGGAGCTGGGCATGTTTAGCCTGAAGAAGAGAAGGCTGAGAGGGGATATGATAGCCATGTATAAATATGTGAGAGGAAGCCACAGGGAGGAGGGAGCAAGCTTGTTTTCTGCTTCCCTGGAGACTAGGACGTGAAACAATGGCTTCAAACTACAAGAGAGGAGATTCCATCTGAACATGAGGAAGAACTTCCTGACTGTGAGAGCCGTTCAGCAGTGGAACTCTCTGCCCCGGAGTGTGGTGGAGGCTCCTTCTTTGGAAGCTTTTAAATAGAGGGTGGATGGCCATTTGTCAGGGGTGCTTTGAATGCAATATTCCTGCTTTTTGGCAGGGGGGTTGGACTGGATGGCCCATGAGGTCTCTTCCAACTCTTTGATCCTATGATTCTATCCAGACACAGCCACCAAGCACCAGTTCAGGACCCGAACAAGGCTGTCTTCATTCTGTGGCTCGGAGTCAAGACAGCCTTGTTAGATTGTAAAGGAAGGAGCTATGCTTATCTCTCCATCTGGCGTGGAAGGGTGAATATAGGACTATAATGGTACTAATAGTAAATATAATAATAATAATAATGACTATAATATTGTCAAAGACGGTGTTTAGCTGTGGATGTGGTGTGGAAGGGTTAACTCTGCTGCTGGTTCTCTGGCTGGATGTGAATGATGACACCAGTTGCTGCTGGAGGGCGGAATGAAGGGAGGGAAAGAGGGAGGGAAAGAGGGAAGGAAGGAGAGGAAGAAAGGAAGACAGAACTGTCCTGGGACGCCTGCCAAGAGGATGGGGCGCAGGAGCCAGAGCATGAAGCAGGAGCAGCAGCAGCAGCAAGGCAGCAGCCTCGGCTGCTGCTGCTGAGTGCCAGGCCCAGCCCAGGGCACCCCCTTGGCCACTTGACCCCATGGCCCTTCACAGCCAGACCCCACAGGAGGGGCCCCGCAAGTGAGTAGAGTGGCGGCTCCAGGGACTGGCCTGCCCGCCTGCCTTCCTTCCTTCCTCCTCTCTCTCCTGGGGGCACAGTCGAAAGGGGGGTCTCCAAAGGGCATTCAGACTAACCCCCTCCCACCTGCCTTCCTCCATCTGATCTCTCCCAACAGACAGCCAGGCAGGGAAAGCACCATCCGGTAATCATCATCATCATCATGATCTCTGAATAATAATAATAATAATAATAATAATAATAATAATAATAATAATAATGTATTGTCGAAGGCTTTCATGGCCGGAATCACTGGGTTGTTATAGGTTTTTTTGGGCTATATGGCCATGGCCATATATTGGCGGGGACGAGGGACAGGGCCTTCTCGGTGGTGGCCCCTCGGCTATGGAATGCCTTACCTGTAGACATCAGACAGGCCCCTTCGCTGTTGGCGTTCCGGAGGAAGGTTAAGACTTGGCTCTACGAACAAGCGTTTGGCTAAACAGTGCAACTGAACACAGGAAGACGGTAAAATTGAACATAGGAAATGGTACAAGGATTATGAGAACGGATTCTGATTTGTTATCGAGGCGTTATGATATGATAATGATTGTTGATTTTGTCTGTTGTGTATGATGTGTTTTAACTGCTTAGGATATTGTTGTGATAACCTGTATTGTGTAAACCGCATTGAGTCGCCTAATTAGGCTGAAAAATGCGGTATAGAAATAAAGCAAATAAATAAATAAATAAATAAATAAATAAATAAATAAATAAATGGTCTAGAGGCATTCTCTCCTGATGTTTCGCCTACAACTATGGCAAGCATCCTCAGAGGTAATGAGGACACCACACCTCACTACCTGTGAGGATGCTTGCCATAGATGCAGGTGAAACGTCAGGAGAGAATGCCTCTAGACCATGGCCATATAGCCCGAAAAACCTTCAGCAATCCAATAATAATAATGATGTAGAGTTGGAAGAGACCCCCAAGGGCCATCCAATCTAACCCCCTTTTCTGCCAGAAAGGAAAAGACACAATCCCATCCCTTCTGACAGATAGCCATCTCGCTCTGGATATGAAAAGGAGCGGGTATGTGTATGTGTGTGTATATATATGGACATGACAGCGTCCATATTCAACGGCACATTGCATTGACTCCTCTGACAACAACAACAACAACTGGAAAAGCTGACATGATTGTTGTTGTTCATTCATTCAGTCGTCTCCGACTCTTCGTGACCTCATAGACCAGTCCACACCAGAGCTCCCTGTCGGCCGTCACCACCCCCAGCTCCTTCAAGGTCAGTCCAGTCACTTCAAGGATGCCATCCATCCATCTTGCCCTTGGTCGGCCCCTCTTCCTTTTGCCTTCCACTTTCCCCAGCATCATTGTCTTCTCTAGGCTTTGCTGTCTCCTCATGATGTGGCCAAAGTACTTCAACTTTGTCTCTAGTACCCTTCCCTCCAGTGAGCAGCCGGGCTTTATTTCCTGGAGGATGGACTGGTTGGATCTTCTCGCAGTCCAAGGCACTCTCAGAACTTTCCTCCAACACCACAGCTCAAAAGCATCGATCTTCTTTCGCTCAGCCTTCCCTAAGGTCCAGCTCTCACATCCGTAGGTGACATGATACGAGAATTTAAAGATAGAACTGCAAAGACTCTGGCACAAGCCAGTAAAGGTGGTCCCAGTGGTGATCGGCACACTGGGTGCAGTGCCTAAAGATCTTGGCCTGCACTTAAACACAATCAGCGCTGACAAAATTACCATCTGCCAGCTTCAAAAGGCCAACCTACTGGGATCTGCACACATTATTCACCGATACATCACACAGTCCTAGACACTTTAGTCGTCCAGAGGAGGGCGACTAAAATGATCAAGGGTCTGGAGAACAAGCCCTATGAGGAGCGGCTTAAGGAGCTGGGCATGTTTAGCCTGAAGAAGAGAAAAAAAAAGCCAATGGGATTTTGGCCTGCATCAATAGGAGCATAGTGTCTAGATCTAGGGAAGTAATGCTACCCCTCTATTCTGTTTTGGTTAGACCACACCTGGAATATTGTGTCCAATTCTGGGCACCACAATTCAAGAGAGATATTGACAAGCTGGAATGTGTCCAGAGGAGGGCGACTAAAATGATCAAGGGTCTGGAGAACAAGCCCTATGAGGAGCGGCTTAGAGATGGGCATGTTTAGCCTGAAGAAGAGAAGGCTGAGAGGAGATATGATAGCCATGTATAAAGATGTGAGAGGAAGTCACAGGAGAGGAGGGAGCAAGCTTGTTTTCTGCTTCCCTGGAGACTAGGACGCGGAACAATGGCTTCAAACTACAAGAGAGGAGATTCCATCTGAACATGAGGAAGAACTTCCTGACTGTGAGAGCCGTTCAGCAGTGGAACTCTCTGCCCCGGAGTGTGGTGGAGGCGCCTTCTTTGGAAGCTTTTAAACAGAGGCTGGATGGCCATCTGTCAGGGGTGATTTGAATGCAATATTCCTGCTTCTTGGCAGGGGGTTGGACTGGATGGCCCATGAGGTCTCTTCCAACTCTTTGATTCTATGATTCTATGACTTGGGAAGTGTCTGACGTGTGATCCAACATAACAGCCAGCAGAGTGATCTTGTTTGCTGCAAAAATACAATAATAATTTCCTAGAATTGGGACCCCAAGGGGCCATCCAGTGCAACCACCCTTTTGCAACAGAGGATGGTACCATCTGACAGAGAGCCATCCATCCTCTGCTTAATAAAAATTAATAGTAAATAGTAAAAGTTTTTCCCTGACATTAAGTCCAGTCATGTCCAACTCTGGGACTCTGGTGCTCATCTTCATTTCTAAGCCAAAGAGCTGGTATTGTCTGTAAACAATAACATAAATAAATATAAAATAAACAATTGGGGGCTCTTATAATTATTATTAAATTAAAACTTGTGCGCCAGCTGCGCCCGTACCTTGGGAAGTCTGACTTGGCCACGGTGGTCCACGCTCTGGTTACATCCCGTCTAGACTACTGCAACGCTCTCTACGTGGGGTTGCCCTTGAAGACTGCTCGGAAGCTTCAAATGGTCCAGCGCCCGGCAGCCAGGTTGCTAACAGGAGCGGCACTCAGGGAGCATACCACTCCTCTGTTGCGCCAGCTCCACTGGCTGCCAATCTGCTACCGGGCACAATTCAAAGTGCTGGCTTTAGCCTATAAAGCTCTAAACGGTTCCGGCCCTACTTACCTCTCCGAACGCATCTCCACCTATGAACCGACTAGGACATTAAGATCATCTGGGGAGGCCCTGCTCTCGATCCCGCCTGCATCACAGGGGCGCCTGGCGGGGACGAGAGACAGGGCCTTCTTGGTGGTGGCCCCTCGGCTGTGGAATGCCCTACCTGTAGACATCAGACAGGCCCCTTCACTGTTGACGTTCCGGAGGAAGGTGAAGACCTGGCTCTTCGAACAAGCATTTGGCTAAATCAGTGCAATTGATTATAGGAATACGGTGCAATCGAACATAGGAACATGGAACAAGGATTATGAGAATGGTTCTGATTTGGTGCTGAGGCGTTATGATAGTGATTGTTTATTGATATTGACTGTTATGTATAATGTGTTTTAATTGCCTATGACACTGTCTTGTGATAATTTGTACTATGTAAACCGCTTTGAGTCGCCTACGGGCTGAGAAAAGCGGTCTAGAAATAAAGTAAATAAATAAATAATATAATATAATAAATAATGTAATAAAATAAAAATGATATATTAATAAAATAAAATACAACAACCATAGTAATATAATAATATGATAAAAATAAAAATAAAATAATAATATATAATAAAATAAAATAACAATGTTCTTGATCTTAATAGGAGGCTATTACTTTTACTTTATTTTATGGATTTTATGGATTGATGTTTTATTATGGTTTTATCCTTTTTTGTATTTCTGTTTGATGGGAGAAAGGTGGGGCAGAAATACCCCAGATAAATAAATAAAAAAAATATTATTGTTTTGATTTGACCCCAGGTGCCCCTTGATCCGGCTGCTCCTGTTCTGCCTTGCTCTACCATTGGCTGCGGCTGCTGCTCAGGTGAGCTTCGGATTGGGATTGGGGTGATGGTGATAATAATAATAATAACCTCACCTCTGAGGATGCTTGCCATAGATGCAGGCGAAACGTCAGGAGAAATGCCTCTAGAACATGGCCATATAGCCCGAAAAAACCCACAAGAACTGAGTGATTCCGGCCATGAAAGCCTTCGACAATACATAATAATAATAATAATAATAATAATAATAATAATAATAATAATAATAATCTTTATTAATATCCTGCCCCATCTCCCCAAGGGGACTCGGGGTATTTTCCAAGACAGCAGCAATGCAAACCAGAACAACATAAAATAGACAACAATAACCTCTATCAACACAATGTGCAAAGTCAAACAGAACAAATGACATTCAACATAAAACACAAGGGAGGCAAAAGGGAGGGAAGTGCGTCATCCCATTGGGAAGCAAGCCACTTGCAAGAGAGGCAGAGAGAGAGATAACAAACGCAAATGGAAAATATGAGGCTCCAAGTGAGCAAGTGAGCGACTGGGGATGTGATATCTCAGGATTAGATTTGTTGATAGAAGCCGCAAGCAGGCCTCTCTCACGCCACTGCTAGAATTGCGCTCCAGTGTTTGCTGCAAAAAAGACAAAGCTGTTGTGTTGTTGTCGTCATTGTTATGTGCATAATACATGATAATAATAAATGGAATACAATGTATTATGATACTAATAAATATAATATAGGCTTAGATGAAGGGCTAGAAGGCATGATCATCAAGTTTGCAGACGACACCAAATTGGGAGGGATTGCCAATAGTCCAGAGGACAGGAGCAGAATTCAAAATGATCTTGACAGATTAGAGAGATGGGCCAAAACTAACAAAATGAAGTTCAACAGTGACAAATGCAAGATACTCCACTTAGGCAGAAAAAATAAAATGCAAAGATACAGAATGGGGGACGCCTGGCTCGAGAGCAGTACGTGTGAAAAAGATCTTGGAGTCCTCGTGGACAACAAGTTAAACATGAGCCAACAATGTGATGTGGCGGGAAAAAAAAGCCAATGGGATTTTGGCCTGCATCAATAGGAGCATAGTGTCTAGATCTAGGGAAGTAATGCTACCCCTCTATTCTGCTTTGGTTAGACCACACCTGGAATATTGTGTCCAATTCTGGGCACCACAATTCAAGAGAGATATTGACAAGCTGGAATGTGTCCAGAGGAGGGCGACTAAAATGATCAAGGGTCTGGAGAACAAGCCCTATGAGGAGCGGCTTAAGGAGCTGGGCATGTTTAGCCTGAAGAAGAGAAGGCTGAGAGGAGATATGATAGCCATGTATAAATATGTGAGAGGAAGCCACAGGGAGGAGGGAGCAAGCTTGTTTTCTGCTGCCCTGGAGACTAGGACGCGGAACAATGGCTTCAAACTACCAGGAAGGAGATTCCATCTGAAAATTAGAGAGAACTTCCTGACTGTGAGAGCCATTCAGGAGTGGAACTCTCTGCCCCGGAGTGTGGTGGAGGCTCCTTCTTTGGAAGCTTTTAAACAGAGGCTGGATGGCCATCTGTCAGGGGTGATTTGAATGCAATATTCCTGCTTCTTGGCAGGGGGTTGGACTGGATGGCCCATGAGGTCTCTTCTAACTCTTTGATTCTATGATTCTATGATTCTATAATACATTACTATAACAATAAATAATTTTACTATAATAACACATATAATAAATATTATATTTCCTAATAGTAAAATATTATATTTTATTATATTTATTTAGTAGAATCCTAGAATTGGAAGAGACCTCATGGGCCATCCAGTCCAACCCCATTCTGCTAAGAAGCAGGAAAATCCCATTCAAAGCTCCCCTGACAGATGGCCATCTAGGGTCGATCCCAGATGGTGAAGCTGGGAGACGCCTGCTCGGACCCCTGGCCTTTGACCTGTGGGGTCCCGCAAGGCTCTATTCTGTCTCTCATGCTTTTTAACATCTACATGAAACCGCTGGGAGAGGTCATCCAGAGTTTTGGAGTTAGGTGCCACCTCTATGCAGATGACACACAGCTCTACTACTCCTTTCCACCTAATTCCAAGGAGGCCCCTTGAGTGCTGGACGAGTGCCTGGCTGGTGTCTATCTGGATGAGGAAGAACAAGCTGAAGATCAATCCCAACAAGACAGAGGTCCTCCTGGTCGATCGTAAACCTGACCGGGGTATAGGGTGGCAACCTGTGTTGAACGGGGTTGCACTCCCCCTGAAGCCACAGGTCCGCAGTTTGGGAGTCCTCTTGGATTCATCGCTTACACTTGAGGCTCAGGCGTCGGCGGTGTCTGGGAGGGCTTTCGCACAATTGAGACTCGTGCGCCAACTGCGACCGTACCTCGCGAAGGCTGATCTGGCCGGGGTGGTTCATGCCTTGGTCACATCCAGATTGGACTACTGCAATGCGCTCTACGTGGGGCTGCCTTTGAAAACGGCTCGGAAGTTCCAACTGGTCCAACGAGCAGCGGCCAGGATGCTAACTGGGGCACCTTACAGAGAGAGGTCAACCCTTCTGTTCAAGGAGCTCCACTGGCTGCCGTTTATTTTCCGAGCCCAATTTAAGGTGCAGGTGCTTACCTACAAAGCCCTGAACGGTTTGGGACCTTCCTACCTGCGTGACCGCATCTCCATCTACGAACCCACGCATTCACTTCGGTCATCTGGAGAGGCCCTGCTCGTGATCCCGCCTGCGTCGCAAGCGCGCTTGGTGGGGAAACGAGACAGGGTCTTTTCCGTGGTGGCCCCCCGACTCTGGAACACCCTCCCCAAAGATCTTAGACAGGCCCCTACATTGGCAGTCTTCAGAAAGAACTTGAAGACCTGGCTGTTCCGATGTGCCTTCCCAGATTCGGAAATCTCCAATACCAAGTCCCATAAGCACTTTACTAGAACTAAGATTGCTGCACACCGCACACGGCACTTGCCCTATAATGCCTTAGATACCACCTGTCACATCAGCACTTTTAATCCTGTATCCATTACTCTGGCCCGGCCCAGTTTTATTTTATTGTGTCTTAGTGTATTGTTTATTGCCTGTTGTTTATATTGCTTTAATTGTTTTTAATTTGCCTAAGGTTTTGTATTGTTATATTGTGTGTTGAGGCCTTGGCCTTTGTAAGCCGCATCGAGTCCTTCGGGAGATGCTAGCGGGGTACAAATAAAGTTTAATTAATAATAATAATAATAATAATAATAATAATAGCCTCTGCTTAAAAGCCTCCAAAGAAAGAGCCTCTACCACACAGAGTTCCACTGCTGAACAACTCTCTCTCACACACTCAGGAAGTTTTTCCTCGCGTTCAGGTGGAATGTCCTTCCTTTCCTGTAGTTTGAAGTCATTGTTCCGTTGTGTTCTCGTCTCCTGGGCAGCAGAAAACAAGCCTGCTCCCTCCTCTCTATGGCTTCCCCTCACCTCTTGATCCCTGGCCCTCATCATGTCTCCCCTCAGCCTTCTCTTCTGCAGGCTAAACATGTCCTGCTCTTTTAGCTGCTCCTCATAGGGCTTGTTCTCCAGACACTTGACGCCAGCTCTTCTGCTTAGAAATGGAGATGAGCACCAGAGTCTCGGAGTTAGACTTGATGTCAGGCGAAAACCTGTACCTTACCTGATTCTATTGCTTGGTCTGCTTTACAATGCTGTCTTTAATACTAATGATGTTTAATGCTGTTTTAATATTTGTATGATTTTTAAATTGTCATGCTGTTTAATGTTTGCTTTGAGTTTCTTCGTGGAGAGAGTAATCGGGATATTAAAAAACATAAACATAATAATCATAGTCATAATCGTAATCATAATAAAGAATGTCCCAAGGTCATTTCTTCCAGCAGCTGCTGCTGCATCGTTCGCAGGGATATCTGGGTGATTTCTGCCTTGGTTTATGAAGGGCAAAAGACACAGCTGCCCTTTCTTGGATGCTGAGCCCTTCCAGCCATAAATATCCCAGTCCTTTGACCTTTGCTGGGTTAATGCAGAGCCTTTGTTCCAAAGCACATTCACACATAGTTGCCATAGCCATGGATGCATCATCTGTTATTGTCATTATTATTGTATTCACAATCAATCATTTATTATTATTACTGTCCTTATTATCACTATTATCATTTATGATGATTATTGTATTCACTACCAGTCATTTTAGACTCTAAAATCAGAACAGTGAATAAAGAACAAAACTCAAAAAGCAGGGGAATGCCAGACAAGAAACAATCAGGGCCAGCTAATACCTCCCAACAAAGGATTCCCCAGGCAGCAACCAGCCAGGCTCTGAAGCTGCAAGGCCATTCAATACTAATCAAGACAGCCATTTGCAACATTCACACATACCTCTAGCAGACAAGAGTTCTTTCACCCACCCTGGACATTATTCCACAGATATATAAACCCCATTTTCCTAGTTTCCAACAGACCTCACAACCACTGAGGATGCCTGCCATAGATGTGGGCGAAACTTCAGGAAAGAATGATTCTGGAACGTGGCCAGACAACCTGGGAAACTCAACCCAGTTGTTTATCTTTATTTTTATTACTAGCTGTCCCCTGCCACGCGTTGCTGTGGCCCAGTCTGGTGATCTGGAAAATCAAGTAATGAGAAAGTGTTGGTTTCTAATATATGTAATTCCTTTATGCTTGTGAGTAAACAGTATTTCTTGTTGTTTCTTTGTCAGTGTTGATGTGGAGAGTGTCTGGTTTGCCTACTCTGGAATATGCAACATATCATAGTCCTTCTGTGGGGGTCCCTTTCAAATCTATCTGTGTGTGTGTGTGTGAATCATATGTATCTATCTATATCTATGACTGGATGGCTCTTTGTCTGGAGGGCTTTGATTTCATTTTCTTGCCCTGGTGAAGAGAGTTGGACTGGCTGGCCTTAAGTATTTTCTATTGGTCAGGGGGGTTCTGTGTGGGAAATTTGCCCCAATTCTGTCGTTTGTGGGGTTCAGAATGCTCTTTGATAGTAGGTGAACTATAAATCCCAGTAACTATAAATCCCAAATGTCAAGATCTATTTTCCCCAAACTCCATCTCTGTTCATATTTGGGCATATGGAATATTTGTGTCAAGTTTGGTCCAGATCCATCATTGTTTGAGTCCACAGTGCTCTCTGGATGTAGGTGAACTACAACTCCCAAATTCAAGGTCAATGCCCACCAAACCCTTCCAGTGTGTTCTGTTGGTCATGAAAGTCCTGTATGCCACGTTTGGTTGAATTCCATCATTGGTAGAGTTCAGAATGCTCTTTGATTGTAGGTGAACTATAAATCCCAGCAACTATAACTCGCAAATGTCAAGGTCTATTTCCCTTAAACTCCATCTGTGTTCATATTTGGGCATATGGAATATTCGTGCCAAGTTTGGTCCAGATCCATCATTGTTTGAGTCCACAGTGCTCTTTGGATGTGGGTGAACTATAATTCCCAAACTGAAGGTCAATGTCCACCAAACCCTTCCAGTTTTTTCTGTTGGTCATGGGAGCCCTGTGTGCTAAGTTTGGCCCAATTCCATCATTGGTGGAGTTCAGAATGCTCTTTGATTGTAGGTAAACTATAAATCCCAGAAACGACAATTACCAAATGACAAAATCAATTTTTTTGAGTGGAGGACATACATTGGGTTGTCAGGTGTCTCGTGTCCAAATTTGGTGTCAATTCCCCCAGTGGTTTTTGAGTTCTGATGGTATCACAAACGGACATTACATTTTTATTTATATAGATTATTGTATTCACTATCAATCATTTATTATTGTTGTTGTTCTTATTACTGATGATGGTCACCCCTGTTGCCTTCCTTCCTTTCCGCCATTGTGTTGGAAACTGCCCTGGGTCCCTCGGGGAGATATGGCGGTCTACAGATAAAGTGTTGTTGTTGTTATTCTTTTTTTTCCTTCCCCAAGTAGGGGTCAGACCCCATGCGGACGGGCGGCACCGGAGGAGGAGGAGGAGGAGGTGGCCATGGAGCCTGGGCGCCTTGGGGTCCCTGGAGCCCCTGTTCCAGCACCTGCGGAGGGGGCGCTGCCTTCCGCACTCGGACGTGTCTCCAGTGAGTCTGCATGAGGACATAGCCTGGGCACACCCCTGGCAGGCCGGGCTTCTTCCATTTCTCACACCAGCTTCTCAACATGTGTTGTGCTCGGCTTCCTTGCTCCTCTCATCCCCTTCTTCCCAATGGTTCTGGCTCTAAGGAAGCTGCTATAATCTGTCTGTGAGGCTATATGCCTGAAAGGGAAAGAGCTCCCTATGGTTTTTATTTATTTATTTATTTATTTATTTATTTTACCTTACTTATATACCGCTGTTCTCAGCCCGAAGGTGACTCACAGCGGTTCACAACAAATACGAACAGCAAAAATTCAGTGCTACAGTATAGAAACAGTTAACAACCTAACACATTACACAATTAATAACAGTTACTACAATACCCATTCACTGTCGTCTCGTCATCAAAAACATGTTCCAGATTCGTCATCCATTGTTCCATTCCAGTGTTCATTAACCAATCATTGCACTAATTATTCGAACGCCTGCTCAAACAGCCAGGTCTTCACTTTTTTGCGGAATACCATTAGAGATGGTGCTAGTCTAATGTCCGTAGGAAGGGCGTTCCACAGCCGAGGAGCCACCACCGAGAAGGCCCTATCTCTCGTCCTCGCCAGCCGAGCTTGAGAAGCAGGCGGGATCGAGAGCAGGGTCTCCCCGGAAGATCTCAAAGTCCTGGTGGGTTCATAGGCAGAGATGCGGTCGGATAGGTAGCTTGGGCCGGAACCATTTAGGGCTTTAAAGGCCAACGCCAGCACTTTGAATTCAGCCCGGTAGCAGATCGGTAGCCAGTGGAGTTGGCGCAACAGGGGGGTTGTATGCTCCCTGCGCTCCGCTCCTGTTAAAATCATGGCTGCCGAGCGTTGGACTAGTTGGAGCTTCCGAGCTGTCTTCAAAGGCAACCCCACGTAGAGAGCGTTGCAGTAGTCTAAACGGGATGTAACCAGAGCGTGGACTACCGTGGCCAAGTCAGACTTCCCAAGGTACGGGCGCAGCTGGCGCACAAGCTTTAGCTGTGCAAATGCTCCCCTGGTCACCGCCGAAACCTGGGGTTTCCCAAGCTGCGAACCTGCGTCTTTAGGGGGAGTGCGGCCCCATCCAACACAGGCTGTAACCCTATGCCCTGTTCGGCATACAATAAAGAACCAACCCCTTCTAACTAAGGGAGAAAATAATACAGTCTCTGTGGAGGAATGGCAATAAGAATAATGATTTCACAGATGATGATATTTATTTACTTATTTGTTGTGTCAGGGCAACCAGTCCATTATATTACATTTATTACCTGTGACCTGTTGGTCTTCAGTCCTGCCGGCACAGGGGTTTAACAGGGGGCTCCTTAATTCAATAATAAAAGGCACAGCACTTCCTTTGACGCACTTGGTGGGGGGGGGGGCTTCACCCTCACCTCTTTGGGATCCTGAAGGTGGTGGTTGTTGTTGTGCTTATTTACACCTTGCTGTTGTTTCCCTCTGCAAGGTTTCCGGAGGAGCAGCCCTGCATGGGGCCCCCCCGCCAGTACCGTGCCTGCGACCTGGAGGTAGGTGAGACCCCCCGCCCCAATAAGGGGAAGGGCCCCTGGGGGCCAAACCATGCCCTGTGGCCCCTTCCTGCCTTTCTCTCTTCTTTCTCTCCCCAGGAGTGCCCGCCGGGTTCGGTCCCCTTCCGTGACCTCCAATGTGGCCTCTACAATGGGAAACCCCTCCCAGGGGGCCGGGATCCTTACCAATGGGTCCCCTTCCACGGAGGTGAGGCATCCCCCCCCCCACCCCCTGAGGGACACCCACTTTTGAGGGATCCCCAAAGGCTATCTAGCCCGACCTCTTCAAATCTTGATACAGAGGGAGAGAGAAATTCCAATAATTGCAATGTAATGTGATAGAGCAGTATAAGAAGCCCATGACCACATAAATCAGGGGTCCTCAAACTTTTTAAACAGAGGGCCAGGTCACAGTCCCTCAAACTATTGGAGTGCCAGATTATAATTTGAAAAAAGCATGAATGAATTCCTATGCACACTGCACATATCTTATCTGTAGTGCAAAAAACACTTAAAAACAATACAGTTATTAAAATAAAGAACCATTTTAACAAATACAAACTTATTAGTATTTCAATGGGAAGTGTGGACCTGCTTTTGGCTGATGAGATAGGATTGTTGTTGTTGTTGTTGTTGTTGTGTGCTTTCAAGTCAGTTCAGACTTAGGTTGACCCTGAGCGAGGGCTGGATAAATTACCTTGATCTGGCCCTTATGCCTTAGTTTGAGGATCCCTGATATAAATGAATAATACAATATAATAAGTGTAATGCTTGCAGCCCCCAACTCATGTGACCTGGCCTGTCTTGCCCTGGGCCACCACTTCTACTACACATTCGGACGCGCCTTGGATGGAACGCGCTGTGGTCCACCCCCATCCCAGGACCTCTGCATCAGCGGGCACTGCTGGGTGAGCAGATTGCATAATGTTCATTATTATAATAAATGGTACTATTAGTCTCCCAGGCAGAGAGTGGGCTGGGTTGCTTATATTCTACTAGCTGTCCCCTGCCACGCATTGCTGTGGTCCACATGGGGGTTCTGTGTGGGAGGTTTGGCCCAATTCTATCATCGGTGGGGTTCAGAATGCTCTGTGATTGTAGGTGAACTATAAATCCCGGCAACTACAACTCCCAAATGTCGAGATTCTATTTTCCCCAAACTCCACCAGTGTTCACATTTGGACATACTGAGTACTTGTGTAGAGTTTGGTCCAAATACATCATTGTTTGAGTCCACAGTGATCTCTGGATGTAGGTGAACTACAACTCCAAAACCAAAGGACACTGCCCACCAAACCCTTCCAGTATTTTCTGTTGGTCATGGAAGAACTGTGTGCCAAGTTTGGTTCAATTCCATCGTTGGTGGGGATCAGAATGCTCTTTAAATGTAGGTGAACTATAAATCCCAGTGACTACAACTCCCAAATGTCAAGGTCTATTTCCCCCAAACTCCATCTGTGTTCATATTTGGGCGTATTGAGTGCTTGTGCCAAGTTTGGTCCAGATCCATCATTGTTTGAGTCCACAGTGCTCTCTGGATGTAGGTGAACTATAACTCCCAAACTCAAGGTCAATGCCCAGCAAACCCTTCCAGTATTTCCTGTTGGTCGTGGGAGTTCTGTGTGCCAAGTTTGGTTCAATTTCATCATTGATGGAGTTCAGAATGTTCTTTGGTTGTAGGTGAACTATAAATCCCAGCAAGTACAACTCCCAAATGACAAAATCATAATGTTTTGAATGATGGTCACTCCTTGTGTTGTGAGACGTTTTGTTGCCAAATTCGGTGTGATTTCGTTCATTGGTTCTTTTCATAGAATCATAGAATCAAAGAGTTGGAAGAGACCTCATGGGCCATCCAGTCCAACCCCCTGCCAAGAAGCAGGAATATTGCATTCAAATCACCCCTGACAAATGGCCATCCAGCCTCTGCTTAAAAGCTTCCAAAGAAGGAGCCTCCACCACACTCCGGGGCAGAGAGTTCCACTGCTGAACGGCTCTCACAGTCAGGAAGTCCTTCCTAATGTTCAGATGGAATCTCCTCTCTTGTAGTTTGAAGCCATTGTTCTGCGTCCTAGTCTCCAGGGAAGCAGAAAACAAGCTTGCTCCCTCCCTGTGGCTTCCTCTCACATATTTATACATGGCTATCATATCTCCTCTCAGCCTTCTCTTCTTCAGGCTAAACATGCCCAGCTCCTTAAGCCGCTCCTCATAGGGCTTGTTCTCCAGACCCTTGATCATTTTAGTCGCCCTCTCTGGACACATTCCAGCTTGTCAATATCTCTCTTGAATTGTGGCGCCCAGAATTGGACACAATATTCCAGGTGTGGTCTAACCAAAGCAGAATAGAGGGGTAGCATTACTTCCCTAGATCTAGACACGATGCTCCTATTGATGCAGGCCAAAATCCCATTGGCTTTTTTTGCCGCCACATCACATTGTTGGCTCATGTTTAACTTGTTGTCCACGAGGACTCCAAGATCTTTTTCACACGTACTGCTCTCGAGCCAGGCGTGCCCCATTCTGTATCTTTGCATTTCATTTTTTCTGCCAAAGTGGAGTATCTTGCATTTGTCACTGTTGAACTTCATTTTGTTCGTTTTGGCCCATCTCTCTAATCTGTCCAGATCGTTTTGAATTCTGCTCCTGTCCACTGTTGTAGGTGAACTATAAATCCCAGCAAGTATAACTCCCAAATGACAAAATCATAATTTCTTGTGTTGTGAGACGTTTTGTTGCCAAATTTGGTGTGATTTCGTTCATTGGTTCTTTTGTTTTTAAGGTACTCATTACGCACAGAACATTTATATATATATATATATATAGATTAAATACTATTATTATTGTTTTTCTTCTAATAGAGAGCAGGCTGTGATGGGACGCTGGGCCCTGATGCAGGGCGAGAGGACGCCTGTGGCGAGTGCAATGGCCGGAATGCCAGCTGCCTGCGGGTGGAGGGGGTCTTCCGGGAGGCATTCCCGCCCGCCGGTGATTGACAGGCACTCCCCGCCCTGCCCCACCCCCAGGGTGAATGCTTTGGCTTTGGCTTCTCTGCTCCCCCCTCCTTCACTCCTCCCTCTATTCCAGTTATGGGCCTGACCTCTCTCCTGGCACACCCAAAAGGAAAGGACGGTGGCAGAAGAAGCAGACTTCCCTTAGGTTCTTGTGGGTTTTTTCGGGCTATAGAGCCATGTTCTAGAGGCATTTCTCCTGACATTTCGCCTGCATCTATGGCAAGCATCCTCAGAGGTAGTGAGACTTCCCTTGTCTGCACACTCAGTCTTTATAGAACCCCTCGCACAAGGACTTTAGCGACAAAAAACCCCTCTCTACCAAGAATTGTGCCAGTTAAACCCGGGAGGAGAAAGGGGTTGAAGCCTTTATCAGTAATTAAATCTTGCTGTTTGTCTAAGCATCCTCCATCTGTTTCCTGTGCAGCCAGTTCACCTTCCAAGCAGTTAGACAGCATGGGGGCCAAACAGAATCAGTCTCACCCCAACCTACAGGCAGGAAGACACAATCAAATCCCTCCGAACAGTTGGCCGCCTACTACTGATACGCTCCCTCCTGGCCGTACATGATACATCCCATTTCCCTGATGCAATTGATGATGCCACAGTATTTATTTATTTATTTATTTATTTATTTATTTATTTATCATGTCATCAGCAACCATTGTATTACAATTCTAACAGAGCAAAACAAACACACAGATTAAAAAGAAAAAGGAAAAAAAAAGCACACAGATTTTGCAAATTTGGTATTTGGTTAAATGTCCTTTGACCAGTATCTGGCCACTTGGAGTGCCTCTGGGGTTGCCGCAAGAAGGTCCTCCATTGTGCATGTGGCAGGGCTCAGGGTGCATTGCAGCAGGTGGTCAGTGGTTTGTTCTTCTCCGCACTCGCATGCCGAGGATTCCACCCTGTAGCCCCATTTCTTAAGATTGGCTCTGCATCTCGTGGTGCCAGAGCGCAGTCTGTTCAGCGCCTTCCAAGTCGCCCAGTCTTCTGTGTGCCCAGGGGGGAGTCTCTCATCTGGTATCACAGATTGAGGTGCTGGGTTTGAGCCTGCCACTTTTGGACTCTCGCTTGCTGGTGTGTTCCAGCGAGTGTCTCTGTAGATCTAAGAAAACTATGTCTTGATTTAAGTCGTTGACGTGCTGGCTGATACCCAAACAGGGGATGAGCTGGAGATGTCTCTGCCTTTGTCCTTTCACTATTGGCTGCTACTTCCCGGCGGATGTCAGGTGGTGCAATACCGGCTAAGCAGTGTAATTTCTCCAGTGGTGTGGGTCGCAGACACCCTGTGATAATGCGGCATGTCTCATTAAGAGCCACATCTACTGTTTTAGCATGGTGAGATGTGTTCCACACTGGGCATGCATACTCAGCAGCAGAGTAGCATAGCGCAAGGGCAGATGTCTTCACTGTGTCTGGTTGTGATCCCCAGGTTGTGCCAGTCAGCTTTCCCCTTCATTGGGTGGCAGACCCCTCCCCCAAATTCCCCTCCTTTTGCCCCCTTGGCACCATGCTAATGCTAATGCTGCTGCTGAGAGCACCGCCCCCTCCCCCCACAACTCAACATACGCCCCTCCTTCTTCAGTGACCCTTGCCCTTTGACCTCCCTCACCTTTTTTGATCCCCTTCTCCTTGGACAGGCTTCTTTGGCTACAAGAATGTGACCCGGATCCCATCTGGAGCAAGACACATCAAGGTCACCGACCGCAGTCGCAACTACCTGGGTAAGTGGGGCAAAAGAGCTCGGACATTGGGACCAAAGAGAGGCCCCTGGCTGCCCTTTGACCCTCCTCCCTCTGCCCCCAAAATAGCTCTGATGGATGCCCAGCAGCGCTTCCTGCTCAATGGGGACTGGACGGTTGACCGGCCGGGCCTTTACCCTGCGGCTGGGACCGAGATGTACTATTCCCGCACGGCCGATGTCCTGGAGACCCTGGAGGCCCCAGGGCCCACCCAGGAGGAGCTGACCATCATGGTGAGACCTTTGCCCTTCTTTTTTTAAAAAATATTATTATTATTATTATTATTATTATTATTATTACTTTATTTGTACCCCGCTAGCATCTCCCAAAGGATTCGATGCGGCTTACACTGGCCGAAGCCTCAAAACACAATACAACAAAACAATATTATGAGAACGGATCTGATTTCAACTGAGGCGTTATGTCTGTTTTGTTGTTCTGTCTTGTTGATTGTTAACTGTTGTGGATTGATGCTGTTGATCCTGTTGTTGCATTGTTATGTTTTAATTGCACTGACACTGTTTGATAATTGTACCATGTAAACCGCATTGAGTCGCCTGTTAAGGGCTGAAAAATGCGGTATAGAAATAAAGCAAATAAATAAATAAATAAATAAACATAAAAAAACCAAGATAAAAACAGTTAAGCAAAATAAACAACAAACAATAACAATACATCAGGACACTTTAAAACTGGGCCAGCCAGAGTAGTGGGTACAGGATTAAAAGTGCTGAAGTGGCGGGAGGAATTATAAGGAAGTGCAGTGTGCGGTGTGCAGTGATCTTGATTCTACTAAAGTGCTTCTAGGACTTGGTATTGGGGTTCCTAATCTGAGAAGGCACATCGGAACAGCCAGGTTTTCAAATTCTTTCTGAAGACTGCCAATGTAGGGGCCTGTCTAAGATCTTTTGGGAGGGTGTTCCAAAGTTGGGGGGCCACCACAGAAAAGGCCCTGTCTCGCGTCCCCACCAAGCTTGCGACGCAGGCGGGATCACGAGCAGGGCCTCTCCAGATGACCGAAGTGAACGTGTGGGTTTGTAGACGGAGATGCGGTCACGCAGGTAGGGTGGTCCTAAATCGTTCAGGGCTTTGTAGGTAAGCACCTGCACCTTAAATTGGGCTCAGAAAATAAACGGCAGCCAGTGGAGCTCCTTAAACAGGAGGGTTGACCTCTCCCAGTTAGCATCCTGGCTGTTGCCCGTTGGACCAGTTGGGATTTCCGAGCCGTTTTCAAGGGCAGCCTTACGTAGAGCGCATTGCAGTAATCCAATCTAGAGGTGACCAAAGCGTGGACCACCCCGGCCAGATCAGCCTTCGCGAGGTACATATTCATCAAAAACCCAATTAAACTTATCTAACCAGATTCAGCAGCTTCCTTGAAGCCAGCCGTTTGGAAGAAGGTGATGAGAGGAGCAAGGAAGCCAAACACCTTGCACATTGAGAAGTTTCCTACTGCTGCACTCTAGCACTGAGATTCCCCTTCACCCAGCACCACACCAGAGGCCGAGTCCAGTAATAAAATGTGTATTGAGAAAAGAATATAAAGGGGAGAAAAGATCCAATCCAAAAGAGACAGTCAGGCTATAATATGTAATATATGAAGTAAGCCGGAGTTCAATAGCAGTAATTCAAAAATGCCAGGGAAAAATCTCAGAACCAAGAAATCCAAAAACATATAAATATTATTTATTTTATTTATTTATTTACTTTATTTGTATACCGCTGTTCTCAGCCCTTAGGCGACTCACAGCGGTTAACAACAAGAACAGCAAAAATTCAATGCTACCATCACACAGTATAAAAAACAGTTAACATCATAACATATTATAGAATTAACACCAATAGCCATTCACTAGCATCTCATCACTAAAAACATGATCCAGATCCGTTATCCATTGTTCCATTCCTATGTTCATTACATTCATTGCACTGACTATTTGAACGCCTGCTCAAACAACCAGGTTTTCACTTTTTTGCAGAATACCATTAATGATGGAGCTAGTCTAATGTCTGTGGGAAGGGCGTTCCACAGCCGCGGGGCCACCACCGAGAAGGCCCTATCTCTCGTCCCCGCCAGCCGTGCCTGTGAGGCAGGTGGGATCGAGAGCAGGGCCTCCCCGGAAGATCTCAAAGTCCTAGTGGGTTCATAGGCAGAGATGCGGTCGGATAGGTAGCTTGGGCCGGAACCGTTTAGGGCTTTAAAGGCCAACGCCAGCACTTTGAATTCAGCCCAGTAGCAAAACGGTAGCCAGTGGAGTTGGCGCAACAGGGGGGTTGTATGCTCCCTGCGCTCCGCTCCTGTTAGAATTATGGCTGCCGAGCATTGGACTAGTTGAAGCTTCCGAGCCGTCTTCAAAGGCAACCCCACGTAGAGAGCGTTGCAGTAGTCTAAACGGGATGTAACCAGAGCGTGGACTACCGTGGCCAAGTCAGACTTCCCAAGGTACGGGAGCAGCTGGCGCACAAGCTTTAGTTGTGCAAATGCTCCCCTGGTCACCGCCGAAACCTGTTCACCTAAATAATCCAAGGTAATTTCCATGAATATGAACACAGGAATCTCTCCCAGGTAAACTCATCAAAGGTACATAAGCAAAGACAGAACATGAAATAAGACTCTTGACAATTTGAGAACCAGGAACTTGGAAATAGGAACAGGAGACTGATTCCCCATTATCATCATCATCATTTTCATGCCCTGCATTCTCAAATCTAATCTACACTCCTTTGAAACCTCCTCAACCTTCTTGTCTTCCCAAGGCCTTTTCTCTAGGGCAGTGTTTCTCAACCTGGGGGTTGGGACCCCTGGAGGGGTCGCGAGCGGGTGTCAGAGGGGTCGCCAAAGATCACCAGAACACACAGTATTTTCTGTTGGTTATGGAGGTTCTGTGTGGAAAGTTTGGCCCAATTCAATCCTTGGTAGGGTTCGAATGCTCTTTGATTGTAGGTGAACTATAAATCCCAGCAACTGCAACTCCCAAATGTCAAGGTCTATTTCCCCTGAACTCTACTAGTGTTTACATTTGGGCATACTGAGAATTCGTGCCAAGTTTGATCCAGATCCATCATTGTTTAAGTCTACAGTTCTCTCTGGATGTAGGTAAACTACAACTCCCAAAACTCAAGGTCAGTGCCCACCAAACTCTTCCAGTATTTTCTGATGACCATGGGAATTCTTTGGGCCAAGTTTGATTTAATTCCATCATTGGTGCAGTTCAGAATGCTCTCTGATTGTAGACGAACTATAAATCCCAGCAACTACAACTCCCAATTGACAAAATCAATACCCTCCCCCAATCTGTTACTATTCAAAACAGCAGCAAAATGAGTTATGAAGTAGCAACAAAATTAATTTTATGGTTGGGGGGTCACCATAACATGAGGAAGCGTATTAAGGGGTTGTGGCATTAGGAAGGTTGAGAACCACTGCTCTAGGGACTCATTACTTTCAGTTTCATTGGGAGCCTGGGAACTATCTAAAGCAGGGGTCCCCAAACTAAGGCCCGCGGGCCGGATATGGCCCTCCAAGGTCATTTACCCGGCCCTTGCTCACCGTCAGCCTAAGTCTGAAACGACTTAAAAGCACAACAACAACAATCCTATCTCATCAACCAAAAGCAGCCACACACTTCCCACTGAAATACTAATAAATTTATATTTCTTAAAATTGTTCTTCATTTTAATTATTATATTGTTTATAAGTGTTTTTGCACTACAAATAAGACATGTGCATTGTGCATAGGAATTCATATAAGTTTTTAATTATAATATAATTATAATCCGGCCCTCTAACCTGGCCCTCTGTTCAAAAAGTTTGATGAACCCTGATCTAAAGCATTCAAAACATCAGCTGGGTCAGCCTGACCTGTCTGCAATTCTCCCTGAACACTCTCAGATGCTTCATTTTGAAACCCCTCATCCTATGAATCCTCTGACGCATACCAGACTACAACACCTACAAGTTTTAATGGTTAATCCTGGGAGGAGTTAGAATTTTGACATTACCTTATTAAATAAATTCCCTATTGACCGCTCCAGCTATGTTCCTGGCGAGATTAGAGCACCTTGTAACATTCACATTCATCATGCTCCGCTTTCCCCACCTGCCAGGTCCTTTTCCAGGCCCCCAACCCAGGCATCAAATTTGAGTTCTGGGTCCCGAAGGAGGGCAGCAGCAGTCCTAGTGCTTTGCGGCGGCAGCAACAGACCCGAGAGGCCCAGGGAGAGCACCCCCTAGAAGCCCCCACGGCCACAGCGCCACCACAGCGAGGTAGGCCTCCGAAACCCTTCCCCCAATTCTCTGTGTGTTTGTGAGGGGGGCACCCATCTGTTTTGGGTGACGGCGCAACTCCCTTCGTTCTCCTTTTGCAGAACAGTGCGGCAAGTGCCCTGTGGCGAAAGGGAAATCCCAGCGCATGCGCCACTACTGCAGCAGTGACTTTGGTGAGTCATCTGGCTTGATGGGGTCTTCCTGACTAGTGGAAGCGGGCTGGACTGGATGACCTTTGAAGACCCCTTCCCAATCTACGATGCTATATATTTTGTATCTATGACTGGCTGGCCACTGTCAGGAGGGCTTCCTTTCTGGCAGGTGGGGGCTGGACTGAATGTTCTTTAAAGGCCCCTCCCAATTATATGATTCTATATCTATCACATATATATGTAGGTCACGTCCATGAGGTCACGAAGAGTCGGAGACGACTGAACGAATGAACAACAACACATATATATATATATAATATCTTCTCTTATCATATAGGTCAGGTGGTGCCTTCCTTTACGGCAGGCTTTGCAGGGCTGGACTGGATGGCCTTTGGAGGCTCCTTCCAAAGCCATAATTCCATATTGATTTTATGTGTGCGTATGTGTATGTGTGTAAATACCATACCATATCATATCATATTTCTCCTATCTCTGGCTCGGGTAATGTCTTCCTTTATGGAGGATGGACTGGCTGTCCTTTGGAGGTTCTGCAGAAAGAAAGCTTCTGTGTTTATAATCTTCTTGTTCCTGATCTGAATTAGGAAAGCAAGGCAAGGAATATATTTAAGGGAAGGCCTGTCATTTCATTTGGCGCCCAAACAGGAACACCAGAAGCCGCCTGCCGGGAGCCCTCTGTCAGCAGGCTTTAGAGGCCCATTCCAGATCCATAGTTTCATATTGATCATATCTTTGCTCTATCTCATGCTCCCCTTCCCCCCAGTCTTCCGCGCACAGATCCTGTCCCGGCGCCCGGTGGGGCGGGAGACGCGCTACGACCTGCGTGTGGAGGAGACTTACCGCAACCGCTTCCCACTGGAGCGCCGGGAGTTTGCCTGGGCACCTGGGACCTGCACCTGCCCCCTGCTAGAGGAGGGCCGCCACTACCTGCTCATGGCCCGGCGTCACGTCAACTTCGAAGGGACCCTCAATCGCCTGCTGCTGCCCCGGGGAGGTTATGCCCAGCCATGGACCCCCCGCGAGGACCGCCAGGCCCGGCAGCTGGCTGGGATGTGCCCCTGAGGGCCCAGGAGGTGGACAGTGACCACTGAAGGTGGCTGGAACTGACCAGCACATTAGCCAAACCCGGAGGAGACCCCTGCCCTGTGGGAAACCTGCTCATTACCTGCCTTGTGTGGCAAGGTAATAAATCTATTATTATTATTATTATTATTATTATTATTATTATTATTATTATTGTGTTGTGTGGTTTCTGGGCTCCATGGCCAATGTATTCTCGCAGTCTTTTCTCCATTTTTTCCATCTACATCTGTGGCTACTGACATCTCCAGAGGACCTGGCGGTAGTAAAGCAAGTGGAGTATATAATATACCTGTGGAAGAATGTGCAGGGTGGGAGGAAAAACAAATGTCTGCTAAACTAGTGTGAAGGTGCAATAAGCAAGCTTGGAAGTTGCATGGCCTTTGTTCTGTAAGCAAATACAGTTTGTGTCTTATTTGTGTTCTGAATAAGCTGCAACCGGTCGGAGACTATAGACTTGAAAGAATGTCCCAAAAATACCAGAACTGGGTTCAAACACTTTCCATGTAATTTTTATTCCGTATTTAAAACCATACAGTGATTTGGTTCCAAGAGAGCCTTTGCTCTCCCATTCATCCGTCCCAGACTCACAAGGCCCCTCGCAAAGGGTTTGGTTGAAAAAGGGATCAGATAGGCAGCTGGGCTGCAACAGAGAGTACCTCTCTCCCTGAGGTACTACAGGAGTGGGGGGCTCACATTCAGGAGCACAAGGCCCCGCCATCAAAGGTTCCCCCCTCCTCCTCCTCAGACCAGGCCTCAACACTTGCCTTGAATTTGAGGGAAGCCCTGGCCAGCAGGCGGTCAGTGCCAGGGCCCGAAGCAGTGCACTGAGGCTGCGGCCTGGATAGGGAGCGGGCAGGGGACTTCGGGGTCCAGCTCCTGGCAGCGGAGGGGGGGCTCCAGGTAGGGGTCCAGCAGGAGCAAGTTGGGCAGCTGGCCGTTGCCCTGGCGCTGGCCCAGCAGGTAGAGGCGCCCGTTGGCCGCCACGCAGGCCTTGAAGAACCGCCGGCTCACGCGGGCCCCCCTCTGCTCTTTCTCCTCCTCCTCTTCCTCGTCCTCAAGGGGGGTCCACTCGCCCGTGTCCGCCTCCAGGCGCAATACCCCCCCACCCACTGTGTAGAGTGCCCCATTCAGCATCGCCACGCAGAGGTCGTACCTGAGGAAAAGAGGAGAAAAGCTTCAATATCTGACGGAGGTAGAGGGAGTACACTTGCTCTCTGCAGCCCTGAAGGGCTTCCTGACTGTTATGAGAGCTGTTCAGCAGAGGAACTCTGCCTTGGAGTCCATGGAGGCTTCTAAACAGAGGCTGGAGGGAATTTGAAGGGGCTTTGATGGTGCCTTTTCTGCCGGGATTGGGTTGCTCTCAGGGTCCCTTCCAACTCTAAGGGTCATTGATATACTGATCTCATATCTGTCTATCTATCTTATCTATATCTTACGGGGCTGGACTGGATGTTCCTTGGGGTCCCTTCCAACTATAGGATTCTCCCTCTCATGGATATATCTCAATCCTATCAATATCTTTAGCTAAGATTCTCTGATATATCTATCATACCTATCTATCTATCTCAATCTTATGTATCTCTATCTTAAGGGGCTGGGCTGGATGGCCCTTGGGGTCTCTTAACTCTAGGATTCTATGATAATATGAATGCTTTTAATATATATATATAGTCTTATGTAATTTATTACGTTATTGTTTGCGTTTTGATTTTATTTATTGTATTGTGTTGTTGGGCTTGGCCTCATGCAAGCCGCCCTGCATCCCATTGGGAAGATGGTGGCGGGGTATAAATAAAGTTTATTATTATTATTATTATTATTATTATTATTATTATTATTATTATTAATATCCATCTATCTCTGCTTTGAATCTCCTTTGGGAGAGATAGAGTATAAATATAAATATAATAATCTCTCTCTATACCAATCCTATCTATTGCTCTTACCCCTGGCTTGATGGCCCTCTGTCGCCCCTGTGCTGCCCTCCTGCTCCCCTCTCCCCCTGCAAGGCCCCTTTCTTCTTCCCTTGGGGCTACTCCACTCTTCCTCACCTGGGGAGTGGGGAGCGAGACACCAGGTCCCAGGCGTCGGTCTGTGTGTCTAGCCGCTGCACAGCGGGGCAGACAGCCCCACTCTCCTCCAGGCCGCCCACCACGTACAGCAGCCGGGCCCCAATCCCAGCAGCGGCAGCCCTCTCCACGGGACAGGCCATGGGGCTGGCGTTGCGCCAGGCGGGCTGCCCGGGGGTCAGGCTCTCCACGGCAGGAGTCAGGCCTCCCTCGCCCAGGGCACCCCCTGCCACAAAGAGGCGCCCCCCCACCCCGGCTGCACAGTGGCTGTGCCGGGCCGTCTGCAGCGAGGGGCCCTCCTCCCAGCGGTCTTCCCAGCCACTGTAGGCCAGCACTCTGTCCGTCGTCGACCAGGTCCACTCCTCCCGGGTGGAACCGCCTGTCACATACAGCAGGTTGCCTGCCAGAGGAGCAGACAATAGTCACAAAAACGTTCGCAGAAATATTCACAAAAATATTCATAATAAATAATCAAAATATTGGAAGAAATAATCACAAATAATCACAAAAATATTTGCATATAATCTCAAAATAATTCACATAATCATAATATTCATAAAGTATTTGCAGAAATAATCATAAAAATATTCACAGAAATAATCATAAAATATTTGTAAGGCCACAAGTGTGTTGTGGCAGTGACAAAGGCCAAGGAGATTCTGGGAGGAATCAATAGAAGTATTCAGGCAATCCCCGAGCAAGCACATGGCAAAGAGGAAGTGCACATATAAGTCATTTCTACCTCTAGGGATTAAAGGAAGTGACTCAGCTGCATCTCTAGGATCACATCTCTACTGTCTTGACCCTTAGAGTGGACTGTGCTCTGAACACATGTGCATTAGAACTGTATTTTTCACATACCCTGGGGGTACATTCAATGCACTCCTATCTAATACAGCATTTTTCTCCCTAACTGGGCAGCCATCTATATAAAAGGGCTCAGATTGTGCTGGGCAGAAAGGGGCCTGGCCAGATGACTTTTGCCCCCTCCCCCCCTCGGCATGGGTTACCTACTGCGGCAACAGCGTACTGGGTGAGGTTCCTGCATTGGAGGGGGGCGCAGGGCCGCCAGGTGCCCGTCTTGGGCTGGAAGCGGAGGAGCTGCTGCTGTTCGCGGTCATGCCTCCCAGCCAGGACCAGCACATCCTCATGGCCCCTCTTGGCGCAGGGGCCCCTTTTGCCCAGGGCCCAGCTGTGAGGCAGGTGGGCATTCAGCTTCCGGAGCAGCCGGGCCTCGAGGCCATTGTTGTTCCCTCCGCCATCCCGGATCAGTCGGTCCATGCAGGGGATGCTGAGGCAGGGACCGCGCACCAGGGCCACCAGCTCCAGGAAGCGCTCCTCGCGCCCAGCGGGCTCCGCAGCCACCCAGCGCAGCAGCGCCTCCAGGGTCTGGTCTTCATGCGACACGAAGAGATGGTCACTGCGCAACAGGGCAGCCAGAGCCTCTGGGGGCAGCATGGGCATCTCGTCGAGTGCGGCCACTTCCTCCCAGTGGGACAGGGCCACACCACGGGCGGCCGAGAGCAGCCGTGGACAGGAGAAGTGCTCAGCAAAGGTCATCAGGCCCAGGCAGTTGCTGGTCCGCAGTGCCCGCTCCAGGAAGGCCTCGCAGCACCGCTTGGGCCCCTCCAGTGCCAGGAAGTCGGCTGCCTCCAGCAGAGATGCCACATTGGAGTGGGAGATGGCCAGGGGGATCCCTGTCTGGACACAGGAGAGTAGGGCCCCAAAGGACTCGTCTTCAATGCCCTGGAGGCGGATGTGCCGCTGGCAGCACTCCCGGAAGGGCCCCCCGAAGAACAGGGCCTGGAAGTAGCGGCTGTGATGGGACAGCACCCGTCGGTTGGCTGGGAAGAGCCCTCCATCTACCTCCAGCACCACGTCCGGAGTGGGGTCAGCGCCTCCAGGTCTCGCAGCCTGAGCAGCCTCCTCCATTACTGTAAAGAGACCAGGCTGGGACTCCCTTCTCTCCCTCCTTGGCAAGAGACCACCAGCTGGGACTGATTTAGAATGCAGTTAGTGACTCTGGCTCTAAAAATAGAGGCCAGCCTCACCTTCTCCTTCAGGTTGCTGCTTCCCTTCCTTCGCACAGGAAAGCCTTTCTTCTTCTGCCTTCCGCCACAATGAAAGCAGGAGTAGGAAGGAAGAAGCCCTTCCTTTGTCCTGCAGGAAGAAGCTGTTTCTACAGAAGAAGGAGAAGAACCTTTCCACAGATTGCCATTCGGAGGAGTCAGCAGCATCCTTCTCTGCATCAGGACAGCAAGGAGGAGCTGGACTCCAGGGAGGAGACCCATTTGCCCTGGTGAGTCTAGACCAGGGGTCCTCAAACTTTTACAAAAATTTTAAACAGGGGGCCAGTTCACTGTCCCTCAGACTGTTTTTAAAAAAATCTAATTCCTATGCACACTGTACATATCTTATTTTGAAGTTAAAAAACAAAACAGTAACAAATACAATATTTAAAATGAAGAACCACTTTAACTCAATGTTATGGAATCCTGGAGCTGCAGTTTGATCTTTTGGCAGAAAAGGCGAAACAGCTTATAAAATATTAAATCCCAGAATTCTATAGCATTACGCCATGGCATTCAAACTGGTGTCAAACCGCATTAATTTTGCAGTGTAGATGCCCTCTATTTTTCAGCGCTTTAGCTGTGCATCATCGGGTGCCCCTCTTCATATACACCAGTGGTTCTCAACCTTCCTAATGCCGTGACCCCTTAATATAGTTCCTCATGTAATGGTACCCTCAACCATAACATTATTTTTGTTGCTACTTCACAACTGTTATTTTGCTATTGTTATGAATCATAATGAATGTTGCTACTTCACAACTGTTATTTTGCTACTGTTATGAATCATAATGAATCATAATCATAATCTGATATGCAGGATGTATTTTCATTGTTACAAACTGAACATAAAGCATAGTGATTAATCATGTAATTATATATTGTGAAATATGTATTTCTAATTACAAATAAATGAAATTTTGACTTCAAGCATGTCGTATCATGGGTAACAGTCTTAATATAACAGCAGGGAACCCATTAATATGTTTACTGATCAGCCTATTGGCCAAACTCCCATGAAAATACTGGAGAGGTTTGGTTAAAATACACTCAGACATGTGGGAGTTGCAGTAGCTCCTGCAATCAAAAAGCAGTCTGAATTCCCCAACAATGGAATTCAACCAAACTTGGCATGCAGAATTCCCATGACCAACAGAAAATACTGGAGAGGTTTGGTTAAAATACACTCAGTCATGTGGGAGTTGCAGTAGCGCCTGCAATCAAAGAGCATTCTGAATTCCCCAACAATGGAATTCAACCAAACTTGGCATACAGAACTCCCATGACCAATAGATTCATCATAGTTTGTGGCAGCCACACAAACAAAGTTTCTAGAGGCGAATAACTAAGGGCCACACAATTAATCAGGAAATAACACTTTCAAACCAGGAACAGATTTTTGTTCTCCAATTTGGTTAGAGTGTGATTCCAGGTGGGAAGGTCTGACCAAAGCAGGAGATCAGAAGAGGAGGACTTTATTATCTATATATATATAAATACTCTGTGCATAATGAGTACCCTAAAAACAAAAGAACCAATGAACAAAATCACACCAAATTTGGCAACAAAACGTCTCACAACACAAAATTATGATTTTGTCATTTGGGAGTTGTAGTTGCTGGGATGTATAGTTCACCTATAATCAAAGAGCATTCTGGACTCCACCAACGATGGAATTGAACCAAACTTGGCACACAGGACTCCCCTGACCAACAGAAAACACGAGAAGGGTTTGGTGGGCATTGACCTTGAGTTTTGGAGTTGTAGTTCACCTACATCTAGAGAGCACTGGGGACTCAAACAATGATGGATCTGGACCAAACTTGGCACTAATACTCAATATGCCCAAATATAAACACAGATGGATTGGGGAAAATAGACCTTGACATTTGGGAGTTGTAGTTCCGGGATTTATAGTTCACCTACAATCAAAGAGCATTCTGAACCCACCAAACAGAATTGGGCAAACTTCCCACACAGAACCTCCATGACTAACAGAAAATACTGTGTTCTGGTGGTCTTGAGCCTTCTGACCCACCCCCCCCCCCCCCAGGAGTCCCAAACCCCAGGTTGAGAAATGCGGCCTTAAGGCCATCCAGTCCAACTCCCTTCACCAGGGCAAGACAACATAATCAAAGCCTTCCTGACAAAGGGCCATCTAGCCATTCACACAAACACATATATGTATACGACAGATGCAGTATCAAAGATTTGAAAGAGATCCCTAAAGAAGGACAATGATATGTTCCATGTTCCAGAGTAGGCAAACCAGACATCAGCACTGGCAAAGAAACAGCAAGAAATACTGTTTACTCACAAGCATAAAGACATTACATATATTAGAAATCAACACTTCCTCATTACTTTATTTTCCAGATCACCACTGGGCCACAGCAACGTGTGGCAGGGGACCACTAGTTATGTATATTTATACACCACTTTTTGTCTCCACAAGGAGACTGGGCACTTCCAAACAGGCCTAATATCCCAGGATCTGATCCCAGGTTTTCTGCTTTAAACTGGATTATATGAGTGTGCATTGCTAGATAACTTGGAATAAACAGAAAACTTAGGATCGAATCCTGGAATATAGGGCCTGTCTGGAAGGGCACTCAAAGGGCCCTTCCAAACAGCCATATAACCCGGAATATTAAGGCAGATAACCACAATATCGGTTTTGAACTGCATTATCAGAGTCCACACTGCCATATAAACCAGTTGTGTGGATTTTATACAGCTGTGTGGAAGGGGCCAAAGCAGCTTACATTTCAATACAATTTCAAATCTACAAATATATGAAACATTACAACAAAATTAAGTATCATTGGTAACCTTCAAAGCAGGCATTGGCCTACTTGGGCTCTCTTTGTGTTTTAAACTTTAATTCCCACAATTTTTAACAGGCTACCTACCGGCTGTTTTCACAGCAGGAACCTTGATTTGCTGAGCAGAAGCAGAAGACAAGAGGGGAAGAAAAGGAACCACAAGTTTTGAGGAGACGCCTTTCCTCCATGAGGCTGGAGTTACTGCCACCCCCACTCTCCCTGTTTAACTCGGGGGGGGGGTAGGCTTTGCAGGGGCTCCTTGAACACTGTGCGCAAGTAGAGGTGGAGGGAAGGAGGGACGGCTGGATGGCAAGGGGAGGCTTTGGGGCTGTCTATTGGCTGCACAGAAGAAAGGGATATATAAAGAAGAGGAGAAAGGGAGAGAGAAAAGAGGGAGAAGGAGAAAGAAAAAGAGAGAGGAAAAGGGAACAGACTGAAATGGGGAGAAAGAGAGAGCCTGAGGGGGATACCGAAAGAACAAAAGGAGCTCTGTGTTAGCAGAGCCAGTACTGATTCCACTGAGAGAGAGGCCTCCTCCTCGGTGGGCCAGATAAATGCACTCAGCGGGCTGCATGTGGCCCATGGGCTGTAGTTTGAGGATCCCTGGTCTAGAGAGTTTTGGTGACAGAGCAGTGTGTCTGGACTACAATGTTCATCATAAACCCAAATGCATGTGGCTGGGATGATCAGGCTTCTAGGAGGACTTCCCTGGGAACCACTGGCTAAAGCAGGCCCATTAGGGACCTATTTTCACAAAGCAAGGAGTGTTGAGAGACCTCGTTTTTTGTTGTCTAGGACACAAAGGGATGTCCTGAGATACTTTCCATTTAAACAATGAGCAATAACCCACTTTGGAAGCAGATTAGGGCTTTCCGACTCAAAGAGTTGGCATACTGGGCTCCTCCTCCAAACCCCCAAATGGGACATTGGCCCCGGAGAAGACTCTTGCATCTCAAAGCCTTACAAATGGTGAAACACACAAAGCAGTTGAGGGAAGATTTATTATGATTAGAGAACAGTACAGGAGAGCAAAAACACCCCAAGGAAATGTTTCTGATCTTGAAACTGAAGGTTTACTATTCAAGCCCCACTCTAGGGCTCTTGCCATCTGTTTCTTGGAGGAAAAAAATAATACACGACCAGGAAACAAAGAAGCACCGTTAAGGTGAGAGTCTTCATGTTCTTTGTCCAGCAGGAAAAAATAACTCCCCCTCTTGCCTATTTTGGTGCCATTTCTCGGCCTCAAAGCCACGGTCAAACCATCTACAGCTTCTCCCATTGCGAGGCCCAGTGTCCTGATGTCTGAACCCCGCCCTCCTGTCCATCCAGCTATCCATCCTGCTGCTGGACGAAGGGGTTGGGGATGGCCTCCATGCCGTCCTGGGGGCAGATAAGGACCACCGAGGTCCCTCGGCAGACCACCAGCCCCAGCGGGCGTGTATCCTCTGTCAGCTTGTACTGGTCATCCGGGTCTGGAAAGGAGGAAGAAGGAAGGAGGAAGGAAGGGGACATTACCGAGGGGATACGCACTTCCTGGCCCCCAAACGGGTCCCTCCCCTCTTTTGGGACCCAAAGACAGTGACTGTGGCCTCACTGAGATGGACCTGGAGGAGAAGGTTGACTCAAGTGAGTTAATTCTTCTCAAGAAGATTCCACTTTACAAAAGGTTACGATCTCTAACACGGGGCCCGTCCAGACAGCACCTTTATTGCAGTATCTACCGCAATAAAGGAGGGGCTGTCCAGACAACGTTCTGGACAGTCCCAAATTAATTCACTACAAACCAGGAAAACTGGTTTGTAGTGAATTAATTTGATAGTGGATTTATTTTGTGCCTTCTTGAAAAGCACAGGATAAATCCACTATTTCCGGTGCCTGGATTACAGCCCAGACACCATTTTCACAGTTTACCGGGCTAAAAAAGGCCAGTAAAGTGTGGGAATACCCACCCCCTCCCCACAAGTCCCCAAACCCTTTTGAAAAGTAAAAAGAACTTACCAGGCCTGCAGTATACCCTTGGAGCAGCTCTCCCAGAGCGTACCAATGACATGCCAGGAGAGGGGTGGGGAGGAGAGGAGGAAAATCTCCCCCCCTTGCTCTCCTGCTGCATCATTTGTATGCGCTGGGAGAGCTGGTCCGAGGGTATACTATAGGCCTGGTAAGTTCTTCTTAATTTTCAAAAGAATCTGGGGGCTTGGGGGGAGGGGGGTAGGGCCTCCGGACATTATGTCTGGATACCCACCCCAGACAGCAGCATGTTATATTAAATGATTACATTATATTATAATTTATTGTATTATATTTTTATAATTATATATTATTATAATAATACATTATTATAATATACTTGCCGTCCCCTACCACGCATTGCTGTGGCCAGTCTGTGTATATGTGTTGTGTGTGTGTATATTTGTGTATATATGTGTGTTTATATATATATATATATATATATATATATATATATAAAAGGTAAAGGTAGTCCCCTGACATTAAGTCCAGTCATGTCTGACTCTGGGGTGTGGTGCTCATCTCCATTTCTAAGACAAAGAGCCAGCGTTGTCCATAGACACCTCCAAGGTCATGTGGCCGGCATGACTGCATGGAGCGCCGTTACCTTCCCGCCGGAGCGGTACCTATTGATCTACTCACATTTGCATGTTTTCGAACTGCTAGGTTGACAGAAGCTAGGGCTGACAGCGGAAGCTCACGCCGCTCCCCGGAATCGAACCTGCGACCTTTCGATCAACAAGCTCAGCAGCTCAGTGCTTTAACCCACTGCGCCACCGGGGGCTCCATATATAAAAATACATTATAACATATGCACAAAACCACATATATATATGTGGTTTTGTGCATGTGTTATAATGTATTTTTTGTTTTTCGGCTTTTAAAGTCTCTTCTGTTGTGTTTTTCAGTGTTTTTGTGAGTGATGGTCACTCACTGGCCTGATAGGTGTATTGTGTCCAAACCAGTGGTTTTTGAGTTATGTTAATCCCACAAACGAACATTACTTTTTTATTTATATAGATGATTCAACACAATTTTTGGGTTATCAATGTCATTTCCTAATTGGTCCTATCACAAAAACGTGGGAAAAGTGTATTAAACTACAAACATTTTTTTTTTTTTTTTGCTGGAGGAACATTCTGCAGCAGCACATTTGGCTCTGGCTTTTCAATGACTATCTCATAGTCCCCTTCCACACTCACCTATATACCAGGATCTGATTCCAGATTATCTGCGTTAAATTGGATTATACTGCAAGATAGTTTGGGATCAGATCCTGGGATATGTATAAGGGCAGTGTGGAAGGGGCCATAGAGTCTTGACAAATTCAGCTGCAAAAACAACCCCAACTCCAGAAGGGCCGCATAATGAAACAGAAATAATGCTTTCAAACCAGGAAGGGAACATTTTCCCAAATGTTGTGCCATAATATAATGCTGACCTCCTGCCTGCTGTGCTCACCTCTCATGTACTCGATGGTCCCGTCCAGCACCAGGTTGAGGAGTGGGTCGAAGCCTTTCAGGACGCCGCTGGCTGCGAGGAAAGAAAGAAAAGAAGGAAGGAATGAGTGCTGCTCAACAGGGGAACTCTCTGCCTCAAGGTCCAGTTGAAGGACCTTCTTTGACACTGAGGCCAGGTGGGATTGCATTGTATCCTGCTTGCCATAGGGTTGGGCTGGAAATTATTATTATTATAGTATTTATTTATACCCCACTTTATCTCATTTGAAGAAGACTCAAAGCAGCTTGAAATAAAAGCATCAATGTACAATTTAAAATATTCTTGTTATTATTATTATTTTATTTATACCCTGCTTTATCTCTCCATAAGGAGACTCAAAGTGGCTATGTATCCATTATTACTATTACAATGTATTCACTGAAATCCAAGAAAGCCTCCGGATCCTGGACTGGTGCCTGACCCCTGTGATGGACTGATGAGGGTGAACAAGCTGGCCATGTTTACATTAGCTATCACTAATAACAGATGTGTGCTGATGTGTGCTGATTTATTCTGAGTTTTATCTCATTTTACATATTTATTTGTTTTATTTGATTGTATTTTATATTGTGTTTTATGTCATGTCTTGTTTCAGGCGTCTTTTGCCGTTTGTAAGCTGCCCAGAGTTCCTTCGGGGAGATAGTGATGGGATACAAGAATAAAGTTGTTATTATTATTATATATTATTATTTTACATCATATAATATTATTAAATATTAGTATTATTACATACTCTCTCTCTCTCTCTCTATATATATATATAGTATGTAATATATCACATGCATACATGTTTCTCCTGAAGGGGGTCCACCTGGATGTCCTCTGGGGACCCCCAAGCCCTTCCTCAACTTCGCGCCTGCCTTGGAACTTGACGCGGATGCCCTTGTTGATGTACTTGGAGAGGTCCAAATTATTATTATTACATTTATATTTGTTATTATAATATTATAATTATATTTATTGTTACCATTTTATATTATATATTCATTACTATTATATTATTTTTATATTGTGTTTTATGTCATGTCTTGTTTCAGGTGTCTTTTGCCGTTTGTAAGCTTCCCCGAGTTCCTTCGGGGAGATAGTGATGGGATACAAGAATGAAGTTATTATTATTATATATTATTTTACATCATATAATATTATTAAATATTAGTATTATTACATTCTCTCTCTCTCTATATATATAGTATGTAATATATCACATGCATACACGATTCTCCTAAAGGGGGTCCACCTGGATGTCCTCTCGGGACCCCCAAGCCCTTCCTCACCTTCGCGCCTGCCTTGGAACTTGACGCGGATGCCCTTGTTGACGTACTTGGAGAGGTCCAATTTATTGATGCTACCCCTCTATTCTGCTTTGGTTAGACCACACCTGGAATATTGTGTCCAATTCTGGGCACCACAATTCAAGAGAGATATTGACAAGCTGGAATGTGTCCAGAGGAGGGCGACTAAAATGATCAAGGGTCTGGAGAACAAGCCCTATGAGGAGCGGCTTAAGGATCTGGGCATGTTTAGCCTGAAGAAGAGAACGCTGAGAGGAGATATGATAGCCATGTATAAATATGTGAGAGGAAGCCACAGGGAGGAGGGAGCAAGCTTGTTTTCTGCTTCCCTGGAGACTAGGACGCGGAACAGTGGCTTCAAACTACAAGAGAGGAGATTCCATCTGAACATGAGGAAGAACTTCCTGACTGTGAGAGCCGTTCAGCAGTGGAACTCTCTGCCCCGGAGTGTAGTGGAGGCTCCTTCTTTGGAAGCTTTTAAACAGAGGCTGGATGGCCATCTGTCAGGGGTGCTTTGAATGCAATATTCCTGCTTCTTGGCAAGGGGGTTGGACTGGATGGCCCATGAGGTCTCTTCCAACTCTTTGATTCTATGATTCAGTGATTAGTATTACATTTATATTTGTTATAATATTATCATTATATTTATTGTTACTATTTTATATTATATATTCATTACTATTATATTAATTATAACTGCTACATTTATTGTTATATTTATAATTCTATTTATATGTATTATTCTATCATCTTTATTATTATATTTATTATATTTTATTAATACATATAATGCACATAACAAAAAATATAATAATTACAATGTAATAAACCGCTCCGAGCCAAATTGGGAGTGGCGGTATACAAGTCAAATAAATAAATAAATATGGCCTATGGCGAACCACCCTGAACACGCCAGATATCGTCTGATTATTATATTGATTGTTATATTTATTATTATTCAATGTATTCTTATTATTACATATTTATTATTATGCTATTATTGTCATGGTTGGTCCTGAAAAGGACCGTTGGTTGTTTTGCTTGCTTGCTTGCATGCTGGTCGCTTCTGTGGTGAGAGAATCAGCCGTCTACGAAGACGTTGCCCAGGGGACGCCCGGAAGTCTTGCAATCCAGCGAGGAGGCTTCTCTCATGTCCCCTCATGTCTCTCATGTCTCGGGAAGCATCCCGAGCTCTGAAGATCACCTGGGAAGGAATCCCACTGGAGCATTGCAGCGCACCCAAATACCTGGGAGTCACTCTGGACCGTGCTCTTACCTACAAGAAGCACTGCCTGAACATCAAGCAAAAAGTGGGTGCTAGAAACAATATCATACGAAAGCTGACTGGCACAGCCTGGGGATCACAACCAGATACAGTGAAGACATCTGCCCTTGCGCTGTGCTACTCTGCTGCTGAGTATGCATGCCCAGTGTGGAACACATCTCACCACACTAAAACAGTGGATGTGGCTCTTAATGAGACATGCCGCATTATCACGGGGTGTCTGCGCCCTACACCACTGGAGAAATTACACTGCTTAGCCGGTATTGCACCACCTGACATCCGCCGGGAAGTAGCAGCCAATAGTGAAAGGACCAAGGCAGAGACATCTCCAGCTCATCCCCTGTTTGAGTATCAGCCAGCACGTCAACGACTTAAATCTAGAAATAGTTTTCTAAGATCTACAGAGACACTCGCTGGAACACCTCAGCAAGCGAGAGTCCAAAAGTGGCAGGCTCAAACCCAGAACCTCAACCAATGGCTGATACCAAATGAGAGACTCCTCCCTGGGCACACAGAGGACTGGGCGACTTGGAAGGCGGTGAACAGACTGCGCTCTGGCACCACGAGATGCAGAGCCAACCTTCAGAAATGGGGGCACAAAGTGGAATCCTCGACATGCGAGTGTGGAGAAGAGCAAACTACAGACCACCTGCTGCAATGCAACCTGAGCCCTGCCACATGCACAATGGAGGACCTTCTTATAGTACCAAAGGCACTCCAAGTGGCCAGATACTGGTCAAAGGACATTTAATCAACTACCAAACTCACAATTTTGTATTTTCTCTGTTTGTTTGCTTTGTTCTGTTAGAAATGTAATAGAATTGACTGGCTGCCCTGACACAAGAAATAAATGAGCAGACAGCAAAGCTTAGAGAAGACAATGATGCTGGGGAAAGTGGAAGGAAAAAGGAAGAGGGGCCGACCAAGGGCAAGATGGATGGATGGCATCCTTGAAGTGACTGGATTGACCTTGAAGGAGCTGGGGGTGGTGACGGCCGACAGGGAGCTCTGGCGTGGGCTGGTCCATTAAGTCACGAAGAGTCGGAGACAACTGAACGAATGAACAACAAATGTAATAAAGATGGCTGACGGCGAACCACCCTGAACACGCCCGGTCTCGTCTGATTATTATATTTATTATTATTCAATGTATTCTTATTAATACATATTTATTATTATGCTATGTAATATTGCCTTTATTCTTATTCTCTTGCTTAATCATAGAATCATAGAATCAAAGAGTTGGAAGAGACCTCATGGGCCATCCAGTCCAACCCCCTGCCAAGAAGCAGGAATATTCAGTTCTTGTGGGTTTTTTCGGGCTATATGGCCATGTTCTAGAGGCATTTCTCCTGACGTTTCGCCTGCATCTATGGCAAGCATCCTCAGAGGTAGTGAGGCCTGCTGGAACTGGGAAAGACCTCACCTCTGAGGATGCTTGCCATAGATGCAGGCGAAACGTCAGGAGAAATGCCTCTAGAACATGGCCATATAGCCCGAAAAAACCCACAAGAACTGAGTGATTCCAGCCATGAAAGCCTTCGACAAAGCAGGAATATTGCATTCAAATCATCCCTGACAGATAGCCATCCAGCCTCTGTTTAAAAGCTTCCAAAGAAGGAGCCTCCACCACACTCCGGGGCAGAGAGTTCCACTGCTGAACGGCTCTCACAGTCAGGAAGTACTTCCTCATGTTCAGATGGAATCTCTTTTCTTGTAATTTGAAGCCATTGTTTGACGTCCTAGTCTCCAGGCAAGCAGAAAACAAGCTTGCTCCCTCCTCCCTGTGGCTTCCTCTCACACATGGCTATCATATCTCCTCTCAGCCTTCTCTTCTTCAGGCTAAACATGCCCAGCACCCCAAGCCGCTCCTCATAGGGCTTTTTCTCCAGACCCTTGATCATTTTAGCCGCCATATTTATACATGGCTATCATATCCCCTCTCAGCCTTCTCTTCTTCAGGCTAAACATGCCCAGCTCCCCAAGCCGCTCCTCATAGGGCTTGTTCTCCAGACCCTTGATCATTTTAGCCGCCATATTTATACATGGCTATCATATCCCCTCTCAGCTTCCTTTGCTTCTCCTTCTCCCCCTTCGCTCACCTTCGCGCCCGCCTTGGAACTTGACGCGGATGGCCTTGTCGATGTACTTGGCCAGGTCCAAGATGCTCTCCTTCTTTTTTTTCTCCTTGTCCGCCATCTTGCTTTCCACAGGCATCCTCCTCTCGCCCCACTTCCCCTCGTTGCTACCTCTTCTCCTCCAATCGCTTTGTAGCCGCCGGCCACGCCCCTACCTCCCTCCCGCTCTAGCCGCCGGCGGCTCTATGGGCAAAGGCTCTTTGCCTTCCTCCCCTTGCCTTTCCCATTTGAGACCGGAACTCCCTTGAGAAGTGAGGCGTTGCCGGGTAACGGAGGGCTGCCTTCCCGTGTGGGCCGGAAGTAGCCCCCCAGTCAGGACCAGAGGCGGTCATGGCGGCGGTTGGGGGCTACTGCTCGGGACCGAGGCTCTTCCTCCTGCTGCTATTCCTCGCCCAGGTGAGCTTCACATAAAAGCCTGGGCCTCTGATGGGAAAGCTCTCCTCCTGCTGGGAGGGACGTGAAGAGCGTCGCCTTGAATGGCTCTCCTTGGGGTCCCCGGCAATTGTAGTATAAGCATCTAGCGCAGGCAGGAGCCAACTTGGGGTTTTGGACTCCAACTCCCACAATTCCTAACAGCCTCCCGGAGGGAGGGCCTAAGTTGGCCCAGGCCCGATCTAGCGCATCCTTTCTCTCTCGCAGTCATCTCTAGGGCTGGGTAGCCATCTGTCGGGAGGGGTCGGGTGGTGCCTCCTCTGCTGGAGTGACATGAGTAGGGGGTTTTTTTTGGGTCGTGTCAGGAACGACTTGAGAAACTACAAGTCGCTCCTGGTGTGAGAGAATTGGCCGTCTGCAAGGACGTTGGCCAGGGGACGCCCAGATGATTTGATGTTTTTATCATCCTTGTGGGAGGCTTCTGTCATGTCCCCGCATGAGGAGCTGGAGCTGATAGAGGGAGCTCATCCACCTCTCCCTGGAGTCGAACCTGCGACCTGTCGGTCTTCAGTCCTGCCGGCACAGGGGTTTAACCCACTGCGCCACCGGGGGCACAGTAGGATGGCACTGAATTATTATCATTATCATATCTATGTATTTTTAACATAATTTTTATTGAATTTTGCAAATATATATATATATATATATATATTTCTCGTGTCAGGGCAGCCAGTCAATTATATCACATTTCTAACAGAACAAAGCAAACAAACAGAGAAAATACAAAATGTGTGAGTTTGGTAGTTGATTAAATGTCCGAGACTATCGGTCCCCTGCCAGGCATTGCTGTGGCCCAGTCTTGTGATCTGGAAAATAAAATAATGAGAAAATGTTGGTTTGTAATATATGTAATGTCTTTATGCTTGTGGGTAAACAAGCATGCTGTTTCTTTGTCAGTGTTGATGTGGAGATTGTCTGGTTTGCCTACTCTGGAACATACAATATATCATTGTCCTTCTTTAGGGGTCCCTTTCAAATCTTTGATACTGCATCTGTCATATACATGTGTGTGTGTGTGTGTGTGTGTGTGTGTGTGTGTGTGTGTGTGTGAATGGCTTGATGGCCCTTTGTCAGTAGGGCTTTGATTATGTTTTCTTGCCCTGGTGAAGGGAGTTGGACTGGATGGCCTTAAGGCAGCATTTCTCAACCGGGGAAGTCAAGACCCCGGGGCGGGGGGTCACCAGGGGGGTGTCAGAAGGGTCACCAAAGACCACCAGAAAACACAGTATTTTCTGTTTTATTTATTTATTTATTTCTGGTACTTCTACCCCTCCCTTCTCAACTCCCCAGGAGGACAGGGGACCCAGGGCGGCTGTTGGTCATGAGGGTTCTGTGTGGGATGTTTGGCCCAATTCCATCGTTGTTGGGGTTCAGAAATCCCAGTAACTACAACTCCCAAATGTCAAGGTCTATTTCCCCCGAACTCCCATCTGTGTTTATATTTGGGCATATTGAGTATTTGTGCTAAGTTTGGTCCAGATCCATCACTGTTTGAATCCAAAGTGCTCTCTAGATGTAGGTGAACTACAACTCCAAAACTCAAGGTCAATGCCCACCAAACCCTCCCAGCATTTTCTGTCGGTCATGGGAGTTCTGTGTGCCAAGTTTGGTTCAATTCCATCATTGATGGAGTTCAGAATGCTCTTTGATTATAGGTGAACTATAAATCCCTGCAACTACAACTCCCAAATGACAAAATCATAATTTTTTGAGTCGTGGTCACTCCTTGTGTTGTGAGACGTTTTGTTGCCAAATTTGGTGTGATATCATTCATTGGTTCTTTTGTTTTTAAGGTACTCATTACGCACAGAGCATTTTTATATATAGAGATAGATATAACAGAGATCAGTGAGGAAAAATCCCATAGTCCCTGTGTCCCATAATCTCAAAAATCCCCCCACAAAAAGAGCATAGAGAAAAACAAGAAAAGAGAAAGAAAAAAAAACCTACACAAAAAACAAAACCCAAAAGTGTCTGTGGTGTGACTTCCCAAGGTCTTCCAAGAGTATTAGGTGTTTGATCCCTTATGATTCCTCTTTGTTTCTGCCGACATATCTTTCCATCTTTGATTCAGATGCAACACAAGTCTATCAGCACTGGTATTTCCTGTGTTCTGATAAAATTTTTAAAACCAGACCAGTCTGTTTTTTTTTGTGTTCCGTTTATTCTTTGGGATAAACAGTCCATTTGAATTATATCAAAGACTTTTACAATCCAATCTTCTCTAGTTGGAGTTTCTTTTTGCTTCCATCTCTTGGCGAGTAGCACTCTGGCCGCAGTGCTCAATAAAAAGAGCATCTTCTCTTGGTTTTCATTCAGTATCATTTCATTGTTTATGCCTAGTAAGTACATACATCTCAGGTGTCATTGGAAAGTTTGCTTTTAATATCTTCTGAGTTGCTTGGTGTATCTCTTTCCAATAGGGTCTTATACGTTTGCATGTCCACCATTGGTGGAAAAAGGCCCCTATCTCCTTCCCACATTTCCAGCATTTGTTTGAGATGTTTTTGTTAAATTTGGTCAGTTTTACTGGGGTGTAGTACCAACGGAAAAACATTTTATACCAGTTTTCCCGGAGGTCACTGGCTATTGTATATTTGATTTTAATTTTACATGGCTAAAATACTTTCAAATACATCAGGGCTTTAAAGAGGACGAAAAGATTGGTTTCTGCCAAGACCAAGGCACCTGGGAAACTATAATGAAAAATAAATAAAAACTAATTAAAATTCTATATAAGCAATTGTTACTATGGTCGACTGAGGAAGAACAAATTAAAAACTGTCAAGTACTATGGGCAAGAGACATAGGTCACAATATCTTAACAAAACAATGGGAAGAAATCTGGAATATTAAAATTATTATATCTATGTATCCCATCCCTTCTCTCTCCCGAAGGAGACTCAAAGCGGCTAACTTGTATTCTATTCTATTTTTATAATACATATTTTTTATTATTATATTTATGTATACCCTGCATTATCTCTACCGAAAGAGACTCTAAGCAGCTATCTATTATTGCTGTTGTTATTATATTTATTTATCTGGCCGGGGTGGTCCATGCCTTGGTCACCTCTAGATTGGACTACTGTAATGCGCTCTACGTGGGGCTGCCCTTGAAAACGGCTCGGAAATTCCAACTGGTCCAATGGGCAGCGGCCAGGATGTTAACTGGTGCTCCTTACAGAGAGAGGTCAATCCTCCTGTTTAAGGAGCTCCACTGGCTGCTGTTCACCTTCCGATCCCAATTCAAGCTTATCTACAAAGCCCTAAACGGTTTGGGACCTGCCTACCTGCGTGACCGCATCTCCGTGTATGAACCCATGCGCTCCCTTCGTTCATCCGGAGAGGCCCTGCTCGCAATCCCACCTGCATCGCAGGCGTGTTTGGTGGGGACGAGGGACAGGGCCTTTTCTGTGGTTGCCCTCTGACTTTGGAACACCCTCCCCAAAGACATTAGATTAGCACCCACGTTGGCAGCCTTTAGGAAGAGCTTGAAGACCTGGCTATTCCGATGTGCCTTTCCGGAACAGGAAAACCCCAGCACTATGTCCCAGAAGCACTTTATTAGAGTTTTAAGATTCTCTGCACATTGCACTTGCCCAGAAATCCAACATACTACCTGTCACACCTAGCACTTTTTTAATCTGTACCCATCACTTGGCCCGGCCCTCGTTTTTACTGTGTTTATGGTGTAATGTTTTGTTGTTATTGTTTTGTGTTTTTGATTTGCTTTGAATTGTATTGTTGTTGTTATGCTGTTGTTGTGTTGAGGCCTTGGCCTGTGTAAGCCACATCGAGTCCTTCGGGAGATGCTAGCGGGGTACAAATAAAGTTTAATAATAATAATAATAATAATAATAATAATAATAATAATATCTCTCCTGAAGTGGAGGGGATAGGTCTCTTCCAACACTATGATTCTAAGGAGACTCAAAGCTGCTGATCATCAAAGCATCAGCAAACAATTTAAAATACCAGTGTACAATTATGATAATTATATTTACTAGGCCTGTGCGGTTTCGTTCGTTAATTTCGTTATTCGTAAAACATTCGTTATTTTTGGCATTTACGAGGCGATATCAAAACACTTTTTCAAACCCGGAAGGGTTTTAAAATATCGAAGCGGCATCCCCCATCCTTTTAACGAGCTTCCGCCCGTTTCGGAAATTGGATGGAGGATGCTGGTGCCTGGGAGCCAATCCGGCGCTCCCAAGCACCCAAGCAGTGCACCGTGGCTGATTTTCATTGGCCGGCAAGGCCTTTAAAAGCGGCTCCGCGTGGCCGCAGAGCTCATTTGTTGCACGGAGGCGAGGGAGGAGAGAGGTCCGGGAGGGCTGCTTGCTTTGGGTTGGCTTGGGTAGGAAAAAGACTTGCATTGGGTTGGCTCTTGGCTTGAAAAGACTCTTCTGTTGGTGTGTGCTCTCACTTGCCCTGTCTCGTGGCTGTGTTTGGTCCACATCAGGGCCAGTTTTTGGTTAAGTTTCCATTTTTGAATATTTTCTAAAAATACCTGCCTTTTATTCTTTAAAAAAATACAAAAAATATTCCAAAAAAAGAAAAGACTCTTCTGTTGGTGTGTGCTCTCACTTGCTCTGTCTCGTGGCTGTGTTAGCTGTTCATCAGGGCCAGTTTTGTGTTGAGTTTCCATTTTTGAATATTTTCTAAAAATACCTGCCTTTTATTCTTAAAAAAATACAAAAAATATTCTAAAAAAAGAAAATACTCTTCTGTTGGTGTGTGCTCTCACTTGCTCTGTTTTGGCTGTGTTAGCTGTTCATCAGGGCCAGTTTTTGGTTAATTTTCCATTTTTGAATATTTTTAAAAAATACCTGTCTTTTATTCTTTAAAAAAATACAAAAAATATTCTAAAAAAAGAAAATACTCTTCTGTTGGTGTGTGCTCTCACTTGCCCTGTCTCCTGCCTGTGTTAGCTCTACATCAGGGCCACTTTTTGTTTAAGTTTCCATTTTTGAATATTTTTAAAAAATACCTGTCTTTTATTCTTTAAAAAAATACAAAAAATATTCTAAAAAAAGAAAATACTCTTCTGTTGGTGTGTGCTCTCACTTGCCCTGTCTCCTGCCTGTGTTAGCTCTACATCAGGGCCACTTTTTGTTTAAGTTTCCATTTTTGAATATTTTCTAAAAATACCTGCCTTTTATTCTTAAAAAATACAAAAAATATTCTAAAAAAGAAAAGACTCTTCTGTTGGTGTGTGCTCTCATTTGCCCTGTCTCGTGGCTGTGTTTGGTCCACATCAGGGCCAGTTTTTGGTTAAGTTTCCATTTTTGAATATTTTCTAAAAATACCTGCCTTTTATTCTTTAAAATACAAAAAATATTCTAAAAAAGAAAAGACTCTTCTGTTGGTGTGTGCTCTCGTTTGCCCTGTCTCGTGGCTGTGTTTGGTCCACATCAGGGCCAGTTTTGGGTTAATTTTCCATTTCTGAATATTTTCTAAAAATACCTGCCTTTTATTCTTAAAAAATACAAAAAATATTCTAAAAAAGAAAAGACTCTTCTGTTGGTGTGTGCTCTCGTTTGTCCTGTCTCGTGGCTGTGTTTGGTCCACATCAGGGCCAGTTTTGGGTTAATTTTCCATTTTTGAATATTTTCTAAAAATACCTGTCTTTTATTCTTTTAAAAAATACAAAAAATACGCTTTAATGAATCGATTCGTTATTATCTCAATATCGAATCGAATCGTATTTAATAACGATGCTTCGGAAGCCGCTTTTGCGCATGCGCGATCGCGTCCGATTTTAACGAATCGATTCGTTATATCCTTAACGAATCGACCCCGCGCTAATAACGAAGCTTCGGAAGTGGTTCCGCGCATGCGCGGGGGTCCGCCATCTTTACGAAATGTTTTGTAAATATTTGCGAAATTTCGTAAATACCGAAATTTTTTTGGGAAAGTTTTGTAATTATTTTAAATATCGAAGCAAAAAAACACCCCAATTACAAATCGATTTTAGAAACAAATTTTTTCTTGATCAACCAGGCCTACATATACCCCACTTTATATCTCCTGAAGGAGACTCAAAACAGCTTGACATAAAAGCATCAGCATACAATTTAAATTATTATTTTTATAATATTATAATATATTATTGTATGTTTTTATATTTATTTATACTCCGCTTTATCTCTCCCAGAGGAGACTCAAAGCAGCTTCACATAAAAGCATCCACCTACAATTTAAAATATACAAATATGCAAACATTAAAACAGGATTAAACACAAACTGTATTTTAAATATTCACTGTTTAAATCCATCAAAACATGTTTGGGATGGTGTGCATAATAATAATAATAATAATAATAATAATAATAATAATACATTATTCTATGATTCCTTGTGCAGGTTTCTGCTGAGTTTGGGATGATGCATATAGTATAATATAATAATAAAAATAATAATACATCCTTCTATGATTCATTGTGCAGGTGTCTGCCGAGTTTGGGATGGTGCGTGTCTTCTCAGAGAAGGGTGGTCCCAAAGGGAAGGACTATTGCATCCTCTTCAACTCCCAGTGGGCCCACCTCCCGCATGACCTGGGCAAAGCCGTGAGTAGGGCTCTTCTTGGGTAGATTACCTTTAAAGGGCCCTCATTCTCCTTTCTATTGTGTTCTATGGGCTTCCTTGGAAGGAGAGCAGGCCCTTCCTTTGAGGGATGTTCCAGATGATTCTCAGGGAGCCCCCTTTCCCTCTTTCTATTGGATCCTATGGTCTCCCTTGGAAGAAGAGCAGGCCCATCCTTTGGGGATGACCTTTAAGGAGTCTTCTTTCCCCTCTATGGGTTCTACGGGCTGCTTTGGAAGGACAGCAAGCCCTTCCTTTGTGGGATGGTTCAGATGACGTTTGGAGGGACCCTGGTGCTGGGGAGTCCTCTCTCCTTCCATCTTCCTCGCTGACCGCCCCTCTCTGTGCCTCTCCCTCCCTCCCTCCAATGCAGTCCCTGCTGCAGCTACAGGACCAGACCCTCTCGGTGTTGTGTGCGCCCTCGGACGTCCCAAAGGGGGGCTTTGGCAACGCGGTACCCATGGTGCTGAGGGGCAACTGCACCTTCTATGAGAAAGTGCGCCTGGCCCAAGTCAACGGGGCTCGCGGGCTGCTCATTGTCAGCCGGGAGAAGCTGGTGGGTATCTTTGCCATCTCTTTTCACCCTCACCCCGCACTCTGCTTGTATGAGTTTTCTTACTACTTCTACTTGGAAATGTTTAATAAAAATACATAATATTTAAAATGATCCTGACGTGGGATTGTTTGCACAGGTCCCTCCAGCCGGGAACGCGAGCCAATATGAGGAGATTGACATCCCAGTGGCCTTGTTGAGCTATGCTGACATGCTGGACATTGGCCGGGTAAGGTGGCCTTCCTGCTTGCTTGCTTGCTTGCTTGTGTGTTGGAGGCTCTTGGCCTCAGCCCTTTCCCAGCCCAACCKCCCCCCCCCCTGCCTTTTCTCCCCCCTCCAGAGCTTTGGGCACTCGGTAAAGGTGGCCATGTACGCTCCCAATGAGCCCGTCCTGGACTACAACATGGTGATCATCTTCCTGATGGCTGTGGGCACCGTGGCCATGGGTGGATACTGGGCCGGCAGCAGGGACGTCAAGAAGTGAGTCCGGTGATGGCCACCCCTTTCCTATATCCATCTCTCATATATAAAATGTAATGTTCATTTGTCAGTCAGTCAGTCAGTAGCCTTTATTTCGGTCAACAAACCATCGGCTAAGTCAAGTGAAAGTAGGATGATGAAATACAACAATTAACAATTAATAACATCACATTTGGCTTATAATTAATAAAAACAAGTATCACCATTCGCTATTGGATGAATGATTGTCTATATAATCTAAAACAGGAACTGATTGCAAATTAATAATAAGTCTCCCGAGTACTCTTTGTTACACTCAGCCTTTACAGGTTATTCATGAAGCACTTGCGGCTTTTTGCCTCTGCAAACAGAAATTTGGCCACCTGTTCCGTTACCCTTTTATCAAGATCAGACAGTAAATAAGTGCAGTACCAACTTAGGGATCTTCCTGGCCACTTGGTGAGTAGAGGGGATATTAACCTTAGTCTATCATCCTTGTAAATTGTGCAAATAAAAAGTACATGTATTACAGTTTCAATTTTACTCTCCCCGCATGGGCAAACTCTGTGTTCGTAATCAGTCCCTTTGTATCTACCCTCTAGTATGGCTGATTTGAGGGCATTGAATCTGGCCCAACTGAAAGCAAGGCGAAATTTTGGGATGTTTAAATTTTCTAAGTATTTGGCACCTCCCAAATAATTAAATAGAATCATAGAATCATAGAATCAAAGAGTTGGAAGAGACCTCATGGGCCATCCAGTCCAACCCCTTTCCAAGAAGCAGGAAAATTGCATTCAAAGCACCCCTGACAGATGGCCATCCAGCCTCTGTTTAAAAGCCTCCAAAGAAGGAGCCTCCACCACACTCTCAAACAGAGAGTTCCACTGCTGAACTCACAGTCAGGAAGTTCTTCTTAATGTTCAGGTGGAATTTCCTTTCCTGTAATTTGAAGCCATTGTTCCGCGTCCTAGTCTCCAGGGAAGCAGAAAACAAGCTTGCTCCCTCCTCCCTGTGGCTTCCTCTCACATATTTATACATGGCTATCATATCCCCTCTCAGCCTTCTCTTCTTCAGGCTAAACATGCCCAGCTCCTTAAGCCGCTCCTCATAGGGCTTGTTCTCCAGACCTTTTATCATTTTAGTCGCTCTCCTCTGGACACATTCCAGCTTGTCAATTCTCTCTTGAATTGTGGTGCCCAGAATTGGACACAATATTCCAGGTGTGGTCTAACCAAAGCAGAATAGAGGGGTAGCATTACTTCCCTAGATCTAGACACTAGGCTCCTATTGATGCAGGCCAAAATCCCATTGGCTTTTTTTGCCGCCACATCACATTGTTGGCTCATGTTTAACTTGTTGTCCACGAGGACTCCAAGATCTTTTTCACACGGACTGCTCTCGAGCCAGGCGTCCCCCATTCTGTATCTTTGCATTTCATTTTTTCCTGCCAAAGTGGAGTATCTTGCATTTGTCACTGTTGAACTTCATTTTGTTAGTTTTGTCCCATCTCTCTAATCTGTCAAGATCGTTTTGAATTCTGCTCCTGTCCTCTGGACTATTGGTTCTGAGTATTTGGCACCTCCCAAAGAATTAAATGTTAGGCCTAAACTCAATGGAGAGCATGTGGAGCGCGCCAGAGTCATTGAGTCCTGTTTGTCTATGTCACTGATCCGTTCCGCTAAGATCTGCATTAACTTTTTATGCTCAAAACCGCTCAATGTATTCTCTGAGAGGCCCATCTGCCTGAGTTTCTGATTTAGCGCTTTCATTCGGTGGGATTTAAAGAGGTCTTTTTGAATCAGATATGTATATCCCGCTTCAGGCCCTTTGTGCACCCTCTCCATCCAGTATCCTAGGGCCCTTCTCCAAGCCAGTGATTCGAGTGAGGCTGTTCCTGGCCCTTCTCCAAGCCAGTGATTCAAGTGAGGCTGTTCCTGATTCCAGTCTTAAAACAGCAGATGGAACACAACTGGGGACAGCAAACAGTTTTCTAAGAAACCCTGATTGAACTTGTTCTACTTTAGATGTGAAGCCTGTGATCCATACCGGAATTGCGTATAATAATTGGGCAGTTACCTTTGCTTGGAAGACCTTTGTTGCTGCTGGTATATACTGGCCACCTTTGGTGTAAAAAAAGCAAATTATTGCTTTACTACTGGATAGGGCATTTTGAACTGCCATTTTTTGGTGGCATCCCCAGGAATCTGAGGCTTGAAAGGTAACCCCTAGATATTTAAAACTGGAAACTTGTTAAATTAAGTTCTTTCCTATGTACCAGTTATGCCTGGCTCGCTTCTTTGAGAAGACCATGATTTTGGTTTTACTATAGTTTATCTTTAGCTGGTTTTTCTCACAGTATTGGTAGAATGCACTCAGCACTCGCTTGAGTCCTACCTTGGTGTAAGATATGAGGGCAGCATCATCTGCATATAACAATAGCGGTATATTGGTGGATGAGATTTTAGGGGGATGTCCATTTGGTAGTGAAACATGGGTGGCTAGGTCGTTCAGATATAGGTTAAACAGAATAGGGGCCAGGATGCACCCCTGGCGCACCCCCCTATTTACTGCTAAATGTTCATTTGTGGGGTTCACATAACTCAAAAACCACTGGACGAATTGACAAGAAATTTGGACACAATACACCTATCAAACCAACGAGGGACCATCACTCATAAAAACACAAAAAACACAGCAGCAAGGACTTAAAAAACCCCCAAAGCTAAAAGACAATAGAGTGCATGGGCAAAAATGACTTCTTTGGCTCCGGCCCCCTCCAGCGCAAGGGAAAAAAATCCACCAAGCAGCCACTTGAGAGAAGGAGGGAGAGATGCTCCGTTAATCCCTCACACTATTCCCACCCCTCCCCTTTACAAAGTGACGCGGGACAAAGGCCGTCTGGAGAGGGCTCCAGGGGTCCGCCAGGGGGGTCCCACTGGGGCCCCTCCCGCCCTCCTTGCCTGCCTCTTGCTTCTCTTGCGTGGCTCCAAAGCAGCAGCTGCTCTTCTGGGCAGCAGCAGCAGCGGAGTGGACACCAAGGTGAGGCCACAATAATAATTGCAATAGTTTACTATTCATAATAATAATAATAATAATAATAATAATAATAATAATAATGCAATGAATGCAAAAGCAAATGGAAGGGGATGGGCATGATCCTGGGAGGGAGGACACTGACTTCTTTTGAAGCATAAATTTTAAACTCCTGTCTTATGTGTAATAGGGCATCTATTCTATGTATATTATTATCCACCTGGATGATCTTTGAATAGCTTTGCACCTTAAAAGCCTGACTTCTACCAGCCAGCAGGAAACCTTTGGTGGAAGGGGTTCCCTACCCAGATTGTTTCATGTCTGGAAATCCTCTGAGGGCCACAGCAACGCGTGGCCGGGTGGTACAGCTAGTGTGTGTGTGTGTGTGTGTGTGTGTGTGTGTATACACACTATTTTGGGTCCCTGGCATTATTATATATCATTATTATTATTTACTAGTTTGGGTAGCCAGCATTGTATGGGTTATTTGAAAAAGTCAATTCATTAATTGTACAAAATGCATATGGTTGTGGGCAAACTACAACTCCCATCACGCCAGGTTAACCCCCCTGAAACTCCATCAGTACTTAAAGTTTGTTATGTTGGGCAAGTTTGCTCTAGTGTGCTCTCTGGCTGCAGGGTAAACTACAACTCCCACTATGTTGAGTCAGTCCCCTCAAACACCTCCAGTAGGTTTAGTTAGTCATGAGGGTGCTGTGTACCAAGTGTGGTCCAGGTCCATCATCGGTGAGTGAACTACAACTCCCAGAATGAAAGGTCAGTTCCCCCCAAGCCCCTCCAGTAATCACGTTTCGGCATATCAGAGTTTTATTTTGTGTCAGGAGCATCTTGAGAAACTGTAAGTTGCTTCTGGTGTGAGAGAATTGGCCCTCTACAAGGATGTTGCCCAGGGGACATTGCCCGGATGTGTTACCATCCTGTGGAAGGCCTCTCTCATGTCCCCTCATGGGGAGCTGGAGCTGACAGATGGAAGATCACCTCGCTCCTGTCAGTCAGCAGTCCTGCCGGCACAAGGGTTAACCCGTTGTGCCACTGGGGGCTCCTGACATATCAGGTCGGTGTGCCAAGTTTGGTTCAATTCCTTCATTGGTGGAGTTCAGAGTGTTCTTTGATTGTAGGTGAAATATACATCCCAGTACCTAAAACTAAAATGTTCAGGCCAATTCCCCCCAAAACTCACCAGTATTCATATTTGGTCATATTAGGTATGCGTGCCAAGTTTGATCTAGATCCATCATTGTTTGAGTTCATAGAGCAGGCGAACTACAACTCCTATAAATCCCTCCAAAGACTTCCAGTATGTTTTGTGGGTCATGGGGCTTCTGTGTGCCAAGTGAGTTCCAGATCCATCGTTGGTGGAGTTCAGAGTGCAGTTCTTAGGTTGCAAGTGAACTATAAATCCCAGGACCTACAACTCCCATAAATCATGGTGAATTCTCCCCCAAGTCTCTCTAGTATGTTCAGTTGCTGATAAATTCCTCTGTTTGCTCCGTGCCATAGAAAGTAATAGGAAAGGGTTATGGGAGAGGCAGTGGGTGGAGTCATGCAAATTCCACATTAATTGAGAGAGAAAGGAACCCTAAGATGCCTGTGGTGGAGGAAACACATGAAATCTAGGATGAAATTGTCTTCACTTGGGTGGTGGGCAGTATGGCGTTGGTGGAAAACATTGGCAGGGCTCTTGGACATGTTCACGGTGCTCACTATAACCTACAATGTCATTGGAGGGAGGGCCATTGGTGTCTCCTGAGTGGTGGGAGCTAGAGCTGTTTGTGGACGCAGGAGCTTGTCTGTGTAAGTGGACACCCCTGTCACTCACACACACATACATATTTTCACTTTTATTAATATGTGTGCATACACACACACACACACAGGCCATCCCAGCATTACAGACATCCAACTACAAACTCCTAATTAAGACTAATGGGCTGGACTGGATGTCCTTTGGATGTTCCTTCCAAATCTATATTATAGTTATATATATGGGGTCTCTTGAGAGAAGGGCCCCAAACAGTGGGTCGGGGGGGGGGGGCTTCCAAATAGTAATAATAATAAAAAAATATAATAATAATACACACACACACGCAGATGTCCCCGAGTTACAAACATCCAACTTCCAAAAAAACCCTTGTTAAGAACAAGTGTGAGACAACAGGAAGTGAGAGGAATCTTCCCCTCAGAAGGAAGTTATGAGTCCCCAATGAAGCTTTATCCCCAATCCTTGTTTCCACAACAAACCAATACTTACACAATCCAGTGATCACAGAGACAGAAAGTGAGGTGGAATCTCCCTCTACGTGTGATCCAAAGCGAAAACGGGTCTCTCTTGCAGGCGCTACTTGAAGCACAAGCGTGACGATGGGGCGGAGAAGCAGGACGACGAGACAGTGGACGTGACGCCCATCATGATCTGCGTCTTTGTGGTCATGTGCTGCTCCATGCTGGTCCTGCTCTACTGCTTCTATGACCAGCTCGGTGTGTCTCGTAGCGGCTCAACAGGCCTCTCTGCAGGGGCTCACGGCAAGATCTTCTCTTGAGAGAAGGGCCCCAAACAGTGGGCCGGGGGGGGGGGCTTCCAAATAGTAATAATAATAAAAATATAATAATAACAAGACTCTTCTTTCCATACGGCCTGTCTCCTCCCAGTCTATGTTATCATTGGGATTTTCTGCCTGGCGGCCTCCATCGGCCTCTACAGCTGCCTCTCCCCGTTTGTCCGGCGCTTCCCGATTGGCAAGTGCAGGTAGGCAGCCCCCAGGGAGGCTTCATGTTGTTCTTTTAGTTGTTGTTGTTGTTGTTGATATCCCTGCTCTGCCTCCCCATCTGTCAGGGTCCCCGACAATAACCTGCCCTACTTCCACAAACGGCCCCAGATCCGCATGCTGCTCCTGGCCGCCTCCTGCATCGCCGTCAGTCTTGTCTGGGCCGTCTTCCGCAACGAGGACCAGTGAGTCGTCTGATTGTTATGATGATGATGATTTGCAATGCCCCATGTTAATATAAATATTATTATTTGAAAGGCCCCATTCTCCCCTCAGAGGTGGCTTCCTTTGTTCCCCACCTAATATTATTACCATCATTATTACTATTTGCAAGGCCTCCTTCCTCCCCACCAAAGGGCCCCCCTCAGTTCTCCACCTGTTAATATTATTGCTACTACTATTATTATGATTTGCAAGGCCTGATTCCACTCCCCAAAAGGGTTAGGGCTCTCTGCCAGGGCCTTCATTGGTTCCCTAACTGTTGTTGTTATTTACAAGGCCCTATTCCTCCTTCTAGAAGGGCCTGCGCTTTCTGTCGGGACTTCCTTGGCTCCTCACCTCTTGTTACTATTTCCAAGACCCCCTTTCTCCTCGCAGAAAGGCCAGAGCTTTCTGCAGGGGCCTTCCGTGACTCCCCTCCTGCTATTATTGTTGTTGTTACTTGCAAGGCCCCATTCCTCCCCCCAGAAGGGCCAGGCTCCTTCTTATTACCATTCTTATTCCTCTCTCCCTCGACGCAGGTGGGCCTGGATCTTGCAGGACGCGCTGGGCATTGCCTTCTGCCTTTACATGCTGAAGACAATCCGGCTGCCGACCTTCAAGGTGGGGGTTCCTTGGGGTCATGGGGTCTCCTTTGGGGCTTCAGCCTGTTCATTTATTCATTGTTGCCCCCCTCCCCCCCTTTGCAGGGCTGTACGCTGCTGCTCCTGGTCCTCTTCGTGTATGACGTCTTCTTTGTCTTCATCACGCCTTACCTGACCAAGGTATGTTGGGAGTGGGCTCTGGGGCCACGCCATTGAGGCCCTGCCATACTCTCCCAAAGCCAGTGGCTTGCACTCATCCTTCCTTTCTCTCTTGCAGACCGGGGAGAGCATCATGGTGGAGGTGGCAGCCGGGCCCACAGATTCCCTCACCCACGAAAAGGTAGCACCGTTTTTCATTCCTTTTTCATTGATATGCCCTTTCCTAATTGGTTCTATTTGCGGCAGCCACAAAGACAACCAAGTTTCTGGAGTATGACAAGTGCTGAATTGTGGGATCTGCAATCCAAAATGCCTGGAAGGAGGGCTGAAGTTGGCCCAGGCCTGCCCCAAAGTCATATGTATTGGTGCCCAGTGTCTCAGGGCTCTTTGACACGGCTGTTGCGAGTTGTATGGCACACATCCTGAGACCTTTTTGCCTCCTCCTCCTCCTCTGCTGCAGCTCCCGATGGTGCTGAAGGTGCCGCGGCTGAACTTCTCCCCGCTGGCCCTCTGCGACCGGCCCTTCTCCCTCCTGGGCTTCGGGGACATCCTGGTCCCAGGTGAGAGCACAGGGGGATTTGCATAAAAGGGGATGTGTCCCTGAGAAGTATCGGGATAGAAGAGAAGAGAGCGGTTTGCATAAAAGGGGGCATGTCCCTGAGGAGTGTTGGGATAGGAGAGGAGAGAAAGTCATTTGAATAAAAGGGGTGTGCCCCAGAGAAATATCAGGATAGGAAGCGAGCGACATTTGAATAAAAAGGGGCATGTCCCTCAGGTGTATCCCCCTAACAAACCAATAGGAAGTGAGACTAGAGATAGGCAGGCACAGAGGCCAATAGGGGGAGGGCTTTGCCCACCAGCCTACTGCTCTGCCTCTCGAGTCCTTGATGAGGACTATGCAGCTGAGCAGAATAGTGGTTGAGTCTCAACCCTTTCCTTGCTGGCTGGCTGGCTGGCCCGGGGGTGGGAGAGGATCCCTTCCTTTGCCCACCATTTCCTCCTCCTTTCTTTCCTTCTTTCCTCCAGGTCTGCTGGTGGCCTATTGCCACAGGTTTGACATCCAGGTCCAGTCATCACGCGTGTATTTTGTCGCCTGCACCATCGGTAGGGCCTCCTCCTCCTACAGCCTGCCTCCCTGCCTTTCCCCTTGGATGCTCCCCTATGACGTTTGCCCCACTTTCTCCCTCACTCCCTCCCTCTCCCTTTGCAGCCTACGGGATCGGGCTCCTGGTGACATTTGTGGCACTGGCGCTGATGCAGAAGGGCCAGCCAGCGCTGCTCTACCTGGTGCCCTGCACCCTCCTGACCAGCTTTGCCGTGGCCCTCATCCGCAGGGAGCTGGCCATGTTCTGGACTGGAAGCGGCTTTGCGGTGAATAACAACCCCCCCCTTTGGTTTGGGAGGGGGAGGAGGAAGAGGGGCCATGACTAAGAGGAGCCAGGGTTGAGTACGGCAGGCAGCGAGGGAAAGGCTGCATCTCTGCTCCCTGTCCTCTTTTGGCTTTGGGTCTGGAGGGGAATGGTCCCAGGGTGAGGGTTCTCCCTGCATTTGTCCTCTCTTTAGCTTCCTCCTTTCTTCCCTTCTTTTTCTCTCCTATTGTCTCTCCCTCTCTCATTTGTGCTGCTTCTTTTCTCCTTTCCTTTGTTCCTCTTTTCTCTCTCCCTCCTTCCTCACTTCCCTCCCTCCCTTCTTGTGCTTTTTCTTTATTTCCTTCCCTCTATCCATTCTTTCTTGTGTTCCCTCATAGAATCATAGAGTTGGAAGAGACCTCATGGGCCATCCAGTCCAACCCCCTGCCAAGAAGCAGGAATATTGCATTCAAATCACCCCTGACAGATGGCCATCCAGCCTCTGTTTAAAAGCTTCCAAAGAAGGAGCCTCCACCACACTCCGGGGCAGAGAGTTCCACTGCTGAACGGCTCTCAGTCAGGAAGTTCTTCATCATGTTCAGATGGAATCTCCTCTCTTGTAGTTTGAAGCCATTGTTTCGCATCCTAGTCTCGAGGGAAGCAGAAAACAAGCTTGCTCCCTCCTCCCTGTGGCTTCCTCTCACATATTTATACATGGCTATCATATCCCCTCTCAGCCTTCTCTTCTTCAGGCTAAACATGCCCAGATCCTTAAGCCGCTCCTCATAGGGCTTGTTCTCCAGACCCTTGATCATTTTAGTCGCCCTCTTCTGGACACATTCCAGCTTGTCAATATCTCTCTTGAATTGTGGTGCCCAGAATTGGACACAATATTCCAGGTGTGGTCTAACCAAAGCGTAATAGAGGGGTAGCATGACTTCCCTAGATCTAGACACTATGCTCCTATTGATGCAGGCCAAAATCCCATTGGCTTTTTTTGCCGCCACATCACATTGCTGGCTCATGTTTAACTTGTTGTCTACGAGGACTCCAAGTTTTTTTCACACGTACTGCTCTCAAGCCAGGCATTGTCCCTCATTCTGTATCTTTGCATTTCGTTTTTTCTGCCAAAGTGGAGTATCTTGCATTTGTCACTGTTGGACCCTCTTTCTTCCCTCCCTTCGTCCCTCCCTCAATGCTTGCTTCCTTCCCTCTGTCCCTCATTTCTTTTTCTTCTCCCTCCCTACTTCCTTTATTCTGTCTGTCCTTCCTCATTCCCTGGTTTCTTTCTCTCCTCCCTCCTGGCCCTCCTCTCTGTCTCTAACGAAGCTCTTCCTTCTGCAGAAAGACCTCCCTCCGCCTCCCTTGGTCGTCTCCCCTGCCGGCTACCCCCCCTCGGAGACTCTTCCTGCTGCCGCCCCAAAAGACGAGGAGGAGGAAGAGGAAGAGCAGGCAGCTTCTCTGGCAGGAGCTGCAGCCGCAGGGTCCCCTAGCCCCGAAGGAGAAGGAGGCAGCAATGAGGGGCTGGCCTCCTCCACTGCACCACCGCCAGCAGAAGAGGGTCCAGAAGCTCCTATTGCTTTGGTGGAAGAGGAAGAAGAAGGGGGGAGCCGGCCAGGGAGCCCCCATATAGAAGAGTCCAGCCCCACCGAGGGGTGGCCCCCAGGAGGGCAGCACCTTTCCGACTAGCCCAGCCCCTCCCCCGCTTCTCCCCCTCCACCCCTCCCTCCCTGTCCTGCCAGGGACCCCAGGGCTGGTTTGGGGCCCCAGGCCTTGGCCAGCAGTATCTCCTCTCCCTCCCTTCTACTCATCCTACCATCCTTGCTCCTTCCCTTCCTTCCTTCAATTCTTCATCCCTCCTACCCTCCCATCTAGCCATCCCTCTTCCCATCCTCCCTCCCTCCCTCATTTCCTCCCTCCTGAATATGGTGCTTTCACAAAGAGGGTCCCGTACAATTTCAACAGTGGCGGAGTGCGGGCACCACCCCTCCTCTCCTTCCGCCCTGACTTTTTGGCAAGAGGCCCCGATCCCACAGAGATAAACAGTATTTGTCGCTTTGTCCACGGCTACGCTGCTGCTCCAGCTTTGGGCCTGCGTGAAAGAGACTCACTCAGACTGCTCCCTGGCCCAACATGGAAGAAGAAGAGGAGGAGGAGGAGAAGAAGCCCACCTGACTATCCCTCCTTCATTCTTTGGGTTTCCCTCTCCATTGAATTGTCTTGACACCAACATATTGAGGGAGGGTGTTAGGCTGCCTCAATTTGTATCCAGCGGAGACGGACCTTGGGAGGTGGCCATTGAGATAGAGAAGGCCCCTGTTCCCCCGAATCCAGTGTCAGCAGCGAGGCAGAGTGGCAGAAGGGCCCCGCTTGGTGATTTCAATGGACCTGGGGGTCTTTTCAGTGGGGAGTGCTCCTCTCGGAATGAGTCTGTGTTCACCCATTAGTTGTGGTTTGGCCTCCTCTCAAAGCATAGAAACAGAGAGAGCAGAAGGAAGAGGCCCAGGAACCTAGGTCCCTCCCTAGATAAGTCTTAACTCTTGGGGTGGAAATGGTCCCTCTCTTTTGTATTTTCGGGGGTTACGTGGGGTCTGTTGGGTGTAGGGTTTCTTTCCTTTTTCTTTCGTGTGTCTCCTTCTGTCCCCGTCATTTTCTTTCTTCTTATTTCTTTCGAGGAGCCCAGAGCTCCATCTCTTTTTCTAGAAAAGTGTGTGTTGGGGTCCTCCTCTTCTGTTTTGGGGGGCAAAGAGAGAGAGAGAGACTCCCCTTCTCGCTCTTGCAGGGCGACAGGCGCTTGCTTGTTCTCTTAGACACTACAGGATTATGCCTTAATTTAAGCCATTTTATACATAACGATGACGATTATGATGATGTATCTGGAACGGATGCCTGACCACAGATTGGGCAAGAATAATAATAAAATTTGATGGAATATGTGTTTGTGGTGCATATGTGTGCAGGGGAGGAAAGGGTTCATTCACTCACTTGATCATTTGCTTTGGGCCCTTCCTTCCCTTGAACCCCAAGGGCTGTCTAGTCCAACCCCCTCCCTCCCAGCCACCTGACCGCCCGTCTGCTCCAGGACACAATCTGACCCCTCCTGATAGAGGGCCAGCCAACGTCATGGATGTTCACAGGTTGCTGAACAATCCCATACTCGTCCAGTGAGCCGCTTTGGGATTCCATGGGGAGGGAGAAAGGCGGGGTATATATATGTTGTTGTTCATTCATTCAGTCGTCTCCGACTCTTCGTGACCTCATGGACCAGCCCACGCCAGAGCTCCCTGTCGGCCGTCACCACCCCCAGCTCCTTCAAGGTCAGTCCAGTCACTTCAAGGATGCCATCCATCCATCTTGCCCTTGGTCGGCCCCTCTTCCTTTTTCCTTCCACTTTCCCCAGCATAATTGTCTTCTCTAGGCTTTCCTGTCTCCTCATGATGTGGCCAAAGTACTTCAACTTTGTCTCTAGTATCCTTCCCTCCAGTGAGCAGTCGGGCTTTATTTCCTGGAGGATGGACTGGTTGGATCTTCTCGCAGTCCAAGGCACTCTCAGAACTTTCCTCCAACACCACAGCTCAAAAGCATCTATCTTCCTTCGCTCAGCCTTCCCTAAGGTCCAGCTCTCACATCCGTAGGTGACTACAGGGAATACCATGGCTTTGACTAGGCGGATCTTTGTTGCCAGTCTGATGTCTCTCCTCTTTACTATTTTATTGAGACAGGACATTGCTCTCCTCCCAAGAAGTATATATATAGTTGTTAATAAATACTGTTATGGTTGCTATGCTTATAATGGTTGAGTTTCATCACCCCGGGTGGGTCGGTGCTGGGAAGTGTAGTCCTCCCTGGTCCGGGGTTCTGCAAATGGGAGCCAGAAGAGGGGGGGAGGGAGGTGCCCAGGGACAATGTTGCTGCTGCTGCTTCTGGCTTCCTTCCTTCCTTCCTTCCTTCCTTCCTTCCTTCCTTCCTTCCTTCCTTCCTTCTTTCCTTCCTTTTGGGACTGTGCTCCTTCCCTCGCTCCTTTTGGTTCCCTCTCTCCCTTCTCTCCTTCCGCTTCCTTCCTTCCTCTCTTCCCTCTCCTCCTCCATTCCTTCTTCCCTTCATTATTTCTTCCCTTCTCTCCCCTTCCTTTCCCCTCCCTCCCTTCCTGGACACATGAAATGCCTGACAGCTGCATCATGTTATTACTATTACTCCCATGATTTTTACAATTATGATGGTGGTGTTTCAGCACCCGACAGATGCTGGGGAGCATAGTCCTTGGTCCAGGGTTGTGCAAGTGGGAAGGAGGGAGGCATTGATGAGGCCAATGCTGCTGCTCCTTGCTTTCTTCTTTTTTCCTCCTTCCTTTTGGGTGTCAAAGGCCTCCCTCTGCTTCCCTCCTCCCTCCCTTCTTTCCTTCCTCACTTCCCCTTTGTTCCTCTCTCCTTCTCTTCCTTTCTTCCTCTCCTTCCTCTTCCTTCCTTCCTTCCTTCCTTCCTTCCTTCCTTCCTTCCTTCCTTCCTCTCTCTCTTCCCTCTCCTTCATTCCTTCCCTTCCACTTCCTCCCACTCACCCTCCCCCCGTTCCTTCCTCTTCCCTCTTCTCCCTTCCTTCCTTCCTTCCTTCCTCTACTTATCCTTCTTTCCTTCCTCTCTTCCCTTCATAGAATCATAGAATCAAAGAATTGGAAGAGACCTCATGGGCCATCCAGTCCAACCCCCTGCCAAAAAGCAGGAATATTTCATTCAACCCCCGACAGATGGCCATCCAGCCTCTGCTTAAAAGCTTCTAAAAAAGGAGCCTCCACCAAACGACCGACACAACCTACCAACTCCCAAATGTCAAAATTTGGGCGTATTGGGTACTTGTGCCAAATTTGGTCCAGTGAATGAATCATAGAATCCTAGAAACCAAGAGTTGGAAGAGACCTCATGGGCCATCCAGTCCAACCCCATTCTGCCAAGAAGCAGGAATATTGCATTCAAATCACCCCCGACAGATGGCCATCCAGCCTCTGCTTAAAAGCTTCTAAAGAAGGAGCCTCCACCACACTCCGGGGCAGAGAGTTCCACTACTGAATGGCCCCTCCCCTCCCTCTCCTTCCTCCCTTTCCTTCCTTCCTAACCCCCTCCCTCCCTCCCTGGACATAGGAAATACCTGACAGCTGCACCATCATATTACTGTTACTAGTGATGATTGTGTTTACTTCACAATCTGGGGAGTGTAAGCAGTGTTAGGGTGGCTGATGCTGCTGTTGCTTCTCCTGGCTTGTTATTATTATTATTATTATTATTATTATTATTATTATAACTTTATTTGTACCCCGCTAGCATCTTCCAAGGGACTCGATGCGGCTTACAACAGGCCGAAGCCACAGAACAACAATACAGCAAAACAATACAAAGCAAATTAAAAACAGTTAAGCAAGTAAACAAAACAGTAACAATACATCAGACAATTATTAAAACTGGGCCGGCCGGAGTAGTGGGTACAGGATTAAAAGTGCTGATATTGTGGGAGGAATATAGGGTTATAACATAAGTGCAGTGTGCGGTGTGCAGTGATCATGGTTCTACTAAAGTGCATCTGGGACTTGGTGTTGAGGTTCCTAATCTGGAAAGGCACATCGGAACAGCCAGGTTTTCAAGTTCTTCCTGAAAACTGCCAGTGTGGGGGCCTGTCTAAGATCTTTCGGGAGGGCATTCCAGAGTCGGGGGGCCACTACAGAAAAGGCTCTGTCTCGCCTTTCCTCCTCTGAGCTCTGTCTCGCCTTTCTTGTTTCCTCCTCTGGGCCTTGGGCTCAAAGGTGGCGCTTTCCCTCCTCTTCACTCCTTCCTTTTGGGGCATCAGGGGCATCAAAGGCCTGGCTGCAGCAGGGAGGAAGACAATGGGCCCTTGTGCTCATCCCAGGGCACAGAAGGTGTCTCTGTCCTGGCCTGGCAGCCCCAGGAAGCCATGGGTGGGACCTTGGGAGGGGACCTGGGCCAGCGCGGGGCTCTACCTGGGAAGGTGAGCAGCCTAGGAGGAGCAGCAGCAGCAGCTGGACTGTGGCCAGGGGCCTCCTCCTCCTCCACTGCTGCCCAACAAAGGGTCCCTGAGTGGCCTCTGCTGCAGGGAGACCAAGCCACATCTGAGGAAGAACAGCAGCAGCAGGAGGAAGGCTTTGCAAAGGAAGAGGAGGAGCAGCAGCAGCCACTAGGCACACAACCCAACAGGTGAGCCTGGCTTTGTAAGACCCACACTCCCAAGTGTAAGAAAGGTGCTGGTTCTAGGGTCTCTGCTTGTTCTCTCCCATCCCAGGTGCCCAACGCCCTGCAGTGGAGGCTTTCCTCTTCCTCTCATTCTCCCCAGGCTCCCCAGTCCTGAGCCAGGTAAGAAAGGGAGGGAGGGACACCATGGGGCAGGAGAGAGGGAGAGCGAGAGAGGCTCATTGAGATGCAACCAGGTCAGCGCAGCCTCCCTCCCTCCCCTGGCAGTGATCGGGTTCACTTTCTTCCTCTCTCCAGGGCCATGGAGCCCCCGGCTGCAGCACCAGCAACACCAGCAGTGGTCAAGACGGCCAGAGAGGGGCAGGAGGGGCCCTCCAAGGACAGCTGGGCCCGGGCAGCGCTAGGGATGGTCCTGGCTGGTACCCTCTTGGCTGCAGCTGCAGGGATCCTTCTGGGTGAGTGTAAGCAGCCCCTCCTCGCTTCTATCATAATAACAAGGACAACAACAATAACAACAACTGTAATACTCCTCTTTACTCCCTCTGTTTCTATTACTTCATTTATTCCTGTTTTATTGACTCTTCTAAAGCCTTGGACTGTCTGGATCATAATAAATTGTGGCAAGTTCTTGGTCATAGACTACTTGCCTGTCTCCTGAGGAATCTGTAGAACAACCGTGTTGCAACAGTAAGAACAGACCAGGGAACAACAGACTTGTTCAAGATGGGGAAAGGAGTACGGCAGGGTTGTCTACTCTCCCCCTCATTATTCAACTTGTATGCAGAACACATCATGAGAGGACATGCATGGCTTGAGGAACCCAAGGCTGGAGTTTGAATGGCTGGAAGAAACATTAACAACCTGAGATATGCAGATGATACCACTCCTAGGGCTGAAAGTGAGGAGGAGCTGAGGAGCCTTATCACCAAGGTGAAAGAAGAACGGTCAAAGGCTGGGTTGCAGTTAAACACAAAAAAACCCAAGATGATGGCAGCCAGACTGATGGATAACTGGCAAATAGAGGGAAAAAATGTTTGTATTTCTAGGTGCGAAGATGCAGACTGCAGCCAGGAAATCAGAAGACATTTTTGGGAAGAGAGCAAGGACCAATCTTGATAAAAGAGTGAAGAGCAGAGACATCACACGGGCAATGAAGATCCACATAGTTAAAGCAATGGTATTCCCCATTGGATGTGAGAGCTGGACCATAAGGAATGCTGAGTGAAGGAAGAGAGACGCTTTTGAAGTGTGGTGTTGGAGGAAAATGCTGAGATTGCCTTGGACCACAAGAAGATCCAGCCCATCCATCCTCCAGGAAAGAAAGCCCAACCGCTCACTGGAAGGAAGGATATTGGCCACATCATGAGAAGGCAGGAAAGCTTGGAGAAGAGAAGGATGTTGGGGAAAAGGGAAAGAAAAAGGAAGAGGGGCCAACCAAGAGTAAGTTGGATGGATGTCATCCTTGAAGGGATTGGCTTGACATTGAAAGAGATGGGGGTGGCCACGGCCAACAGGGAGCTCTAGCGTGTGCTGTTTCAGGAGGGCACCATGGGACGGAACGACTGAATGAATAAACAAAACTTCCTCCTGTAAATATCCCTGAGAGGCCTTCCCTTTAATAATAATAATACTAATAATACTAATAATAATAATCTTCATAGAATCATAGAATCAAAGAGTTGGAAGAGACCTCATGGGCCATCCAGTCCAACCCCCTGCCAAGAAGCAGGAATATTGCATTCAAATCACCCCTGACAAATGGCCATCCAGCCTCTGCTTAAAAGCTTCCAAATAAGGAGCCTCCACCACACTCCGGTGCAGAGAGTTCCACTGCTGAACGGCTCTCACAGTCAGGAAGTTCTTCCTCGTGTTCAGATGGAATCTCCTCTCTTGTAGTTTGAAGCCATTGTTCCGCGTCCTAGTCTCCAGGGAAGCAGAAAACAAGCTTGCTCCCTCCTCCCTGTGGCTTCCTCTCACATATTTATACATGGCTATCATATCCCCTCTCAGCCTTCTCTTCTTCAGGCTAAACATGCCCAGCTCCTTAAGCCGCTCCTCATGGGGCTTGTTCTCCAGACCCTTTTATCATTTTAATCGCCCTCCTCTGGACACATTCCAGCTTGTCAATATCTCTCTTGAATTGTGGTGCCTAGAATTAATAATAATAATAATAATAATTATTATTGTTGTTCTTGTTGCTGTTATACTTCTCTTTTCCCTTCATCCCTCCTTTAATTGTCAGTGAGAGCCCTTTTCTGTAACAACAACAATAATGGTTGTTGTTGTTATTATTATTATTATTATTATTATTATTATTATTATTACTACAGAAAGGGGCTCTTTTCCCTCCATCTCTTCTCTAAGTGTCCACAAAAGTCCTTTTCTTTAATAATACTAATAATGATTCCTCTCTTTGCTGGCAGCCTGCCTGGCGCAGCCGCAGGAGTTCCCATTTGAGCACCTGGCGGAGCTGCACGGTCTTCCCTTCCACAGCAGCCTCTTGCAAAGCGGATCGGACTACTGCCGGGCACTAACCCCCCTCCTTGAGCAGCTGGTGAGTGAGGAGCCAAGAGGAGAGTAGAGGAGGGGGCAGGAGGAGCCTGTTGGGGGGCCCTTTCCCCTCCCGCTCATCCATTGTCCTCTTCTCCATTGCCACCCACACAGTTCCAGAGCAGCTTCCGGAACTCCTCCCTGGAGGGCAGCTGCTCCCGCTGCTCCATCCTCCAGTACAGGTAGGCCCCTCCAGAAAAGAGCATCAGAAACTCAATAAGGAGATATACATGTATCGTCAAAGGCCTTCATGGCTGGAATCATTGGGTTGCTGTGAGTTTCTGGGCTGTATGGCCAATGTGTTCCAGCAGCAGTTTCTCCTGACATTTCACCTACATGTGCAGAAATATTGGCAAAAATATTTACAAAATATGTGCAGAAATATTCGCAGTGAAATATTCAGAAAAATATTCCTAATTTCTCTCTGCAGGAAGGGCAACAATGGCAGCAGCGTGGTGGTACACTTCTGCCTCTGGTTCTCAGTGGAGCCGCCAAGTCCCAGCGTAGAGGAGGCAGCCCTGAGGCGAGGGCTGGAGGTCGCTCTGGGCGATGCGGGGCTTGCGCTGCCCGGCTTCGGGGCCCTCTCTTCCGCCACCATCACAGGTGAGCCAAAGAAGGGTGTGTGTATGCTTGTGTGTGTTCTCCGTGCCCCCCTCCCATGGCCCTCAGGGGGAAGTCGGGGCCCTGGGGCTGGCTGCAACACCTAATGCAGCAACGAGCAAGAGAGGTTCTGTCAGATTGTTCTTAAGTTGAATTTATATATGTCAGAACAGGGACATTTTCTAAATACAACATCAGCCAAACACAAACACGCTCATCTATAAAAGCTTTGGATGGCTGGGTTGTTATCATCTGTCTCCTGCACATATATCTGTGGAATGTCCAGGGTGGGACAAAGAACTCAATCAGGAATATCTAATCACCTCTCAAGAAAGGAATTTCCCAGGCAGTAACAGGCCACATCTGGTTATTACCTGCAAAGCCCTAAATGGTTTGGGCCCTGCCTACCTTCGCGACTGCATATTTCCCTACAAACCTGCATGAGCTACAAGATCTTCTGGGGAGGCCCTCCTCTCGCTCCCGCCTGTCGCAAGCGTGGGTGGTGGGGATGAGGGGAGAGAAGGGGGGCTTCCTTTTTGGTGGTGGCCCCCCAGCTCTGGAACTCTCTTCCCCAGGGAGATCAGATGAGCTCCCACCCTGTCCACTTTCTGTAAAGACATAAAAACGTGGATATTCCAGTGTACCTTTGATTAATTGGTTCTCTAGGTCAGTGGTTCTCAACCTTCCTAATGCCGTGACCCCTTAATCCAGTTCCTCATGTTGTGGTGACCCCCAACCATAACATTATTTCCGTTGCTACTTCATAACTGTCATTTTGCTACTGTTATGAATCATAATGTAAATATCTGATATGCAGGATGTATTTTCATTTACTGGATCAAATTTGGTACAAATATCTGATATGCCCATATTTGAATACTGATGGGGTTGGGGGGATTGATTTTGTCATTTGGAAGTTGTACTTACTGGTATTTATAGTTAACCTACAATCAAAGAGCATTCTGAACTCCACCAATGATGGACTGAACCAAACTTGGTACACAGAACTCCCATGACCAACAGAAAATACTGGAAGGTTTGGTGGGCATGACCTTGAGTTTTGGAGTTGTAGTTCACCTACATCCAGAAAGCACTGTGGACCCAAACAATGAGGGAGACTCCTCGCGAGGAGAGGCCTTGGCTGAATCGCGGCCCCGCCGGAAGGCGGGATCGCGGCCCAGCTGAGGGAGACTCCTCGCGAGGAGAGGCCTTGGCTGGGTGCGACATTGGGGGCGGGGCCTAAGGAGGCGGCCTCGCGACCCCTCCAAAATTGCCAAACGACCCCCCTGGGGGTCGCGACCCCAAGGTTGAGAACCGCTGCTCTAGGTCAATTGGCTCTTTTAGCCATAAATTAATATCTGGCTTTTGCACTTTACTATTTTCCCTTCCCCTGTAGTAGTTGTATTGCACTAATTGACTTGGCTCTTCTAGCCCTAAGTTATCATCTGGCTCCTGCACTTTGCTATCAGCCCTGTCCTTGCAGTTGTATTGCCCATGCCCTTGCCTCGCCTCTTAGTTCTGAATATGCTGCGCTACTGGTTGTTGTTCGATGGTTTATGGTTTTATGATGTCTTGTATATGTATTTTTATTGTGTTATTTGTAACCTTTGTTTATATTGGGCTTGGTCCCTTCAGGGAGATGATGGAGGGATACGAAAATAAAGTTATTATAATTATTAAGATTATTACATATACACACAGAGAGCAACCCTTTCTATCCATTTGACCTCTTTCTTCCTTTTCCCACAGGCCCAGGAAGCAGTTTCTCAGACTCCAAGATGGCCCTGAAGTCTGGTATGGTTCTGGGCTCCTCACAGCCTTGAGGACAGGGCTTCCTATGCCCTTTGGCCCTTCCCTGGCTCTGGGAAGCCCCTCTTGGGGAAGAGGCATTCAAACCCAGGCCCCAAATACATCAAAGGGCCCCACAGACCGGACCCCCCTCTCTCTCTGGCAGGGCGCTGTTCGCGAAAGGCCTTCTCCTGCCGCAGCGGCCAATGCGTCCCGTGGCAGAACCCCGAGTGCGACGGGCGCAAGGACTGCCTGGATGGCTCCGACGAGGAGGACTGTGGTGGGTCCTCCCTTTCCTCCTCCATTTGAAATAGGGGGCAGGAAGAGAGGTCTGACAGAGGAGAAGCCTGACCGGACCCCCCTTCCTTCCTGCCTTCTTTCCTTCCCTGCCTGCCTTAGATTGCGGAGGGCGCCCGGCCCTGCAGGCAGTGCAGCAGCGCATCGTGGGGGGCTCCCAGGCCTCACGGGGAGAGTTCCCCTGGCAGGTCAGCCTCCGGGAGAACGGGGAGCACTTCTGTGGAGCTGCCGTCCTTGGACCCACTTGGCTGGTCTCTGCCGCACACTGCTTCAACGAGTGAGTCAGTGAGTGAGTGAGTGCGGGCGAAAGGGAAGGGGGCCAGCGAATCTTGACCCTCCTCTTCCTCCTCCATCACCTCTCCTTCTGACACTGACTCTTCCTCTTCTCTTCCTTCTCTTCCCTTTCCTCTCCTCATCCTCCCTTTCCACCTCCTCCTCTTTGTCCTCCTCTTCTTCCTCCCCTTCCTCCTCCTCAGGTTCCAGGACCCTGGCACCTGGACGGCGCACGCTGGGAACATCTGGCTGAGCGGCAGCAGTGGCCACGGCCGAGGAGAAGGCTCCCAGGCGCCCGTGGCACGCATCCTGCGCCACCCCTCCTACGACGCTGACTCGGCCGACTTCGACCTGGCACTGCTGCAGCTCTCCACACCCCTGGGCCCCTCTCGCTTCGTGCAGCCCGTCTGCCTCCCAGCTGCCAGCCACATCTTCCCTGCCGGCAGGAAGTGCCTCATCTCCGGCTGGGGCTACCTCCGGGAGGACTTCCGTAAGGACCACCAGTGGGCAGGGAAACGGCCTTGGAGGGCCACATCCAACCCACAGGCCTGAAGCTGGATGAGTTCATGAAATGAGTTATAGTCATAATTATGAGCTCCCTAAAATGTTGTGATCAGAAAATGACATTCAGATACTCTCACTGAATCACACAAGAGAGAACAAGATGGATTATTTCATCAGTAAGGGAGAATGGCTAATGCAAACCTTTTGGCATGTGAAATAACTCTCACACGGTTATGCCTCAGCCATTACCACACCCCCTTAGGTATCGTATCACGACACTCACAGTCACTACCCAGGGCTATCAATATTTCACATGTTCATCAAACAGGATGATCTATTGGACTAGAAATGCTGCGCCATTTCTATCGAACAACTCCTAGGTGTTCACTCGGGTAGGCGACCTGGGGAAACCCCAGGCATCACAGCGCGTTCCTCCCCTCCATCCCAAGAAGTATATTTGCTGAGAATATTCATTCATTGTGCGAGGAACCATCCACAATCTCCCTTTAGTTTGAGTTTCCCAACAAGTTTATTTGCTAATTGAAAGTTAGGACTCAGGTTTACAATCCAAGTTATATGTAACTTTATATAAGTTAACTTTGTTTAGAACTGAATGGCTGGAGAATGAAATGGAGGGGAGAAGGGCAGTTGGGGAAAAGAATAGTGGGTGGCTGGTGACTGAGCCCCGTTGGCCTCCTCTGCCCCTTTCAGTTGTGAAGCCGGAACAGCTGCAAAAGGCCACAGTGGAGCTGCTGGACCAGGCGCTGTGCACCAGCCTCTACAGCAATGCCTTGACTGACCGGATGCTCTGCGCGGGATACTTGGAGGGCAAGGTGGACTCCTGCCAGGTAGGGAGCCTCTCCTCCTCCTTTCTAGGAAAACCCCTTCCTTCCTTCCTCACATTTCTGTTGCAGGATTTGCTCATTCATGAAATGATCTCTAGTTTCCAAATCACAACCTCTTCAAACCACTGCACTCTGCATAGCTAGTCTCCCAGAATCAAGCAAAATGCAGCAGAGTGCTATCACAGCAAAAACATGCTTCAGCCCTGTCAGTTGTGCTCCCACAGAAGTTGAGGAAGCAAGAAGCCATTTTGTTCCCTTCTGCTTCAGGTAAGCCTTGTCTTAGAGGGCACTAGGAATCTGAGTAAGTGTTTAAAAATAGTTGCTTGAGTGTTTGCTTTGTTTGAGAGGCAAGGCGAGGCTACATTCTTTTAGCCAGCAGTGCAGGGCAGCAATTAGTGGCTCATTGTTCTCAGAGTGAGTCGTTGCTGCTTCCTGTTTACCCTATATAAGCCAGGGCCTGAACTCAATTGGCAGTTGTGCTCCCACAGAGGTTGAGGAAGCAAGAAGCTAACACACTCACTTTCCCCCCTGCATCCAGACAACATAAAACACACACCAAGAGGAGGTAATTAGCAGCCTAAAGGTAGAACAAACACAAAATCTTCCTGTCTCATGCACAAGCTGTGGCATGTTCAGCTTTTTCATGCAACAGTTACTCAATTACATCTGCCCCAAGTGTAAACAGATCACTCACATGGAACAGAGGATCCAACAAATTGAGGACTGTATTAAGATCCTTAAGGACATTCAGGAACTTGAGCTGTTCTTAGACACCATACAGCACACTGTCCTAGACACGCAGCCCATATCACACCAACATTATGGGGAGGCTCAAGAGGAGATCACCTCAGATGTGGACAACCCTCAGGCTTGGAGGAATGTCACCCTTAGAAAGAGACATAGGACCCAGAAGCCTCCTCAGAATACTTCTGCTCAGCTGCAGTTACACAATAGATTCCAAATTCTCACACAGCTATCACTTGACCAAGAAACACAACACATTGGGGAAGACCAGAATGGCTTAGATACTGATCAGTGGCTCGTCCTTGATCAGTGTGCAGGGGATAGTCCTGACTGGGACAACACTTCACAACATTCACACTTACACAATCGTGCAGGTGTACCAAACATTCACACTTACACGATCAATGTTCCATCCCCAATCATAGACCAAGTGCACACTCAGGAGAATTATAGGCTCTTGGATGAATCTCAATGGATTGTCCTTGACGAATGCACCGGGGATGCCGAGGGGGAGGACAACACTTTACACCTACACAATTCACATCAACAGGATCACTTTTCTGGGGACCTACACACTACATTGCACAAAAGGGACCCTGTCAATCCTGAAAGTAAACAGGTCTTGGTAGTAGGCGACTCCCTCCTTAGAGGAACGGAAGCCGTCATTTCCAGACCAGATGGGATGGCTCGAGAAATATGCTGCCTACCGGGGGCAAAAATACACCATATCACTCAGAGGCTCACCAGGCTCCTCAAGCCCCATCACTGTCCTCCCCTCATGTTGATTCATGTAGGAACCAATGATACTGCTAGGCATACTTTTCAAAAGATCATAAATGATTTTCGAGCTCTAGGAACAAAGCTAAAACAATGTAATGTACAGGTGGTCTTTTCATCCCTCCTCCCAGTTGTAAGTCACAGTCCTACAAGGGCCAGAAAAATAGTACAGGTCAATAACTGGCTTAGAAAATGGTGTCAGCTTTGGCTTCCTCGACCATGGCCTGCTTTTCCAGGAGGATGGCCTACTGGCAAAGGATGAGGTGCATCTCACATTAGCAGGAAAACACCTTTTTGCTCACAGACTCGCAAACCTCATTAGGTGCACTTTAAACTAGGTCCACCGGGGGAGGGGAACAACAGCCTTGCGAACACTACTTTACTCACAATGTCAGGGAACCGCCAGAAGGCTAAACGGAGGGCTGCACAAACACAACGAGGACCAAGTACCAAAAGCACAATAATCCCAATTAAACAGCTCAAGGGAAGATCTCAGGGGCTCACATGTCTTTACATTAATGCACAGAGCATGGGAAATAAACAAGATGAACTCCAACTTTTAGTACAACACCACAAATATGATATCACAGGCATCACTGAAACCTGGTGGGATGACTCCTATCGCTGGAATGTAGACATCGAGGGCTATAACCTCTTTCATAGAAACTGAACAAATGGGAGAGGAGGCGGAGTAGCCTTATATGTCAAAAACTGTTACGCTGCAGAAGAGATGCAAGACAGCAATCCGGGAAACCAGCTTGAAAGCATCTGGATAAGAATCAAGGGAACTGGGACTCAAAAAGATGTCGTTGTAGGCGTCTACTACAGATCTCCAAGCCAGGAGGAAGAACTAGATGAAGTCTTCTGCTAACAGTTGACAAAACAGACACAGAGAAGAGATGTAATAGTCATGGGCAATTTCAACTATCCCGATATTTGTTGGAAAACAAACTTGGCCAAGAGTACAAGGTCCAACAAATTCCTCGCTTGCCTTGCAGACAATTTCATGGTCCAGAAGGTAGAAGAGGCAACAAGGGGGTTGGCTACTCTTGATCTCATCCTAACAAATGTGGAGGACCTGATCGATGTAGTTGAAGTAGTAGGGTCCTTAGGGGCAAGTGACCATGTGCTCCTGCATATTTGGGAAGTGCGATTCCCTTTCCATGGGCACCTGTGCCGCATTCTATGTTGTGTTGGTCATAGACCGTAATAATCATTGATTGATTGACAGGCATACTTGGCAGTTGAGTAAGACAAGGCTAGGGCTGATGTTCTTATTAATTTTGGGTCTGCATCCCATGTGCTGCCAGTAAGTTTCTGCAGGATGTTATTGCGTGCAGCTATTTTGTGCTTGGTGTTCAAGCAGTGTTTCCTATAGGCTAGTGTTCAATCTAAGGTGACACCGAGATATTTAGGAGGGAAACAATGTTCAAGCTCTTGACCTTCCCAGGTGACTTTCAATTTCCTGTTGGCTTCACGGTTGCGTAGGTGGAAAGCACACACTTGTGTCTTGGCAGGGTTAGGCTTCAGGTGGGAAGTAGCTGGAGAGATCTTTCAAGGCATTGGTAAGTTGGATTTCAACCGTTTCAAGGTCTTTTGCTTGTGTTGTTAGGCCAAAGTTATCTGCATATATAAAGCTCTTTGTGAGTGGTGGTTGTGGCTGATCGTTAGTAAAGATATTAAACAAGGTTGGTGCAAGAACGCTGCCTTAGGGTAAACCATTCCTTTGCCTCTTCCATCTACTTTTCCTGTCTTGAAACTCCACACAGAAGCTACAGTTTTCTAAGAGAGTCTGGATAGTTCTTGTAAAATCAGTCTCAGGTAATATGGTAGACTTTCTGCAGCATTTTCCTATGTTGCACTGTGTCATAGGCTGCTGTAAGGTCGACAAAAACTGTTCCACTAATGAAACCTTTCTCATACCCTTCCTCGATATACTCAGATTAAGAATTTGGGCCGTACAGTTTTTCCCTGATCTGAAACCTGCTTGTTGTGCAATAAGCTGGGGTTCAATAACAAGTCCTAATCGATTTAGTAATATCCTCTCATATACTTTATATAGATGACATTGGAGTGAGATAGGCCAGTAGTTCCTGGCATTGGAGGCGTCTTTACCAGGTTTTAAAATGGCAATTATCTTAGTTTTCCTCCATAGTCTGGGAATCTGTGTGCCAAGCATTGATTGTAAAATCTCAAAAACCAGTTTTCAGCTTTGGGGCCCAAGTGTTTGATTCACTCCATCATTAAGTCATCTAGGCCAGGTGCTTTACCAGTTTTACATTGCTTAATAGCTTCTCTGAGTTCTTTCAGGTTTATGGGAGATGTCAACTGCTGGGTTTCAAGTTCTGGCACCCTGTTGATTTTCACCTTTACTTTGCTGCAGTTGGTTTTCCATACTGAATTAGCTGGTGTGCTGTCTGGTCTGGTGATACATTTGCATGTCCACAATTGACCAGAGGGTCACTATCCAGATCTTCACATACAGAATAGGCAGATACTAACACTCAGTCATGCAGGAGAGAAGAAGATTGAAACTTTCATCCTCTTAATATATATATATTCTGACCTTCTCACTCCAAAGGGGATTCAGGGTGGAGCATAACATATAAACAGCAAACATTCAATGTCGGGACATAAATAGACTATACACATACATAAACATTAAAATCATTTAGCCTGATGTTAAAATCCACTGTTTAAACTGACTCAATCATTCATATTGAATCTGGTTGACATAATAAGATTTCCTATTGCTGCCTTATTGCACTGTCCCAAAGGCTGGATAGTGCAAAGGGCGATCACTGAGAAGGAAGCCCCCCCCCCCCTTCTCTCTCTCGTTGCTACCAATCGCGCCTTTGGCGGTGGCAGGGTGGAGCACAGCACCTCCCAAGTTGATCCTGGTCTCCGTGATGGTTCATAGAGGGAGATGCGTTTGGACAGGTAAATATAGGCCAAAGCCAGCACTTTGAATTGTGCTCGGTATAGCCACCTGCTGATAGATCATCAAAGACCACTGGCTGATGCAACTCCATTGCAATAACCCTCACATAGTTAAGATTTCGCCATTGCCACACTCTCTTAGTATTGCATCGTGACATTCACAGCCATTGCCCAGGTGCTATCAATATTCCACGTTCATCAAACAGTAGTTTTTATGTGATTAGAAATGTTGTGCCCTTTCTATCTAGCAATTTACTCTTCCCTCCTCCTCCTCCCCAGGGAGACTCCGGAGGTCCCTTGGTCTGCCCAGAGCCTTCTGGGCGCTTCTTCCTAGCCGGCATCGTCAGCTGGGGCATTGGCTGCGCGGAGGCCAGGCGCCCAGGGGTCTACACGCGCATCACTAGGCTCCGGGACTGGATTTGGGATACGATAGACTCCACCACTGTGACTCCCGCTCCCCCTTTGACAGCCGCATCATCCACCTCCACCTCAACACAGAACCCCCGCTCCACCACTTCCGGGCAGCCGATGGACACAGCCCCCTGGCCCCCAAATGGTAAGAGCAGGAAGGCGAGGTAAGGGCACCACGCTGGCCTGGAGTGACCCCGGGCTCCTCCTGCTCTGTCCTTTCACAGAATGCGGCCGCCGCCCAGGATTCTCCAAGCCTCAAAGGATCGTGGGAGGCACCACAGCCCTTTACGGGGAGGTCCCATGGCAGGTGAGCCTGAAGGAGGAGGGGCTGCGGCACTTCTGCGGGGCCACCGTCATCTCCCCCCGCTGGCTGCTCTCGACCGCCCACTGCTTCATCCAGTGAGTAGGAGCTCCCCCTGGGCTCAAGGGGGAATGTCTGCCTGACTGCGTCCCCCAAAATTGCCCTCAACTGCACCTCCCTCACCTGCCCTCCACCAGGACCAAGCCGGGACGTGTGATGGCCTTTGCGGGCAGCACCTTGCTCTCCGCAGCCGAGAGCACCTCTGTCAAGGCTGGCATCTGGCGGGTGCTGCTCCACCCCTCCTTTCGCCCCGGCCGGCTGGACTTTGACGTGGCCCTCCTGGAACTTCTGCAGCCCCTACCCTTCGGGGCGCATGTCCAGCCCATCTGCCTCCCACCAGCCAGCCACAAGATCCCTCTTGGCAGGAAGTGCTTCGTCTCTGGCTGGGGGCGCCTCCAGGAGGGCAACGGTAGGGAGCCCGTCTCCCCACCTCCCAATATCAACGCAGGGGAAGAACAAAGGGTCTTGTTTGCCCCTTTGGGTTGCCAACACAACTCCCTTCCGGGCATCTTTGCAGCCCCCTGGCCAGAAACCCTGCAACTCGCCTCGGTGGGGATTGTGGAACAGAAGGCTTGCAATGCCCTCTACAACTTCTCCCTCACGGAGGAGATGATCTGCGCTGGGTTCCTGGAGGGGAAGACGGGTGCCTGCCAGGTGCGAAGCGGGGCCTTCAGGGGAGAGGGAGGTGGCAGGGGCTGCTTCCTTTTCCTCACTCCCTTCTCTTTCTCCTCCTCCAGGGTGACTCCGGAGGCCCCTTGGCCTGTGAGGAGGCCCCTGGTGTGTTCTCCCTGGCTGGGTTGGTCAGCTGGGGAGCGGACTGCTCTCAGGCCAAGCGCCCCAGGGTCTATGCCCACATCAGCCGTTTCACGGGATGGATCCTAGAGACCATGGCGGGGCCCCGGAACCCCACCCCCTTGGGCCCCTCCCCACCCCCCAAGAAGGGCAGAACCACTGCAGCCACCACCACTACCATCCCCTCCTCCTCCTCCTTCAGCTCCATCTCAGCCTCATTTGGTCAAAGCTCCACTCGGCAGGATTCCGGCAGCACCAGGCTCAGCACGACCGGGCCCCCGAAGGTCACCCCAAGAGCCACTCTGCTGCCAGGTGAGCGGGAGGCGAAAGAGAGATTTGTTCATGAAATGATTTAGTTTCAAATCACAGCCTCCTTGAACCGCTGCACTCTGAATAGCTAGTGTCCTGGAAGCAAGCAAAATTCACTTTTCTTGCAAATGATCAGTCATCAGATTATCATGTACAGAATGGGCAGATACTCACACTGGGTCACACAGGAGAGAGATGGGTTATTTCATCCTCTTTACATAGCCACTTGCTGGTATGTCATCGGTAAGGGACACTGACTGATGCAACCCCTTTGCAGTACCCCTCACGTGGTTACAACTCAACCATTGCCACACCCCCTTAGGTATTGCATCATGACAATCATTACCCAGGTAATATCAATATTCCTCATGTTCATCAAACAGTATTTGTATATGACTTGAAATGCTGTACCTTGTCTGTTGAACAAGGGACTGGTTCACTAGTACTCAGGGCAGTGGGGGCCCAGGAAATGTTCTCTTTGTGACTGGGGAAAAACAGGGAGCGGGGCCAGGCCCGGCTCTGCAACTGTTTCCCTTTCCCTTCCCAGCAATGCCCTGTGGCCCCTCCACCTTCCAGTGCTCCAGCCTCCTCTGCATTGGGAAGCCCAACCCAGAGTGTGACGGGGTCCTGGACTGTGCCAATGGGCGCGATGAGGCCTACTGCGGTGAGTGAGCGACCGATGGGCTGGAGGGAAAGGCCACTACTGGGCCCTTTGGGGGAGCAGAGGGTGGCCAGAGTGATGTGGGCTGGAGGGTGGTTGGGAGACTGGTGGCTTGCAGGCTGGGCTTTAGCATAGCTGGTTAACCACCAGCAGCAATAGATCTTATCAATCAAAAGGTTGGCAGCTTGAAGCACGGGTTGGGGTGAGCACCCGACCTTCAGCCCAGCTCACTCGCCACCTAAGCCGTTCAAAAACAGCCGTGAGTAGAGAAATTAGGCACCACTCTTAAGTGGAGGCATTTTACGGCACTATAAAGGAAATACCAGAAAATGCTGACGATCAAAGGAAAGAGGAAGTCTGTGATCAAGGCTTTGTCATAGAAGTTGGGCCGACAGCACCTCCCCCCACCCCCCACCCCGGTGGCTGGAATCAAGCACAACCTCCAGGACGCCGAAGTTGGGAAAAGTGGCAACATTAATACCGCTGTGTTTTCTGTCCTGTCTGTTTAACAGCATTGAATGTTTGTTGTGCATGTGTTCTGTGATTCACCCTGAGTTCCTTTCGAGGTGGAAAGGGCGGAATATAAATGCTGTAAATGAAATAAATAATAGAGACCCAGCCTCCTCCTCTCTCCTTTCCCCACTGCAGAGTGCGGCCGGGCCTCCTCCTGGGCCCTGGGCCGGATCGTGGGAGGCAGCGGAGCCTCACGGGGGGAGTGGCCCTGGCAGGCCAGCCTCCGACTGTGGCGTGGAAAGAAGCAGGAGCACAAGTGCGGCGCCGTCCTCATCGCCAAGCGCTGGCTTCTCTCAGCTGCCCACTGCTTCGACCTGTGAGTGAGTTATTTAGGGGCCACTCCTTGGGGCTACTCTTCCACTGAGATTGGCCCTGGGGTGACACCCCTCTTGCTCTCTCTGAGTGCAGGTACAGCAATCCTTCTTCCTGGCTGGCCGTGCTGGGGACCCCCTTCCTGGCAGGGGAGGGGGAGGAGAAGGTGCGGCAGGTGGCCCAGCTCCACCGGCACCCCTTCTATAACGCCTTCACATTGGACTACGACCTGGCCCTGCTCCGGCTGGACCGCCCCCTGCGCTTCTCCCCCACCCTCAGGCCCATCTGCCTCCCCGAAGGTGCCGACCGCCTTGCCCCCGGAGCCCAGTGTGTCATCACCGGTTGGGGATCCACCAAGGAGGGAGGTAGGAAGGAAGGAAGTGGGAGGAAAAAGGACAGACCTCTGGGAAATGTCCCAGACCTTATGTCGCTTAGAGACATGCCAGGGCTCTTGGGCAGAGAAGGCTAAAGGTGTTCCAAAACCACCGCTCCCAGGATCTAATAATAATAATAATAATAATAATAATAATAACAACGCAATGCTTTGTAAGAAAAGGAGAAACATTTTCTGCTCCTGGTTTGAAAGTGTTATTCCTGTTTAATTGTGCCATCCTGACTTGGAAAGGAGTTGTTCTACTCCAGAAACTTTGATGAGAAAAACTAGAGCAAGAGCAGGATGTCCCACCAAAACCTTTTTGCAGTTTAATAAGGTTTATCGTGTTGTTTTTATGACAGAACAAATGAGGACATGACATGTCTAACCCAGGATCAAAAATCATACCGTGATATAGTGCAACAAGTAGTCTTGGGCAATTCAGGCAGTGTCACCCTGCATTCATTCTGTAAACAGACCTTGGCACATTGGGAGAGTGAAAGAGGGGCTTCTGTGGGCTCCCATTCTTTGGGGAGGTGGGCCTTTGGGTTCCTTGCTGGTCAAAGAGAGTCCTCCATCCTTCCACCTTCCATCGACCCCTTCATTCCTCCCTTTTGTTGCACCCTAGCCCTGAGGCACCTTTCACCCAGCACCACATCAGAGGCCAATAGTGCAAATAATGAGATTATTGAATAAAGAATATAAAAGGGGAAAAGGGGTTGTATCCAAAAGAAGCAATTGGGATATATCCTGCAATATGCACGAGTCAGAGTTCAATATAAGTATTTCAAGAAAGCCAAGAAAACATCACAGGAACTAGAAATCCATAAAACATAGAAATAACCCAAGGTAATTCCAGGAACATGAACACAGGAATCTCTTCCAGGCAAAAACTCTTCCAAGGTACATAGACAAAGGCAGGAACATGAAACAAGCATCTTGATGATACAAGATCCATGGACTTGAGAACTTGGTAACATGAACAAGAAAGTTTCCCTTTTAGCAAAGTTGTCTCCTCTGAATTGCTTGGATCCAAACACCTAATTTAAGGCTGTCCGAGCTCCCATGAAGTCATGTCTCAAGCACTTGGATTTCAAGGCCTTTTCTTAAAGGCACTGGGAAGCACTGGTCTGTCTACTTTTCACGCCTTGCCTTCAGATATCTAGTCTACACTCCCTAGTGACCTCTTTGCCCTCCCTGTCTTCCCAAGGCCTTTTCTCCAGGGAAACTTCAGTTTCACTTCCCTCGGTATGCACAGCAGAATCTCCTGGAACACATTCAGTCACTTCATTTTGAAACCCGTCATCCTCAGAACCATCTGGCTTTTGGCAGGCTACAACAACTTTCTCCTTCCTTCCTTCTAAGGGCCGATGTCAAAGCAGCTGCAGAAGGCATGGGTCCAGGTGCTGGGGGAGGCGGAGTGCCAGCGCTTCTACCCGGTTCAGATCAGCAGCCGCATGCTGTGTGCGGGGTCTCCCCAGTGGGCCATCGACAGCTGCTCAGTGAGTTCCACATACACACATTTTGCTGTGGGGACTCCTCCCTTTCTTCTTCCTTCCTTCCCCTCCCCCAAGCGAGCCCTACCTGCTTCCTTCTTCCCTTCCATCCTCTTTGCAGGGGGATGCTGGGGGCCCCTTGGCCTGCAGGGAGCCCTCCTCTTCGGGGCGCTGGGTCCTGGCCGGCATCACCAGCTGGGGCTATGGCTGTGCCCGGCCCGCCTTCCCAGGGGTCTACGCCAGAGTCGCCACTGTCCAGTCCTGGATCCGGCAGAACCTCCGGGCCTGACCCCTGTCATCATCCTCACCCCACTGCTATCAATATGATGAGTGCTTTGGATGAAATGGTATGAAAGCCGTAGGACTGAGGCAGCCTATCTAGATGCTGAAGTCTGGTAATCCAGGCCAGGGAAAACTGCAGGAAAAACTACTAAACTGCTGAATGGACAGAGACCAGAAACAATGGTGGGAAACAACATGTTTACATAGTCAAAAAGACAACGAAGTCCAACAATGCTCCTTACTTAAAAGGAAAACTAACACCTGTCCAGAACGGTTGGAGTCAGCATATTTTTTTGCTGGCAAAACAACCTGTCAGTCATTTACAACTTTTTGGAACAACATCAGCAAGAAATATACTATAGCAGAGACCATTTTACTATCCAAAAGTGTGGTAGGTCTGCAGGGAGAAGCTATCTGGCCCATGTTTGGTTCTTCTCCAGGAGCAGGAAGAAGGGATGGTAATGTATGCATGTTGAATGAATGTTTATGTGTGTATGAATGCCGAGTAAACCATAATATCTCCAGTGTAGCTATTTAGAGTCTGTGTGTCTATACTCTTTCTCTGTAAAGTGCCTAATATACTTGGTCTCACTTGGTGATGAAAATAAAAGCTTTTTAAGGCTTAAGAAGTACTTTTGACACCAGCACCCCGTTCTCATAATCATAGGATGCCAACCCTGGGGGAAAGCACCAACCACCTCCTAAGACATGGGCAGGTTTGTGGAGAAATTGAGCTATTTCTCCATAAGGGGGACATCCAATACAGCTAAAAAGGAACAATGTGATCCCTCCCGAAAGATAGACACCCAGCCAAAGAAGAGGCCCCAGCTGGGCTCTTGAGGCAGAGAGTTCCCCTGCTGAACAGCCAGGAAGTCCTTCCAAATGATGTTTAAGGTGGAGCCTCCTTCCCTCTCCTTGGAGGCCCAGTCTCCAGGGCAGCAGGAAGGGATCCTCAGGCTGCCTCTTCCTTAGGAGCTCCTTTCCAATACTGGAACCTGGCTCCTCTCCTGTCCCCTTCTCTCAGCTTTCCGCAGCAAAACAGACCCATCACCTCAGAGTAGGCCTGGGGCAACTTCCCTCCAGGTGTTTTGGACTTCAACTCCCACCATTCCTAACAGTCTACTACAGGCATAGACCTACCAGCTAGGTCCTGGAGGGCCCAAGTTTGCAAATTCCAGGCCTACCAACTGTTATAGATGTTATTTTTATTATTTAATATTTATATTTAATATTATATTTTAATATTGTTTCTATTACTACTACTACTACTAACAACAACAACTTGGGTACCCGCCGTTGCCCAGATTATTTAAGTCAATTCTAATTGTACAAAATGCCTAAGGTTGTGGGTGAACTAATAATAATATAATATCCATCTCTCTCCCGGAGGGAACTCAGGGCAGATTCCAACATTCAACGCCTTCATAAAACAAACAAATACTGACATAAAATCCTAGAGAAACTCCACATATGAAAATAACATTAAAATCTAACATCAAATTAAAGTCTAACATCAATAAATTAAACCACACAGTCAAACAAAATCATATAATAACATAAAATCTAGACTACAACTCATATCATGCCAGGTTAACCCAGAGTACTGAAAGTTTGTGATGTTGGGCAAGTTTGCTCTGGATACATCATCGGTGGGGTTCAGTGTGCTCTCTGGCTGCAGAGTAAACTACAACTCCCACTATGGCGAGTCAGTCCCTCAAACCTCTCCATTAGGTTGAGTCAATCATGGGGGTTCTGTGTGCCAAGTTTGGTCCCGGACCATCATTGGTGGAGGTCACCTTTTTCCTGGTTGTGCGTGAACTACAACTCCCAGAAAGGAAGGTCAGTCCCCCCCCCCCCCCCAGCACTTCCACTAATAACATTCTGGCATATTAGGTCTGTGTGCCAAGTTTGGTCCAGATCCATCGGTGTGTGGGTTAATAGTGCTTTCTGGATGTAGGTGAACTACAACTTCCCCCAAATCAAGATGAATTTCCCCCCAAAGACATCCAGTATCTTTTCTTGGTCATGGCAGTTCTCTGTGCCAAGCTCAGCCATGAGTACAAAATCAAACAAATTCCTTGCTTGTCTAATAAGACAATTTCATGGTCCAGAAGGTAGAAGAAGCAACAAAGGTGTCGGCTACTCTTGATCTCATTCTAACAAATGCAGAGGACCTGATCTATGTGGTTAAAGTGGTCGGATCCTTAGGGGCAAGTGACCATGTGCTCCTGCAATTTGAGGTACAAAGGAAGGCCGAAACAAAGACAAGTCAAACCCACATTTTGGACTTTAGGAGAGGTGATTTCCAAAAAATGAAGGAAACACTGAGCAGCATTCCGTGGACACAGATACTAAAATACAAGGGAGTTACGGATGGATGGGAGTTTTTCAAGAGTGAAATACTCAAGACGCAATTGCAAACAGTGCCAACAAAGAGAAAAAATCAGACAAGTGCAAAAAACCAGAATGGATGTCCAAAGAACTTCTAACTGTGCTAAGACTCAAATGAGACATGCACAAGAAATGGAAAAGGGGAGAAATCACCAAAGAAAAATCCAAACAAATAACCAACTCCTGTAGGGAAAAGGTTTGCAAGGCTAAAGTGCAAAACGAGCTCAGGTTTGCCAGGGACATTCAAAGGGCTTGTTGCTTATGTCGATAGAAAAAGGAAGAACAAGGAGGTGATAGAGCCTCTGCGAGGAGAAGATGGGGTAATGCTGACAGGGGATAGGGAAAAGGCTACTTAATGCTTTCTTTGCCTCAATCTTCTCACAAAAAAAATTCGTCCTCAACCTCAGCAACATGGAGTGGATGAAGGGTTAGGGGAAATCCAACCCCAAATAGGGAAACAAGCCATCCAGGAATACTTGACCTCTCTAAACGAATTCAAGTCCTCAGAGCTGGATCAACTACATCCAAGAGTATTGAAGGAACTAGCAGAAGTCATTTCGGAACCACTGGCAATCATCTTTGAGAGTTCTTGGAGAACAGGACAAGTTTCAGCAGATTGGAGGAGGGCAAACATGGTCCATATCTTCAAGAAGGAAAAAAAGGATGACCCAAACAATTACCGATGTCCAGTCAGCCTCACATCAATGCCAGGCAAGATTCTGGAAAAGACTGTTAAGGGAGTGGTCTGCAAACACTTAGAAACAAATGCGGTCATAGCTAATAGTCAACACAGATTTATTGAAACAAGTCATGCCAGACACATCTGATCTCTTTTTTCGATAGTTACAAGCTGGGTAGATGCAGGGAATGCGTACCTGGATTTCAGGAAGGCCTTCGACAAGGTCCCCCATGACCTTCTTGCAAGGAAACTAGTCCAATGTAGGCTAGGCAAAACTACGGTGAGGTGGATCTGTCACTGGTTAAGCGAACGAACCCAGAGGATCAAGGGTCTGGAGAACAAACCCCATGAAAAGAGGCTGAAAGAACAGGGCATGTTTAGCCTGCAGAAGAGAAGGCTTGAAGACATGGTTGTTCCAGTGTGTCTTCCCAGAATAATGATCCCATAGCATTTTGTCCTCCAAAGCACTTTATATTGTTTTAGGTCTGCTTGTATGTTTCCACAAACCACCCCATCACTTTTTCGCCCATGTCCAGCATTATTTTCAATTTTAATTACATTTGGCCTACCCATAGATTTTAAAATGTGTTGTCCTATTGATAATGCTTATGTTATTATGTTATTGTTTTTAAATTGTTTGTATTGTTGTTATTGCTTGTATTGTTGTATTTTGGGCTTGGCCTCATGTAAGCCGCACCAAGTCCCCTGGGGAGATAGTAGCAGGGTATAAATAAAGTATTATTATTATTATTATTATTATTATTACTATTATTATTATTAAGGCTGAGAGGAGACATGATGAGGACCCTCTATAAATATGTGAATGGAAGTCATAGGGAGGAAGGGTTCCTTTCTGCTGCCCTGGAGACTAGAATGCAATGGAACAATGGCTTCAAACTACAGGAAAGGAGATTCCAAATGAACCTGGGGAACAACTTTTTTTTTAATTATTAAACTTTATTTGTACCCCGCTAGCATCTCCCGAAGGACTCGATGTGGCTTACAAAGGCCAAGGCCTCAACAACACAATAGCATAACAATACAATTCAAAGCAAATCAAAAACATTACAGCAATAACAGTAAAAACAACAAAACAATACACCATAACACAATAAAAACAGGGCCGGGCCAAGTAATAGGTACAGATTAAGAAGTGCTGGATGTGACAGGTGGTCTATCGGATTTCAAGGAAGTGCAGTGTGCAGAGAATCTTAAAGTTCTGAGAAAGTGCATCTGGGATTCTAATAAAGTGCTTACTGGAGTTTTCCTATTCTGGAAAGGCACATTGGAACAGCCAGGTCTTCAAATTCTTCCTAAAGACTGCCAGTGTGGGGGCCTGTCTAATGTCTTTGGGGAGGGTGTTCCAAAGTCGGGGGGCCACCACAGAGAAGCCCCTGTCCCTCGTCCCCACCAAACGTGCCTGTGATGCAGGTGGGATCGCAAGCAGGGCCTCTCCGGATGAACGAAGAGTGCGTGGGTTCATAAACGGAGATGCGGTCACGCAGGTAGGCAGGTCCCAAACCGTTTAGGGCTTTGTAGGTAAGCACCTGCACCTTGAATTGGGCTTGGAAAATAAACAGCAGCCAATGGGATGTCCAAGAGAACCAACAGACTCACACTCCCCCTGTCCAGCTCTCTACGGAGGTCATCCACCAAGGCGACCAAGGCTGTCTCGGTGCCGTGGCCAGGCCTGAAGCCAGACTGTGACTGATCTAGGTAGTTGTCGTCATCTAGGAAGCCCTGGAGCTGGGAGGCGACCACCCGCTCCAGCACCTTGCCCAAGAAAGGGAGGTTGGAGATTGGTCTGAAGTTGTTCAGCACCGTGGAGTCAAGGGAGACCTTTTTTAGGAGTGGGCGAACCACAGCCTGTTTCAATCGAGATGGAAAAATCCCCTGTTCCAACGATGCATTAATGATCAACACAAACCAATCAACCAACCTCTCCCTGGCTGATTTGATTAGCCAAGACGGGCAAGGGTCTAGAGCCGACGTGGTTGCCCTCACAGCACCAAGGACCTCCTCCACGGTCTCAGGAAGAACAAGAACAACTGTAAGGAAAGCTATTCAGTAGTGGATCTCCCTTCCCTGGAGTAAGATGGAGGCTCCTTCTTTGGAGGCTTTTAAACAGAGGCTGTATGTCCATCTGTCGGGGGTGTTTGAATGCGATTTTCCTGCTTCTTGGCAGAATGGAGTTGGACTGGATGGCCCATTAGGTCTCTTCCAACTTAATGATTCTATGTCTGTGGTGGAGGAAACACATACAATCTAGGATGAAATTGTCCCCATCTGAAAGCCTTCACTTGAATGGTGGGCAGTATGGTGTTGGTGGAGGACATTGGCAGGGCTCTTGTATATGTTTACGGTGCTCTCTATAACCTGCAATGTCATTGGAGGGAGGGCCATCAGTGTCTCCTGAGTAGTGGGACCTATAGCAGTTTGTGGAGGCAGGAGCTTGTCTGTGCAAGCGGACACCCCCGCCACACCCCCACCCACATATCTTCACTTTTATATGTATAGATTATTATCATTATTGGCTGTTAGGAACTGTGGGAGTCCCAAACCCCTAGAAGGAGGGAGGGTGGGTAGGAGGTGAAGTTGGCTTGCTTAAACCCTTTTGTGTTTTAAAGAAGGGATCCCAAGCAGGCGGCAATTCTGATGGGCAAGCAACATATTTATTGATCAGGAATAACAGCAGTCATAGTCTTGGGCTTGTGTGGCTCACATGTGCGCGCGCTCCCGCTGGAGGCGGGTGTTGTAGGCACGCGAGACGGCATTCCAGGCATCCATGTAGCGGTCCATGCACATTGCAATGCACTTCTGTGGAAGGGAGAGAGGTGGAGCTGAGCTTATTGTTTACCTGAACATCAAATTGCATACTTTCTAACCGCTGTTTTATGGTTATGTGGGGAAAGCAGTCTTGCTGGAGACAACGTGAGTGCAAGGGAGCATATTCAATCAGATTGATTAGGATTTTTGGTATGGTGAAAAAGTAGTACTTCTTCAGCAAATTTTGTAAAATGACAGCTCCCATTAATTCCATAGCATTGATCCCTAGCAATTGAAATGGCATTAAACTGCATTAATTCCACAGTGTAGATGCACTCAATCTACTTTCTCAACTGTCCACCCTGAGGATTTTCACCTACAACTTGCATCAACTCTAGCTAGCATTGGCAGGATCCGGAGGACTGTAGTACAAGGCCAACCTCAAAGTTAGGCCCAGTCTAAGGGAGGGAGAGGGGGAGAGCTCACCTGCTCCGAGTTGTCAAGGGCACTTCCGGGCTTTCCGATGCACTTCCGGAAGCACTTGTCCGTCATTCTCTGCAAGAGGAAGGCAGGGGAGGCGTGAATAATAGTAACCATAATATATTTTATTTTTAACCTCTCTCCCCGAAGGAACTCAGGGCGGCTCCCAAAGGCGAAAAATGGAAAACATTCAAGGCCATGTGCAATAACAAAATCAAACATTAAAACAACTTCAACACCTTGGCTGAAACGAATCAATCAGGCATCATAAATAACACAATAGACAGTTGAAATCTGAATAAAAATATAGCTCTTCTATAAGTTAGAGCAGGGGTCCACAAACTTTTAAAACAGAGGGCCAGGTAGCCGTCCCTCAAACTGTTGGAGGGCCGGATTATAATTTGAAAAAAAAAATGAAAGAATTCCTATGCACACTGCACATATCTTATTTGTAGTGCAAAAACACTTAAAAACAATACAATAATGGAAATGAAGAACAATTTCAACAAATATAAAATTATTAGTATTTCAATGGGGAAGTGTGGGCCTGCTTTTGGCTGATGAGATAGGATTGTTGTTGTTGTTGTGTGCTTTCAAGTCATTTCAGACTTAGGTTAACCCTGAGCGAGGGCTGGGTAAATTACCTTGGAGGGCCGCATCCAGCCCCCGGGCTTTAGTTTGAGGACCCCTGATCTAAGCCATTAATAAAGATGTTGAACAGGACCGGGCCTAGGACTGAACCCTGCGGCACTCTGCTCGTCACTTCTTTCCAGGATGAAGAGGACGCATTGGTGAGCACCCTGTTTCACCATCTGTTTCCAAAAAGGAAGAAAAGGACAGGCAGAACTCTCTGCCAAAGGGGTTCCCAAGACCACCAGAAATAAGTGTTTTCTGATGGTCTTTGGCAACCCCTCTGAAACCCCCTAACCCCAGGTTGCGAAATGCTGCTTTAGGGCTTTATTTGTTGTTGTTCATTCGTTCAGTCGTCTCCAACTCTTCGTGACCTCATGGACCAGCCCATGCCAGAGCTCCCTGTCGGCCGTCACCACCCCCAGCTCCTTCAAGGTCAGTCCAGTCACTCCAAGGATGCCATCCATCCATCTTGCCCTTGGTCGGCCCCTCTTCCTTTTGCCTTCCACTTTCCCCAGCATAATTGTCTTCTCTAGGCTTTGCTGTCTCCTCATGATGTGGCCAAAGTACTTCAACTTTGTCTCTAGTATCCTTCCCTCCAGTGAGCAGGCGGGCTTTATTTCCTGGAGGATGGACTGGTTGGATCTTCTCGCAGTCCAAGGCACTCTCAGAACTTTCCTCCAACACCACAGCTCAAAAGCATCGATCTTCCTTCGCTCAGCCTTCCCTAAGGTCCAGCTCTCACATCCGTAGGTTACTACAGGGAATACCATGGCTTTGACTAGGCGGATCTTTGTTGCCGGTCTGATGTCTCTACTCTTTACTATTTTATCGAGATGGACATTGCTCTCCTCCCAAGAAGTAAGCGTCTTCTGATTTCCTGGCCACAGTCTGCATCTGCAGTAATCTTTGCACCTAGAAATACAAAGTCTGTCACAGCCTCCACATTTTCTCCCTCTATTTTTCAGTTGTCAATCATTCTTGTTGCCATAATCTTGGTTTTTTTGACGTTTAGCTGCAACCCAGCTTTTGCGCTTTCTTCTTTCACCTTGATTAAAAGGGATTAGGGCTTTATAGTTAAGGTAAAGGTAGTCCCCTGACATTAAGCCCAGCCATGTCTGACTCTGGGGTGTGGTGCTCATCTCCATTTCTAAGCCGAAGAGCCAGCGTTGTCCACAGACACCTCCAAGGTCATGTGGCCGGCATGACTGCATGGAGCACCGTTACCTTCCCGCCAGAGCGGTACCTATTGATCTACTCACATTTGCATGTTTTCGAACTGCTAGGTTGGCAGAAGCTAGGGCTGACAGCGGAAGCTCACGCCGCTCCCCGGAATCGAACCTGCGACCTTTCGATCAACAAGCTCAGCAGCTCAGTGCTTTAACCCACTGTGCCACCGGGGGCTCCAATATTTATTATACTTACATTTATTACTCTACTAGCTTAGGGACCCAATGGTGCCCAGGTATTTGAGAAAGGCATTGTCTGTGCTCCAGTTTTAATCTAGATCCAATGTCAGGGTTCAGTGGGTGCAGGTGAACTACAATTCCCATTTGCAAGTCCCATCATTTATGGTCCAACCTGCTCCAAACTGTACCAGGATGTAGAGTGGGTCATGAGAGTATGTGTACCAAGTTTGGTCTTTATTGGTAATTGGATGACGATTGCAGTTGGCTCAGGAAGTGAGTGAAGGTAGTGCAAGTCCCATAATCCGTGGTCCACCTTCACCCAAACCACACCAGGACATAAAGTGGGTCATGTGGGGTCTGTGTACCAAGTTTAGTCCTGGTCTGTGATTTGTGGAGGCTGCAGTGTTCCGTGGGAACTGAGTTGGATGAAGGTACTGCAAATCCTATTGTCCGTGGTCCATCCTCCCCCAAACGTCACCAGGCCATGAGGTGGTTTATGGGGGTTATGTGTGTCAAGTTTGGTCCAGGTCCGTCACCCAATGGTATCAAAAAGTGAGTGAAGGTACCTTCAGTCACTTCCCGAGACCGCTGTGACCCTCAATCAATGACTGATCAAGACCAAACTTGGCACACAGAGTCCCCATGCCCCATTCTACATCCTGGTACAGTTTAGAGGAGGATGGACCATGGATGATGGGACTCGCAGTACCTTCACTAATTCCCTGAGAGCACTGTGAGCCACATAAATAACTGATAAAGACCAACCTTGGGTACCCCCATAAACCACAGGCAAAAGATTCGAGCAGGAACCCTCCAGCAAAATACTGAAAATCCACTGAACCCTGAAGGAGAAGCGAGGAGGGAAGGGGGCCCCGAAATCCCTCACCACCACCACCTTCCCTTACGGCCCTGACCTGCAGTAACTCCTGTGCGTTGGCCACCGCGATCTGAACCTTGACCTGCTCCATCAGCGCCCCCGCGTCCATCGCGCCACCACCCGCCGCCGCCATCTTTGCAGCGCATGGACCCAGGAAACACTTCCTCTTCCGGCCCCGCCCACTTTCCCACACCATAGAGGCCCGGGTACGAAGACGCTTTTATACACTTCCGGTGCTTTTCGACATTTACCCTCCCTCCTCGCCCCGCAAAGGACTGCCAAAAAAAAGGGCAGCCAGAGAAGTCAGCCATAGCAGACCACCTGATGAACCAACCTGGGAACAGAGTATTATTAATGTATTGTCGAAGGCTTTCATGGCTGGAATCACTAGGTTCTTGTGGGTTTTTTCGGGCTATAGGGCCATGTTCTAGAGGCATTTCTCCTGACGTTTCGCCTGCATCTATGGCAAGCATCCTCAGAGGTTGTGAGGTCTGTTGGAAATAGGAAAATGGGTTTATATATCTGTGGAATGGCTGGGGTGGGGCAAAGAGCTCTTCCCTGCTGCAGTTAGGTGTGAATGTTTCAACTGATCACCTTCATTAGCATTTGAAGGCCTGTCTGAGCCTGGGGGAATCTTTTGTTGGGAGGTGTTAAGATGTGCCTGGTTGTTTCCTCTCTGTTGTTTTTGCTGTTGTAATTTTAGAGTTTTTTTAATACTGGTAGCCAGATTTTGATCATTTTCATGGTCTCTTCCTTTCTGTTGAAATTGTCCACATGCTTGTGGATTTCAATGGCTTCTCTGTGTAGTCTGACATGGTGGTTGTTGGAGTGGTCCAGCATTTCTGTGTTCTCAAATAATATGCTGTGTCCAGGCTGGTTCATCAGGTGCTCTGCTATGGCTGACTTCTCTGGTTGAAGTAGTCTGCAGTGCCTTTCATGTTCCTTGATTCGTGTTTGGGCAATGCTGCGTTTGGTGGTCCAGGCTCAGTTATGAATCTAGGAGAACTCCCAAGCTGCGAACCTGCGCTTTATAGGTTAACCAGCACTTTGAATCTACAGACACACCAAGAAAATCCAACAAATGCTTCGTTCACCAAAGGACAAGAGGGATCCTCTCACCTCTGCAGGAGTCTACCGTATACCATGCAGCTGTGGACAAGTCTACATAGGGACCACCAAACGCAGCATTGCCCAAACACGAATCAAGGAACATGAAAGGCACTGCAGACTACTCCAACCAGAGAAGTCAGCCATAGCAGAGCACCTGATGAACCAGCCTGGACACAGCATATTATTTGAGAACACAGAAATGCTGGACCACACCAACAACCACCATGTCAGACTACACAGAGAAGCCATTGAAATCCACAAGCATGTGGACAATTTCAACAGAAAGGAGGAGACCATGAAAATGAACAAAATCTGGCTACCAGTATTAAAAAAACTCTAAAATTACAACAGCAAAACAGCAGAGAGGAAACAACCAGGCACATCTTAACACCTCTCAACAAAAGATTTTCCCAGGCTCAGCCAGGCCTTCAAATGCTAATGAAGGTGGTCAGTTGAAACATTCACACCTAGCTCTAGCAGAGAACAGCTCTTTGCCCCACCCCAGTCATTCCACAGATATATAACCCCATTTTCCTGATTCCAACAGACCTCACTACCTCTGAGGATGCTTGCCATAGATGAAGGCTAAACGTCAGGAGAGGATGCCTCTAGAACATGGCCATATAGCCCAAAAAACCCCACAAGAACCGAGTGATTCCAGCCATGAAAGCCTTCGACAATATAGAGTATTATTATTTGAGAACACAGAAATTCTGGACCATTCTCACAACCACCAAGTCAGACGACACAGAGAAGCCATTGAAATCCACAAGAAGCATGTGGACAATTTCAATAGAAAGGCGGAAACAATGAAAATGGCTACACCTGGCTTCAGGTATTAAAAAACTCCAAAATCAGGATAGAAAATAAGGAGCAACACTCAAAAAACAGGGGAATTCCAGATGAGAATCAATCAGGGCCAGCTCACACCTCCCAACAAAAGATTCCCCAGGCAGGAAGCAGCCAGGCTTTGAAGGTGCAATTCCATTCAGTGCTAATCAAACAGACAAGAGTTTAATGTATTGTCGAAGGCTTTCATGGCTGGAATCACTAGGTTCTTGTGGGTTTTTTCAGGCTATATGGCCATGTTCTAGAGGCAGGTGCTCTGCTATGGCTGACTTCTCTGGTTGAAGTAGTCTGCAAGGAATCATGTTCCTTGATTCGTGTTTGGGCGCTGCGTTTGGTGGCCGTGGACATGTCCACATAGCGACCACCAAACGCATTGTTAGAGAAAGTGGGTAAAGGGGGTTCTGTATGGCAAGTTTGTTCTTTATTGGTCACTAGCTTGGGGACCCGGCGCTGCCCGGGGTATTTGAGAAAGGCATTGTGTGTCAAGGTTGGTCTTTATCAGTTATTTATGTGGCTCACAGTGCTCTCAGGGAGTTAGTGAAGGTACTGCAAGTCCCATCATCGATGGTCCATCCTCCTCCAAACTGCACCAGGATGTAGAATGGGGCATGGGGACTCTGTGTGCCAAGTTTGGTCTTGATCAGTCATTGGATGAGGTTCACAGCGGTCTTGGGAAGTAAGTTAAGGTAGGTTCTTGTGGGTTTTTTCGGGCTGTATGGCCATGTTCTAGAGGCATATCTCCTGACGTTTCGCCTGCATCTATGGCAAGCATCCTCAGAGGTAGTGAGGTCTGTTGGAACTAGGAAAAAGGGTTTATATATCTGTGGAATGACCAGGGTGAGACAAAGGACTCTTGTCTGCTAGAGCTAGGTGTGAATGTTTCAACTGACCACCTTCATTAGCATTTGAAGGCCTGGCTGAGCCTGGGAAAATCCCCTGTTGAGAGGTGTTAAGATGTGCCTGGTTGTTTCCTCTCTGCTGTTTTGCTGTTGTAATTTTAGAGTTTTTTAATACTGGTAGCCAGATTTTGTTCATTTTCATGGTCTCTTCCTTTCTGTTGAAATTGTCACTACCTCTGAGGATACTTGCCATAGATGCAATCAAGGATCAGTTGAAACATTCACACCTAGCTCCAGAAGACAAGAGTCCTTTGTCTCACCCTGGTCATTCCACAGATATATAAACCCTTTTCCTACTTCCAACAGACCTCACTACCTCTGAGGATGCTTGCCATAGATGCAGGCGAAACGTCAGGAGAAATGCCTCTAGAACATGGCCCTATAGCCCAAAACCCACAAGAACCTAGTGATTCCAGCCATGAAAGCCTTCGACAATACATTAAACTCTTGTTTGTTTGATTAGCACTGAATGGCCTTGCACCTTCAAAGCCTGGCTGCTTCCTGCCTGGGGAATCTTTTGTTGGGGGGTGTGAGCTGGCTCTGATTGATTCCCGTCTGGAATTCCCCTGTTTTTTTTTTAGTGTTGCTCCTTATTTTCTATCCTGATTTGGGAGTTTTTAAATACTGGCAGTCAGATTGTGTTCGTTTTCAGGGTTTCCTCCTTTCTGTTGACATTGTCCACATGCTTCTTGTGGATTTCAATGGCTTCTCTGTGTCGTCTGACTTGGTGGTTGTGAGAATGGTCCAGCATTTCTCAAATAATAATACTCTAGGTTCTTGTGGGTTTTTTCGGGCTATAGGGCCATGTTCTAGAGCTTTGGTTCTCAACCTTCCTAATGCCGTGACCCCTTAGTTAATCATGTTGTGGTGACCCCCAAGTATTTTCTGTTGGTCATGGGGGTTCTGTGTGGGAAGTTTGTCCCGATTCTGTTGTTCATGGGGTTCAGAATGCTTTTTGATTGTAGGTGAACTATAAATCCCAGAACTACAACTCCAAAATGTCAAGGTCTATTTCCTCCAAACTCCATCTGTGTTCATATTTGGGCATATGGAATTTTTGTGCCAAGTTTGGTCCAGATCCATCATTGTTTGAGTCCACAGTGCTCTCTGGATGTAGGTGAACTACAACTCCCAAACTCAAGGTCAATGCCCACCAAACCCTTCCAGTGTGTTCTGTTGGTCATGGGAGTCTTGTATGCCAAGTTTGGTTAATTCCATCATTGGTGGAGTTCAGAATGCTCTTTGATTGTAGGTGAACTATAAATCCCAGACACTACAACTCCCAAATGTCAAGGTCTATTTCCCCCAAACTCCATCTGTATTCATATTTGGGCATATGGAATATTCGTACCAAATTTGGTCCAGATCCATCATTGTTTGAGTCCACAGTGCTCTCTGGATGTAGGTGAACTACAACTCCAAAACTCAAGGTCAATGCCCACCAAACCCTTCCAGTATTTTCTGTTGGTCAGGGGAGTTCTGTGTGCCAAGTTTGGTTCAATTCCATCGTTGATGGAGTTCAGAATGCTCTTTGATTGTAGGTGAACTATAAATCCCAGCAACTACAACTCCCAAATGACAAAATCATAATTTTTTGAGTGATGGTCACTCCTTGTGTTGTGAGACGTTTGTTGCCAAATTTGGTGTGATTTCGTTCATTGGTTCTTTTGTTTTTAAGGTACTCATTCTGCACAGAGCATTTATATATAGATATAGATATAGATAGTTATGGCATATCTATCTCTGGATGGCCGTCTGTCGGGAGGGGTCCCTTCTGCCTCCAGGATCCTAGAAGGAGGAGCCTTGCCTCCCAGGTCTCCCAGAATAAGCTTCCCCCCATTCCCTGCGCCCGTACCTTGGGAAGTCTGACTTGGCCACGGTAGTCCACGCTCTGGTTACATCCCGTATAGACTACTGCAACGCTCTCTACGTGGGGTTGCCTTTGAAGACAGCTCGGAAGCTCCAACTAGTCCAACGCTCGGCAGCCTTGATACTAACAGGAGTGGAGCGCAGGGAGCATACAACTCCTCTGCTGCACCAGCTCCACTGGCTACCGATTTGCTACCGGGCTCAATTCAAAGTGCGTTGGCCTTTAAAGCCCTAAACGGTTCCAGCCCAAGCTATGTATCCGACCGCATCTCTGCCTATGAACCCACCGGGACTTTGAGATCTTCCGGGGAGGCCCTGCTCTCGATCCCGCCTGCTTCTCAAGCACGGCTGGCGGGGACGAAAGATAGGGCCTTCTCGGTGGTGGCTCCTCGGCTGTGGAACGCCCTTCCTACGGACATTAGGGTTCTGCCGCAGGGTTCCGTCTTGGGCCCGGTCCTGTTCAACATCTTTATTAATGACTTAGATGAAGGGTTAGAAGGCAGGATCATCAAGTTTGCAGACGACACCAAATTGGGAGGGATAGCCAATACTCCAGAGGAAAGGAGCAGGATTCAAAACGATCTTGACAGATTAGAGAGATGGGCCAAAACTAACAAAATGAAGTTCAACAGTGACAAATGCAAGATACTCCACTTTGGCAGGAAAAACGAAATGCAAAGATACAGAATGGGGGATGCCTGGCTCGAGAGAAGTACGTGTGAAAAAGATCTTGGAGTCCTCGTGGACAACAAGTTAAACATGAGCCAACAATGTGATGTGGCGGCAAAAAAAGCCAATGGGATTTTGGCCTGCATCAATAGGAGCATAGTGTCTAGATCTAGGGAAGTAATGCTGCCCCTCTATTCCGTTTTGGTTAGACCACATCTGGAATATTGTGTCCAATTCTGGGCACCACAATTCAAGAGAGATATTGACAAGCTGGAATGTGTCCAGAGGAGGGCGACTAAAATGATCAAGGGTCTGGAGAACAAGCCCTATGAGGAGCGGCTTAAGGAGCTGGGAATGTTTAGCCTGAAGAAGAGAAGGCTGAGAGGAGATATGATAGCCATGTATAAATATGTGAGAGGAAGCCACAGGGAGGAGGGAGCAAGCTTGTTTTCTGCATCCCTGGAGACTAGGACGCGGAACAATGGCTTCAAACTACAAGAGGAGATTCCATCTGAACATGAGGAAGAACTTCCTGACTGTGAGAGCCGTTCAGCAGTGGAACTCTCTGCCCCGGAGTGTGGTGGAGGCTCCTTCTTTGGAAGCTTTTAAATAGAGGCTGGATGGCCATCTGTCAGGGGTGATTGAATGCAATATTCCTGCTTCTTGGCAGAATGGGGTTGGACTGGATGGCCCAGAGGTCTCTTCCAACTCTAGGATTGTATCCTTCCCACGGAGATTAGACTAGCACCATCTCTAATGGTATTCCGCAAAAAAGTGAAGACCTGGCTGTTTGAGCAGGCGTTCGAATAATTAGTGCAATGATTGGTTAATGAACATTGGAACGGAATAATGGATGACGAATCTGGATCGTGCTTTTGATGATGAGACGATAGTGAATAGTGAATGGTTATTGTAGCAATTGTTTATTAATTATGTAATATGTTAGGTTGTTAACTGTTTTTACACTGTAGCATTGAATTTTTGCTGTTCTTATTTGTTGTGAACCGCTGTGAGTCGCCTTCGGGCTGAGAACAGCAGTATATAAGTAAAGTAAATAAATAAATAATAAACAAATAAGGTCCCCAGTAGAGCCAGGGCTGTAGCCGGTCAGTTGGTCAATCTGTCTGCCAGTCTTCTTCTTCCCCGCCTTCCCTTTGCAGGACGAGGAGGAGGAAGAGCGGGCTGCTGCCATTCAGAAGGCAAGGAGGAGGAGGAGAGATGGGCGGACAAGAGCCAGGTGAGACATCCATAGGAGGCTTCCATTGCCCCCATTCGCTCCACTGCCTCCTCCCTCCCTTTCTCCCCTCCTTCCCTTTTTCTCCTTCCCTCCCTCTGCCCTATGGCTGCTCAACGCACTGATGGTGCTTATCCTCTTTGAATGGTAAGGAATCCTTTCCTTGTATTTGCCTCCTTCTCTCTATTTCTTGCATTGTGTTCTGTTTGCCCTTCCTTTGCTGCCTGATCAGCAGAAGGGTGGGATAACAGCAAAGCAGGCAGGTCCATGATGTGTCAAAGCTCTGCACAGCTCTGCTTCATGCAGCATCTTCCTGCCGCAGCAACAGGTTCTCCTCCTCCTCCCTTTTGAATGGGCCTGAATGGACCTCTCCTTCTTCTTCTGAGTCCCATTAAGCAGCTCTCCTTCCCCGTTAACACCATTGGGGGCCAGGGAAGGAAAGGAGGGCCATGGCTGATGCTCTGTTGATGCTCCTGCTGGGAGTTGTAGTTCCCAAAGGCCGCCTTCTAAGGGGATGTTGGGTTCTGCGCCTCTCCTTGACCTCCCGCAAGATCTGGCCAGGCTTCGCTTTGAGGCTGTCTTCTTGGATTGCTAATAATAATAATAATATCATGCCTAAAGGATGGATGGATACATGAATGCGATTTCCCTGCTTCCTGGCAGAATGGAGTTGGACTGGATGGTACACTAGGTCTCTTCCAAATCTAGTATTCTGTGATTATTGTTAGATGAAAAGGGGAGGGAAATGGCTGAGCGAAAGAGAAAAGGATGTATGTATGTATATGATCTCTTTTGATCTCTTTTTTCGATAGAGTTACAAGCTGGGTAGATGCGGGGAATGCCGTGGATGTAGCGTACCTGGATTTCAGTAAGGCCTTCGACAAGGTCCCCCATGACCTTCTGGCAAACAAACTAGTCCAATGTGGGCTAGGCAAAACTACGGTGAGGTGGATCTGTAATTGGTTAAATGGACGAACCCAGAGGGTGCTCACCAATGCTTCCTCTTCATCCTGGAAAGAAGTGACGAGCGGAGTGCCGCAGGGTTCCGTCCTGGGCCCGGTCCTGTTCAACATCTTTATGAATGACTTAGATGAAGGGCTAGAAGGCATGATCATCAAGTTTGCAGACGACACCAAATTGGGAGGGATAGCCAATAGTCCAGAGGACAGGAGCAGAATTCAAAATTATCTTGACAGATTAGAGAGATGGGCCAAAACTAACAAAATGAAGTTCAACAGGGACAAATGCAAGATACTCCACTTAGGCAGAAAAAACGAAATGCAAAGATACAGAATGGGGGACAATGCCTGGCTCGAGAGCAGTACGTATGAAAAAGATCTTGGAGTCCTCGTGGACAACAAGTTAAACATGAGCCAACAATGTGATGTGGCGGCAAAAAAAGCCAATGGGATTTTGGCCTGCATCAATAGGAGCATAGTGTCTAGATCTAGGGAAGTCATGCTCCCCACGCTCTAGTCTGCTTTGGTTAGACCACACCTAGAATACTGTGTCCAATTCTGGGCACCACAATTGAAGAGAGATATTGACAAGCTGGAATGTGTCCAGAGGAGGGCGACTAAAATGATCAAGGGTCTGGAGAACAAGCCCTATGAGGAGCGGCTTAAGGAGCTGGGCATGTTTAGCCTGAAGAGGAGAAGGCTGAGAGGAGATATGATAGCCATGTATAAATATGTGAGAGGAAGCCACAGGGAGGAGGGAGCAAGCTTGTTTTCTGCTTCCTTGGAGACTAGGACGCGGAACAATGGCTTCAAACTACAAGAGAGGAGATTCCATCTGAACATGAGGAAGAACTTCCTGATGTGAGAGCCGTTCAGCAGTGGAACTCTCTGCCCCGGAGTGTGGTGGAGGCTCCTTCTTTGGAGGCTTTTAAACAGAGGCTGGATGGCCATCTGTCAGGGGTGATTTGAATGCAATATTCCTGCTTCTTGGCAGAATGGGGTTGGACTGGATGATGGCCCAGGAGGGGGTCTCTTCCAACTCTTTGATTCTATGATTCTTCCAAATCTAGTATTCTATGATTATTATTAGATGAAAGGGGAGGGAAATGGCTGAGCAAAAGAGAAAAGGATGTATGTATGTATATGTATGTATGTATTATTGCACAAATAGTTTAGTTCCCACAGAAGCTGAGGAAGCAAGAAGCCATCTTTGCACCCTTTACTTCAGGTAAGCCTTATCTTAGAGTGCGCTAGAAATCTGAGTGTGTGCTTGACTTCTGTAGTTTAAGTCTAGCTGCTCTGCTAGGGGCACCAGAAAGCTGTGTTAACTCACACCTTCATGAACACCCTGAAGTCGTGGCCTCCCCCCCCCCTTTTAATTGTATCCAGTCTTTTATCCACGAGAGGCCACTCGCGTCATAATATAGGCTCAGGTCCGGTAGACCGAGTCCTCCCCTAGATTATTTATTTATTTATTTAGAGCTTTTATAACCCGGTTTTCTCGACCTCCAAAGAGGGACTCAGACCGGCTAACAACAGAAAATTCATACACACATAGAATAAACATAATAGCATCATAATACATTACTACAAAAACACATTAAAATACAGATCTTATATCCATCAGATTCCTAAATTTGATTCTTCCCCTGCCATATAAATTTCGTTATATCTTTTTCCCATTCTTCAAACAGCTTGTTATTTCTTAATATAGGCAGGTTCTTGAAGAGGAATATCATTTTGGGGAGGATGTTCATCTTAACAGTGGCTATCCTTCCCATTACGGATAGGTTTAGATTGTTCCAAGTCTTAAGATCTTTTTTTAATCTCTGACCATTTTATTTTGTAATTTTTTTACAAGTTGGGCATTTTTTGCAGTTATTTGAATTCCTAGGTATTTTATTTTTGAAGATATTTGAATGCCTGTTATTTCTTCCAAACTTTTTTGGTTCTTTTTTGATATATTTTTCGTTAGCATTTCTGTTTTTTTTTTCCTATTGATTTTATACCCTGCCAGATTGCCAAATTCCTCAATTTTCTCCAGCCAATTTGTGATAGTCTCTCTGGGATCTTCAATGATACATATCAAGTCGTCTGCAAACGCTCTACATTTAAATTAGTGGTTGCTTACTTTAAGGCCTTTTAAGTTGTTATCATCTCTTATACTTCGCAGCAGAATTTCCATGGCTAGAATAAAGATCAAGGGGGAGAGGGGACATCCCTGTCAAGACCCTTTCCCTATTTCTCTTTCTTCTGACCTTTGTCCATTTATCCAGATGGTCGCAGTTTTCTGCTGTAAATGGTTTCTATTGTGTTGAGAAAGTTATATCCTATGTCTAATTCTCTTAAGACGGCTTGGAATAATTCCCACTTTACGTTGTCAAAGGCTTTTTCGGTGTCGATCGCTACCAGAGCTAGTTCTTTTTGGTGATAATGCTCATAGTATTCCATTGCATTTAAGAAGATTTGCATGTTGTCTTTTAAATGTCGGCCGGGTAAACATCCAGATTGATCTTCTCCTACCCATTTGTTCAGGAAAGTTTTAATTCTAAGACTCCTGTAAAAATTTTGTAGTCTAGATTTAGCAAGGATATAGGTCTTTAGTTCTTAACATTTGATTCATCTATATTGTCTTTATGCAACAAGGTGATATTTGCAATCTTCCATGAATCTGGGATGGTCTTGTCTATTAGTGCTTTATTCATAAGTTTCTTTAAGTATGGAGTGATCTCGTCTATCAATGTTTTATAAAAGATGGCCGTAAGGTCATCTGGACCTGGGGCTTTTGTATTTTTCAGTTTTCTGATTTTAATCTGGATTTCTTCTGATGAAATGGTTTTATTCAGTAGCTCTCTTTGTGTATCTGAGAATCTACTGGAGTTTCTGTTTGCCTATATAGGCCGATATGTCTTCTAGTTTACTCTGTTATTTTCCATAGAGTGTTCCATAAAATTTTTGGAATTCCTGTAAAATTTCTTTGTCTGTTGTCACTTCTTTGTCCTCTGTTTTTACCCTTACAATCAGGTTTCTTTGTCTTTTCTTCCTTAATTTCCATGTGAGCCAACGTCCAGGTTTATTTGCATTTTGGAATGCAGCTTGTTTGATAAATTTCAACTGTTTGGCAATCTGGTGTAATTCTAAACTATGTTTTTGTCTCTTTAGGTTTTCTAGGTTTTCTATAGCGTCTTTGTCTTTTGGGTTTTTCTTCAATTTCTCTTCTTCCTTTGCAATTGATGACATGAGTATTTGCATTTTCTGTCTTTTCAATTTGTTTTTAATTGCCTTTTGCTGAATGAAGTTCCCCCTCATGACAGCCTTACAGGTGTCCCAGAGCGTTTCAATTTTGATCTCTCCAGTATCATTTAGTGTAAAAAAAGTTTCTTAAAAGTGTGATGTTTTTTGTTATATCCTCTTCAGTTTTTAATAGGTTATCATCTAGTCTCCATCTTCTTTGCCAGTGTTTCTGGTTTATTATCATTTCTATTGCACAATGATCAGAGTGGTCTCTCGGTATTATTTGGATTTTTAAGATCTTTGTTGTCAAAGCTTTTGATACCCATATCATATCAATACGAGACCATCCCTTATGCCTGTTTGAGAAGAAAGTATAATCTCTTACCTCTGTATTGTGTAGGCGGCACACATCTTCCATGTCGCATTCTTCCTTCAATTTTAGGAAGTTGTTGGGTAGAGTGCTCATTTCTTCCTTTTTATTCTTTTTATTAATTTTTGTTTTGTCTAATTTGCTATTACAGACGCCATAGAGAAGTGACAAGTGGAGTGCCATAAGCAGGATTTTGTCCTGGGCCTGGTCCTGTTCAGGATCTTGATTAATGACATGAGAAGGCGTGATCATCAAGTTTGCAGATGTGACCAAATGGGGAGGGATAGTTAATACCCCAGAAGATAGGAGCAGAATTCAAAACGATTTTCACACATGAAAGAGATGATGGGCCAAAACTATCAAAACGAAGTTCAACAGGGACAAATGCAAGTTACTTCACTTAGGCAGAAAAAAATGAAATGCAAAGATACAGAATGGGG